GTAGGTCGCCGCGTTGATGGATTATATGAGTGAGCTAGTACTGACATTGATTAGGCAAAATGTCTGAGTGAACTGAAGAGAGAGACCGAGGGCTACCCGCAATTTGCCAACTATGACGACCAGGGAGCGCCTGCTGGTCAAGATCAGTCTCTCGCAGCAACCCCCAGCGTCGAGACTCCTAGCGCTGTCACCACCCCCGGCCAACCGAAGCTAAAGCTTACATTCAACAGTGGTAATCGGGACAGCACAGGAGCCGCCAACGGAACCCCACAGACTGGAACAACTGAGGAGTGACCTTTGCATAAACCTTCGTCCTGGATTGCTTGACTCTGTTCATTACGTACGGGAGAAGCTTTTCCCCACAACGCACTTTTGCTATTTTGATCTTTTCTTGACATGTACCCATCCGGCTTTGGACGGCGTTATGTGACTTGGTGATGGATGATGGTTGATGGCGCATGCTCTGCTCTACTGAAGACGAGCGATTGATTTCAATTTATGGTTTTCTTTTCGTTTACTTTTATATTTAACCCCGCCTTCTTCTCCGGTGTACTCAGTGGTCGATAAACTGATCAGATACAGATTTTGTCTTCTCACTTTGTGTTGTCTATTACCTTTGCCTGTCGTGCCGGGATGTTATCACCTTCCCATCACTAGAGAGACTTGACTTACCCTTTCAAATTTTGTCTCAGATGATGATGAGATCGGCTGTAATTTGGATTCTTTTTCGTTTTACCTTTTTCATATTTGTGTTTTATCCTACCAGAGACCATGGTAGTCGTACATCTACATATAGTTGTACTAATGGGCAATTGAATGTACTGTACTGGAATGAAAAGAGCGCGCAAAATGTAAAATCGTTCTTGCCAAGTGATTTTAATGAATTACCAGCCCGACCGACATCGGGAGAGACCGACCCTAAATCTTATCGTGGCACAGCCCATGCATTAGTCCCGTCTATAAACAGTTACATTGGCATCCGGGCTCCCCATTCCAACAATGAGTTCGGTTTCCAAGCCCTCCGCCTGAATTTGCTACCCTCGCAATACTAGGATAATGCATAATAGGAAAACGAAAGCATCCAGGTCAAGAACCGGGTGCCAAACTTGCAAGTTGGTCTCTCCTCTTAACCGAAGAGGGCGTTTGTCCGTCGCATCAATGTTCATGCACCACTGACCGTACCCCCAGGATACGGCATGTCAAGTGCGGTGAGGAGAAGCCGGAATGCCTCCAGTGTAAGAACTCTGGCCGGAAATGTGATGGTTACAACACTTCCTCTCAGGACCAACTACCCACGAAAGTAGTACATCGTCAATCGCGCCCCGCCTGGACAATGGTGAGCCCTGACCATCGCCTAATCCTCCGTCCGGGAACCAGGGAAGAGCGACAGTATGTAGAATTGTTCTGCTCGCAGACGTCACAGGCTCTTTCTGGCTTCTTCAGCCCTCAGCTGTGGAATTTTCAACTACCGCGGCTCAGCCAGTCGGAGCCGACTATTAGACATGCTATCGCTGCACTCGGCGCTGCCCATGAGCGGTCCATCTTGAATCCTTCAGCAGAAAACGCGGTTGTTACGGAGCAATTCATACTTCAGCAGTATAATAAATCTATTCAATACCTGATGGAGCACCTCACCGCACCAAAATCCCAGTCGGTTGACTTGTTGCTGGTCACATGTGGTCTATTTGTATGCCTAGAAATTGTGCGAGGGAACAATAAACAGGCGTTCAACCACCTGGCAGCAGGGGCGACCATTCTCCACCGACGGGCCCATTTTGCTAATACAACTCCCCAGTCCATGGACATTGATAGGGAGCTATCCCACTTATTCTTTCGGTTAAATATGCAGCTATCTCTCTTTGGACGCCCATTAGTCCCCCTCACCATTGGTCATAAAGGTACACAGCCTCCTTCCGCAGAGGGAAAGGCCTCGTTCTCCAGCATTGAAGAAGCCAGACACTGCCTGGACGGGCTAATGAACAAGGCTTTGAGATTCGTGCGTCTAAGTCTCCAGAACCCGACACCAAGTGATGCTACAAGAATACAACAGAGACAGAAACAACAGGATATAAAGGAGGAGTTCGATGCTTGGGCAATGGCACTAAACAAGATGATGGCGCGGAGAGGGAACTCTAAAACGTTGGATAAGCGTGGACCCCTTACACTCCGACTTCATCATCAAGTCTCGCTGATATGGCTGCAAGCTTGTTTCGCAACGGATCAAATGGGCTTCGACAACTTCCGTTCAAATTTTGAAACAATCGTCCGTCTTGCGGAGGAAGTAGTTCGCCTGGGCCCTGATCAGGAAAAGCCGTCTCCCGCGAATGGGTTTTCCCTCGAATCTGGAATAACTCCCCCATTGTGGTTCACGGCGGTGAAGTGCCGTGATCCCATCATTCGACGAAAAGCTATCCAGATTTTATCACATTATCGTAAAAGGGAAGGGATGTGGGACATGGGGCTCTTTTTTAAAGTGGCCGAGTTGGTCCTGGAGTCAGAAGAGGCCGAGCTATCCTCTTTGCCCATTGAGAAAAGAGTGCCCGAAGACCGGCAACGCATATATGACCCAATATTGCCTGAAGAAATTGTGGCGAGTCCGTGTCAGGTCATACTGCTGTCGAGACCCGATGGGGTAGACGGGGGTTGGCACACCCGGACCGTATACATTAGTTGGACGTCATAAAAAGGACGAGTCTCACTTGACAACAGGCGACTAAACCAGATGCAGCACGATGCACTTAGCATTGTATACCGCGTACCATATGCTCAACATACAAAGCACAAAGTACGCCCCATCGACTCGTAGGGCTATAGCAAGAGATGCGGTAAGCCCATCTGGCGCTGGCAATCAGACTGCTCTTTCTGGAAATATGAACGGATCCCTAAGCCAGGTGCAAATCTAAACCTTGCTTTGTTTCCAGCCGCTTTATGCCCTCATTGTGGCTAGATGGAGGTTATCTGACCAGCTCCTAACAAGCGGAGATGCACCTATCCACACTGGATCTATTTCATCAAACTGGAATGGCCAAGGCAGCACGAAACAGGAATACTATCTGCACTGCTTGTTTACTTCGCTCTCAAGAGTTGCCGATATCGGTCGATCTTGAAATCTTAGTGGTCGGCAAACTATGTATCGTTCGCTCCTCTTACCTCTCTTCCCCCGCGGGTGACTGCCCGGCCAATCTTTAACAATCAACAGTTCAATGCAGCCAAAAATAGATTCCAAATACGCTTTATAGAGGATATCCTCTTTATCATTGGATTCTAAAATCCAGTGCTCGAAGATAATGTGGCCTCACTGGCTCTCCGGATATTCTCAATCAAAGCCACGACCCCATTCAGCACTACTACATTTCACTATTGAATACAAAGGCCTATAACTAGTACTCGAATAGCTGATAAATATACCCTGTTCCCTATCATTGACTGTATTCCACTTCCTGATCGAGATACCTGTAGTTAAGTACGTTCCCGAGCTGCTGGGAGCAGCCAACAATATTCGGCGTAAGGCACCAGAGATGGAAGATATTGACTACCTGTGCTGAGAGGAAGTGGAAGTTGTAGAGTAGCAAGCCACTTGTTTGGACTCCCCAGGCACCGTAAGTTAAAGCCTAAACTGATCATTCGTGAGTGGCAGTCGTATCTGTCCGTTCGAAGACAAGGATGTAATCGCTGTCGGTTGTACGAGGTTAAAACAACATTCTTCTCCCTCTTCTCTTTGACAAAGTGATGACTTAAATTTACCTCTCATACTTCATCCTTAGCTTATTTACTTGGTGCAGCTTGCATCATTGCAGCGACTATTGATGCTGCCCTTGAGCAAGCAGCTAACTCAAAATGCATGGGAACAGTTTAGCGGGTTTTACTTCCCGATGAGCATGTTCAACTGCTCTGTTATAACAGTCACAGACGACGGCCTGGGGCTGAAAGTCACGCAATCACTCAATGGCTCACACAATGTGTCAGAATCGATCATGGCAGCCTACGATCCGACAAAGTTGACAGATGTGAGTATTCATTTCTATCCTACGGGGTTGTGGGCTTCGAAGCGAATTTCATCCCGTGCCGTTATTCCGAGTTCTCACACAGGAACCACTGCAAGGAAGTGGACGGTGAACTGCCCGTACCATATCTCCGCAGAAAGTCGAGAGAATACATGACTTGGATGGCCGTAGACAGCATTTACAGGGGTGGGCTTTCTCTTTTTGAAGTCAGTGATACAGATACAGTGGCTGTCGTATCTCTGAGGGGCGGGTTGTCTCTTCCTAGGCTTTGAGTTTACGCTCGATGAATGTAGGAGATTTGAGTTCTTTGGGATATGCTCGGTCATGTAGAAACACTTCCATCCAAAACAAAGATCGTGTATAGGCTCAATCCATAAATCAGCGCAAATGAAGGAAATTATCACCCAAGGCATAGCAGTAATTTATAGTTATATGGAGTGATAACTGGAACATTCTAGCTGTTTACGACGCTTTAGGGCTTCCCGTAAAATCCCTTATCTCGCGCGCTGAAGCAACAGTCTGAGGGTGTCGGTATTAGTCATCGTAAACGTACGGTACGACAGGACAATACAGGTACAGTACCAAGGTGCAACACCAACACCATGGAAAATTGCACACTAATGCTTCTGAGAAACCCCCTAAGATGCAGGTGCAAAGGTGCAGTCTCCGGCAGTAGCATAAGCCTTACATGTGTGCAACCGCTAAAGTCGACGAGTAAAGATGAAACCCTAGTGGCTTAGCCTGGTCACGTCATTCGTATATCGGAAGAACGCCTCCAGTCTTCTCGACGTCATGACCAATCACGTGACACACCGCACCGTCGTCATGGCGGTCATTGCGCTCCGTAACCGCCAGATCGTCCTTTCGGAGTTCTCACTTCCTCAGCTTTGATAACGACCCGTCTTTTCTCTTCTTCAACTTCTCCGTCAGCCTCCATCCAACCCCGAGAGTTAGCCTCAGTCGACAAATCAGTTCAACTCTTTAGAATAAGCAAGAATGGCTACCTTCCAGGATCGTGCTCAGCACGCTATCGCTCAGCTTGACAAGGAGGTGAGTTCTTGTTTGTGCGTGTTGATATTCGTAGGAGAAATACGTTGGCATTGATTGCTTGTGTCGAGGGGGATAACTATGATTCTGTGTTAATAGTTTGACTTTGGACTTCTTCAACTAAGTTCATCTGGTGGAACTGGCGGCAATTGACCGCCGCTTGTCTTTTTGTTTTCCTATTTTATTTTTTCTTTGTATTCGGATCTCGCGAGGGAGGCTAATCAAAACATTTCTTGTGTGTGTGTGTTTCCGCAGCTCTCCAAGTACCCTGTCCTCAACAACCTTGAGCGTCAGACCTCCGTCCCCAAGGTCTACGTGATCCTGGGCCTGGTCGGTGTTTACACCTTCCTGGTTTTCTTCAACATCGCCGGTGAATTCCTTGTTAACCTGGCCGGTTTCATCATCCCTGGCTACTACTCTCTCAACGCATTGTTCACCGCTGGCAAGGCCGATGACACACAGGTACGTTTTACTTCTCATCTGACCCTAGGCGCTGATTGAATAAGCTGACTCTTCGTGATTCTTGTAGTGGTTGACGGTATGTTCTTGTGATCTTGTTTTCTCCCTCTGATCTATACCGCTTTGCACCTGGGCCGTGTTCCGAGCACGTGACGGGTTTCCTCGTATGAATCGGCATGACTGATTGACATGTGAATCGGATAGTACTGGGTTGTTTACGCCTTCTTCGCCGTCGTTGAGAGTGCTGTCTATGCTCCTTACTGGTTCCGTAAGTAGTGCCTTTCTGTTCTTCAGTTACGGTGGCTTTGTTGGGAACAATGTACTGATCTTCAATTTAACTAGCCTTTTACTACATCTTCAAGTTCGGCCTCGTTCTCTGGATGGCTCTCCCCCAGACCAAGTAAGCTTGCATTTTCTTTTCCTTCTATGAACTCGACCATGAACCTGGGCTGATCCGATTTTCTAGCGGTGCCCAAGTCGTCTTCCACTCTTTCATTCAGCCCGTTTTTGGCCGCTTCTTCGCTGGCGGAAACACCTCGGCCAACCTCCGCGCCCAGGCCGATGCTGCTACCAAGGCCCAGTAAACAGACCGTATAAGGTGATACGGCATTCGCGGCGTGTTCTGTGTTGCCATGAGCCAGGTCGGTCTTGGTGTTTTGGTACTTGAAAATAAAGAAACCAGTGAGGATTCGCTGGCACGGATAAAAGTGTCAGGTGAGAAGGCACTTCGACCTGAGTCAGACGGTTTTGGGTCATTCTAGCTGTCTTGGTATTTTGTCATGATTAGTAGAATTGCTTGATTTGTTTTGCGTGTTGGGTGAGACGCGGGGAACCACGCCCTCTTTCCACGAACGCGGGTATAGTTGTATTTGATGCGATGATGCCACTTTGTTAATCTGAAGCACCATTTGATTTGTTTCAATTCCGGGTCCTTCCCCGCAAGATGTGTTAGCATCCGCGCTTGTTGAATCTCAAACAGTACAGGGATGAGCCAGTGGAACGTAATAATACACGGGAAAACAGGTTGCAGAAAACCCCCAGCGTCGGAGCATGAAATTAACATCGAACCGTTACTCCACAACTCCGGATATACAGATAAGGATGCAAGCTGCGCGTATCTTTGGAGAAAGAGAAGGGAAAAGAGAAAAAAAAAAAAAAAAGAAAAAGGCACTGCGACCCAGCGAAACCTTACGGATGTAATGATTTCTTAAATCAGTATAGTCCAAAACGATTCTGCCAGCCATCTGACCGGGGGTTTAGGACAATCCTGTAAGGGAATGGGTTGGAATCACTTGTCGTGATGGGCGGAATATGATCCTTTTCTCGGTTGACTACGGCGAGAATCTTCAGGGCTGCCTTTTGAAGCATATTCTCCATCGCCTTGCGCACTTTGGCGCGTTCTGCATAAGCAGTCAGCACTGACATGCATTCGTACAAACTGCAGAACGCATGTATGGGGCGATTTTTCGGTGGCAAATGCATACCTGATTCTGTCCGTGGAGTGGCGATTGTCACATCCAGATTCCACACCTCCCAACATACTTCTTCCTCGCCTTTTCCAGCAAGTCCGCCAAACCAGATTCCGGAGCGCCTGCGCTTCTTCTCGTAGAACTCTACTGCGATCCGACCGCGCACACCGCTGGCCCCTTCATGAGCACTAGCGGCTGACGAGGAGTGCTGACGCACTAGGGCGCTGATACGCGACTCAATCAGAGTCTCAAGGTCTTCATCGTTAATAGCGGGGAGAGTAAAGTCTAGGACATCAAAGGTAGTCGGTCGGATAGAGGGAAAGTAACGGTGAAAAAAGATTAGGTTGAGAACACCTATAGGAGAGGGGGTGTCAGTTACATATACCAGAAGTGTTATTAACGAACAAGACGTTAGATCTAAAAAATGTTTGAAAAAAATAATGTACCTTTTAAGACTTCCCGGACGGTGGTGGTGTCTGCAAAGATCTCCAGGAAGTACTCCGGAGGGGTTTTGCGGGGCTCCATAACGTAACGCGTTCGTGTTGGGGATGCGAGAGATGGATCTGAAACGAACGGTGGGGATCCCGTTCTCCTTTTACTGCTCTATGGATTTGATGATAGCGAGTTTTCGATGACGACCCAGCTACCGCAGCGAGCTGGGCCGTAAAGACGGTGCGATGTCACCGTTCCTCACGGGGGGTTCGGGCAGTCGAGGAGTGGCGGAGAAGATGACAATGTCGAATGCTGAGGGTGTAAAGGTGTAAGAGTGCTGTCTAGATTTGTACGAGTTGTATGAGATACTTGACCGTGATGTTCACGGAGGATGCATGATTCTCTAGGGATATTTCTGGTAGGTCAACCAGCAGAGGAGAGTGACATGGGTATGTAGACGAGAAGAGTTGAAGAGGATGAACCAGTGGATCAGGAGTGAGACGGTGACCATTCCGGCGGAGGAGGTTGCCCCTCGCCGATAGTGACGGAAAGATAACGGTGCCTTAACTCTTTTGGAGTACGGAGTACCTGAGCGTTACTCAATTTGACCCTACCTACAATGAACTTGTTTAGAATGAAAAAAAAGTAGAATTATACGATAAACGTAGATGAATCACTTCAGAATTTATAGATGATATACATATATTTGTTGATTTATATATATTAAATTATATTGACACTTTATGTAAAAGAAAAAAACAAAGCTCTTCATCCAATTTAATACATCCCCGGCAATCATAGCACCACCCCATGATTTCACGTTGCTATCGAAACTTTAGCCGAGGCCGCGCCAGACGGTTGGCCATGCTTTTATCATTCCCCGACCGTCTCTCTCGGCTGTTGTCATTGATGATCAGTCCTCCTTCGCCTCCTCTCCCCTTTTATATTCTCTGGCATTAGCTTGCCTCTGCTTTGCTATTCCTTTTGTCATACCCTATGATGAGCTGAATCGATTTTATATTCTTGAGAGAGATTATCCGCGTACCTCCGACCGCTCCACCATGATCGGTGCTACTAGGCGCTGGTTCCGACGCAATCGCAAGGGTCTCGCGATCGGGGCTGGCGTGATCGGAGCCGGTTACCTTGCAGGACAATATGTGCTCTCCAAAATATCAGAAGCACGGGAACGTATGAGCAGTGATCGGATCGCTCGGGAGAAGTGAGTAGCCTCCCTGTGCTTGTCGAGTGTGTTCGTGTACTCGGAGACGGTAATTGACGTATCATTCTCGAATGTTGCAACCCTCAGTTTACGGCGACGTTTCGAACAAAACCAAACCGATTGCACCTATACCGTTCTCGCTCTCTTACCGACTGCTGCAGAAGATATCCTGGACGCTCTTCCTGTCGAGGAATTGACGAAAGAACTACAACGAAAGCGAGCAGAGAGGTTAGCTCGGCTCGGCGCTGGGGAAGGGACCGGATCAGATCTAAGCTCTGTATCCCCCAGCTTACCGGAGGATGACCGTCGGAGTCTATCCAGTTTCCAGAGTGATGGATTCGTCCGCACAAGCCCGCCGGGAGAATCTTCCGTTGAGGGCGATGGCGAGGCGCGACCGAAAAGAAATAAGACACAGCTTTGGAATGAAGTTAAGATCACTTGTAAGACATCATCTCAAACATATTATCTTGCGGAAACTGAACTTCATCGGCTTGTTACAGCTATCACTAGGTCCTTCACTCTAGTCTATACCCTTTCTCTGTTGACAATCTTTACACGAATCCAACTCAACCTCCTCGGCCGTCGGAACTATCTTTCCAGCGTAATCTCTATGGCGACACCCCCTGCCAACGAATCGACGATCAGGCTGGAAGACCATGACGATGATGACCTCACACAGACTTTGGGAAATGATTTTGAGACCAATCGCCGCTATCTTGCCTTCAGTTGGTGGTTGCTTCACCGAGGTTGGAAGCAGCTCATGAACGAGGTACAGACTGCCGTTACAGATGTCTTTGGGCCCCTTAACCCTCGAGAGGATGTCTCGTTGGCCAGGTTGTCCGAGCTATTCCTAGAGGTTCGAAAGAGAGTAGAAGGACATACTGAGGAGGAAAGAAAGCATGTTCCTTCTTACCCCCAAAGCCAACCGAACTTTTTTACTAACCGTTGCTATAGACACAGGAAGTGGCTGTCTTATCTACTCCCCCCTTGCGAAGAGGAGGATAAAGTACTAGAGGAGTCCGGTGTCCTTGGAGTGACGGAGCTCGCCAACGCCCAAACCGCAACTACCTTACGACATCTATTGGACGAGACGGCCGACCTGATCGAGTCACCAACCTTTACACGCGTCCTGATGCTTCTTAACAATGAATGCTTCCAGACATTGATTCATCAGTGCACCGCCGATGCCTTCAAGTCGGCTTCACAAACTCCACGGAGCATTCCCCAGTCATTTACTTCAGTTGCTACGGTTGTCCCGGGAGCTGATAGCTCTGAGCCAAAGGCAAAGTTAGCCAACATTCTAGCGGTTTTAGCCCGCCAAGCACATGTGATTGGCAATGGTACAAACCCGCCAAATATTTACCTAACTGCGATGGACCAAGGTGTGCGAGAGTTAGAGGCCTTCGCAGCTGTAGTGTATAGCTCTAACTTTGATTTCGAGCTGATTGGGTCCGGAACGAAGACGGACTCTCCAGGAGAGGAGACGCCCGGCTCGGACACGGCGTTGGTCGAGAAGGAAGACTACGATGGATATGACCGCAATCAGGTTCTACAGCCGCCGACCGCAGGACCCGGCGCGGATTCGGCATTTGAGAAGGCGTGGGGGAAAGCAATGGAAGAGCAGCCATCGACTGCTACGTAGCCAGGCAGGCGTGCTTCTTCCCGGAAGCGACGGATAGTATCAATCCACCGTGCCTTTTCTCGGACTTGGATAATGCTGGGGGGGGGGGGGAGGGGGTGTAGTTCTTGTATGATATTTACTGTGCATTTTTACGAAAGCATGGCTTTCTATGACGGCGGTGTTCACCGCGGTTACAGCTATTATAGATGTTCCTATCAACTCCCCACATTATGGTAGAATTGGCATGTCAAATATACAAATGGCCTATGGAGTGTATTGTTGGAAAGAAAACGCCCTCAAACTACGGACTTGGTGCGAGCTGAAGCAGACGATATCATCATTAAGGCAAGGCAATTCCTTCCTATGTACGGAGTATACTCCGTACAATTAACAGAATGGCGGAATTACAGCCGCGAGAGTTTAAAAAACTCAACGCAGGGTAACAAATGGTCACAGTAGCATTTAGACTTTTCATCGGTAATAAACAGCTTACTCCGGAGTATCTAATGCCAAACAATGCCGAACACTCACTCCACTGATGTTCTAGTCCCATTGATTACTGATACTACTAGTAGTTAGTTAGTTAGTTAGTGTGGGGAGGTCGTTTATGTAATCGTCTCCAGCGGACCTTTAACTTAGTTAAATTGCGGGGAAAGCAGCTTAGGGCAATACGGAGTAACATTGGGGTTTGGTTACCTTGATCTCCAGTAATGTCGCGGGGTGAAAAAGCATACCATCAAGGAAGAAGGAAGGATGATCTTAGATTACTTTGTATGTACCATGTGGTTGACATGCATATGGCCAGGTCTAGTAATGGGCCCCCGGAGTTAAGCTCCCAAGCTGCAAGAAATCTTATCCAGCCAATCTCAATTGACCATGCTGATTCGGGTTCTCAAGGTAGTAGTAGTTAGGTACTCATGACCGCGGAGTGACTCGTACTCATAATCCTTCCGAGCACAAGAGCAGCGTTATGCATAGACCGGCCTTGACTAGTCTTGATTATCGGCAATGATCAGGACCGAATGATTTGGACTTTCCCTCCGGTGTCTTTTTGTTTCTCCCCTCTTCTGTGCTGCTTATATTTCAATCTTTCCTCCTAGTGGTGAATACATTGAAGTCATCCCTTCGTTCCCTTTTTTCAGCCCGCTCTATCCCCCGACAGTAAGCGATAACAATCTACTCTTTCCTGCGGTAAACAATCAGGGGAGAGAAAAAAAAAAAAAAAAAAAAAAAAAAAAAAAAAAAAAAAAAAAAAAAAAAAAAAAAAAAAAAAGGCGGTTAATCACGAGTACTCGAAACACATACATCATGGGATTCGACGGTAAGGTGAGCAACGCACCTTACCATGAGCATGATACTGGCTGGCAAATCGCGCGACCAGAGCAACTCACTCCACAAGATGACAAAAACGAAGGCCATGTCGATGCGCAACCGACCGATCTCCCCCAGCTGAGGCATACCACGGAGCGCAAGCTTATGGCTAAAATTGACTGGCACATCATGCCCTGTCTGTGTATTATGTATCTGCTCGCATTCTTGGATCGGTATGCCCCGGATTGGCTTCCCCATGAACACAACTGAATAGCTATCTTATGTTGCTCTTTGCGAACAGCGTGAACATCAGTAACGCAGCAGTCCTCGGCCTACAAGAAGACTTGAATATAGTTGACGGGACGAAATATAATACTGCACTGACCATATTCTTCGTTCCATATGTCATTTTCGAAATTCCATCCAATATCTTGCTTAAGAAGTTGAGACCCCATGTATGGTGTAGGTATTCCTGATATACCGCGGATAGGAGGGATGAACTGAAAGGCTGGTGGATACTCTAGTGACAGGATGTATGTTTTTATTCGGTCTGGTTACGATCTGTCAAGGCCTAGTCTCCGGTTGGGGCGGGCTAATGACGACTCGGTGGTTTCTGGGTAATTTGACAACCCTCTGGTCAGCGTAGCACTTGTCAACTGACATTTCATATCTAGGAATGTTTGAGACAGGCATGTTCCCTGGTTGTACGTTCTGCTCTTTCCCTTTTTCCCGCTCGATATAACGATCACTGACAGTCTTATACAGGTTTCTATCTCTTGGGAATGTGGTATAAACGGAGTGAGGCACAGAAGAGGTTCAGTTTCTTCTTTAGTTCGACCACACTTGCGGGCGCCTTTGGTGGCTTGCTGGCTAGTGGGCTTGGAAAGATGGATGGGATTCGTGGCTACCGAGGCTGGCGCTGGGTCTTTATTATTGAAGGCCTGATCACTTGTGTCGTCTCGCTTGCCTGGTTCTTTGTTATTCCTGATTTCCCCGAAGAAGTCAAATGGCTCACCGATGAAGAGCGCGAATTTATCCGGGTAAAACTAGCCAAGGACTCGGGGGGCGCCGGTCATGATGCTAAAATAGGTTGGCGCGACGTATTGGAGGTCTTCAAAGACTGTGAGTGACATGATGAGCATGCCAAAAAATCTTCGCGATGCTCATTATATATTCCAGATAAGATATTCATCGGTGGTATGATGTACTTCGGTCAGGTTGTCACAGCATATGGTAGGACAGACGCACATGCTTCTTAACATGTGCCTTCACTGATGTTGGGCACGGTTGCTAACAACGCGCAGGATATGCCTACTTCGCGCCAACCATCATCAAAAGTTATGGTTACGATGGTACGTCTATCTACTATTTATTCCGCACCTTGCACTCTATTAAGCCTTTTTTTCTAGCAATCAAGACCCAGCTGTATTCGATCCCACCATGGGCTGCCGCTTGGGGATTTTCCATGCTGGTGGCTATTCTCTCTGACAAAACCAGACATCGGTTTGCCTTTACTATGGCGCCCATGTTGATTGCCATGGCTGGTTTTGGAATCTTGCTGAATGTACACGGGCAGGCCCATCGAAATGTTCAATATGGCGCCTTATTCATGGTTACATGCGGTTGTTACAGTGCAATGCCGGTCATCGTTTGCTGGTTCGCGATGAACCTATCAGGCCATCGTAGGCGAAGTGTGGGAACGGCCTGGCAAGTAGGATTTGGAAATAGTGAGTAAAACTCTGGGTGGGGGGCCTTAATCTCATTCACCGTAGCTAACATGGCAGCAGTTGGTGGTATTATCTCGACGTACGCCTTCTTGAAAAAAGATGCACCGGAATACCGGCCAGGATATATAATCAGCGTGTCCTTCCTTAGCTTTTCGGCGGCTTGTTGCATCGGCTACTTTGCGGCCGTCTGGTATGACAACCGGCGCCGCGATCAGGCAATGGCCAATGGCATGGCTATACCCAGTGACGAAGAACAAGAGCTACTGGGTGATATGGCGTTGAACTATCGCTATAGCTATTAGCGTGGTGCTTTGGTCGTTGAACTTAAAGAGATGTTGAGATGCCTCGTAGCGATTTACAGGATCGATGCAAGGCTACCTCAGGCACATAGACGGCGGAACAACTTGGGTGAATGGTGGACATGTGACCTTCTTCTGTTCTCTTCAAAGAGCAATGAAAAATTTTTCATATTTTTACAATCACAGATCACATTTAAAAGTGGATATGCAGTAAGAGAGAAAATGAATTCCATAGATAGATGACATAATGCCTTCTCGGTAAGCCGATGGCCAGCCAATCAACGGTGAGACAGCACTAGCGAACCCTTAGCGTCTCAGGATGCTGAGTCAGCCACAACGCACACAATAAGCTCGGCCGGCCGCTGCTCTCCATCTTTCTTTCAACCATCTCCTCATCCTCGCAGAAGTGTGAGTATACAGCCCGGGCTGGCACCTGGTTGCCTCTTTCATTGCATATCAACTAACGCTTCACAGTCTCGAACACTCTACGAAGATGAGAGCTAAGTGGAGAAAGAAGCGCGTTCGTCGTTTGAAGCGTAAGCGCAGAAAGATGCGTGCTCGCAGGTGAGTTATCACAAAGGCTCAGAAATCAAGCCTCTTGTAAAATTGGACTAACGACGTGCGCAGCAAATAAATGACTCGCCCAATCCATCTCAGTTCCCCATGCTGTGCTCAAGTTGAATGCTGAACATGACAAAAAGTCGACGACGTCACGATGATGATTCCCTGTTATGATCGTTTCGTGGTTTAGCCACTCCAACGGGACCTGGCTGGTCTGCTATTCTCTACATCCTATCGAATCCGGAGTCTGTCATGCAACGAAAATACAAATCCAATCTCTCGGGCTCATTTAACGGTTTCGAATTTGACCAGACAGGGATGCGCACTGCGTATCCTTCGTCTCGGAGGGCGAATGTGTTTGGTGGAGGTTGGAGGGGTCGTGGAAGAAGTTGATGGTCACGTTTCTTATGTACTATTTGTTTTTGTTCCACTGGCCCTTTGGGTTCCGTATGGGATCTGGTCAATTGCTCTTCTTAGGGTTTGTGCTGTAGCCTACAGTTGCGATACAAGTCCTGAGCCATGGAGAGGTCCTCGAGGATTTATCACAAATTAAAAAGTTTGCAATGAAAGCAATGACTGAAAACCACCTGAATTCTTGAAGATGAACGTATCAATGTAGAAAAATTGCGAGTAGTCCTTGCATTGTAAATTGATATGCAAATCGCACTTGATCAGTGGATTTGTGCGTTTGATATGATCCAATGCTTTCTTCTCCGCCTTGAGTGCGGAGACTAATTCTGCCCCTACTTCCCGCCCAGCAATTTTTTTTTTTACTTGAGCTTTTTAATGTATAATTGATTGAATCTTACGAGGCTGTTCTCCACGCAAAGTCGAATTCATTCGGCCCCCCTTCAGATTTTATTCTTAGTACAACGCCATGCCTTCCGGTAAGGTGGAAAAGAAGCGCAAGCGCGCTTCGAACGGCCACGAACGGCCGAGTAAAAAGCCCGCTCTCGAATTCCAAGATCTGCCTCCTCTCGCGGCCAGCGTGGTCAACGATGATAGCGAATTGGCTCCAGTGATCAGTATGCGCTCCTTAACTGCTTGACTACACTCCCAACCAGCGTGTACAGAGAATTGATCGCCGCTATAGTAACCACCCCTGGTGTGAACGTGCCCCAAAACCTTCATTTAAAACCATACCTCAAGGACCGAGCAGATGGCTCTCATTCAGGTCGCTCCACGCGGAACAAGGGCATAGTCTCGTCTGAACTGCTCCTGCAGACTTCGGAACATCCGAAGATGGATTTTGTGGGTCGCGAGGCCGAAGATGACGCCGATTCACAGTTGAAGCATTACATCGCCGTTGTGGATCCCGAAAAGAAAAGCTGGCAATTTGTTGAGGTGCGGAAGGTGACTCTCCGTGGGGCAGTGAGGAGAACAAAGGCTGCTGAAGATGAAGAGGAAGAGGTTGAGAGTGAAGATGAGGAGATGGTAAGTTCTTGTTTCCATAACCGGCGAGGGCGTGGGTTACTGACAGATAACAGAAAACGATGCGCGCTCAACGCACAGAACTCACCAATACATTCGGTACCAAGCAATCTCGCAAAGCAGCACAGTCCATGGCCGAAAATGCCCAACTCTCCAATGCCCCCGCTGGTGCTGCCTCCGCCGCAGAATCTGCTATCCTTTCGTCCATGCCCCTCGACTCCGTCACCGACATTGCTACAAAGACCGCTGCGGTGCAGGCTCAAGTTCAAGCTAACAAACCACTGCCGCAAGCCAATTTGGCGGCATCTCATCCTTCCGATGTGTACCCGATTGATGTGCTTGTTCCGGGAGGTCTGTCTACACTCCAGCAGCTCCCGGGCATGAACGAGTGGCAGGAGACAGTGAATTCGGGAGAAGCCGTCGCCACCACATCACGATATGTGTCTCGCCGGGTGGAGGCAGTCGTCAACTCAACCAATGCCACCCAGCTTCAAGTACTCCGTTTTATCTTCCTCCTCCTCGAGCTTGCCCGCGCCCTTCGCTCAGGCAAGGACTCCAAATCGTCTGGGCCAGGCAGCAAGCGTCTTCCACCTCGCGATGAACTACGCCGCATCCTCTCCTCCTCCACTGGCGCCAAAACCGACTCAGCCGAACTCCTCCCAGATCCCGTCATCGACGCCATCCGCCGCAAATTCGCCCCACAGGGCTCCCATATCACCAAGAACGACATCACCTTCCTGCACACCACCATATGCGCGCTATCCTTGCACATTCCCCCTCAGCCAGCCAAGGACGGCGGCTCCAGCTCTCAAGGTGGAAACGCCCCCAACGAACTGGCAACGGACCCGTCCGATCTGCGCGACGATCTGCGTCTGGACAACACGGTCATCACGCAATATTTCCGCGAATTGGGCTGTCGCGTCGACAAGCCACGCGAAACAGAATTCGCCAAATGGGGTATCAAGGGCGGTAAGGCTGAAGCCAATGCTAGACGTGTGGCTAGATTGAGGGTCCCCGTCGAGTTCCCCAAGGTTAGCCGTGGTGGAAAGAGGTAATTTAATGGCCATTGTCTCTTCCTTTTATATTGAACAAAACACAAAAGAATCTATTTACGTTGAGCTTGTCCATGATGCGATTGGCGTTCGGTTTCAGGCTGTACTATATGTACATACTATTTTGTGGATAAATATCATATTACGAACTATCCAAATGTGCCTCTTCTACCTGCTCTTTAACTGGATTGGTGTTTGCGTATACCAACTGTAGACGATTTCATTGTAGAAAGCCATGGGCACTCTAGCATAACCTAACGTCCCTTAGGTCCGGAAAGTAGGAGGATGAAAAGGGCAAAGAATAAATGAAGTAATAGAATGAGGGATCTATATGAAAAACACCCCTCGGAAGCAAATATATAAATAAATGTTAACCCCACCCTAGTTTAAATAATGTGGTCTAAGCCTAATCAATCAGTAAACAAGTAGGCGGATACAGATATTTGTTTCTCTTACGTTCTTTTCATCTCTTTCTCTCTCGCCCTTGCTCTATATATCTCTGCCTATATTCACACCCTCTTGTCCAACATTCGGCTATCTAAGCTCTATATAGACAGAGGATTCCACATGTGCTATCTGCTTTACCATGATTCTTTCCTATATACTAAGTGATACTGTTGTTATAACTAGCCTAATTTGGTAGCAACCCCATGCTTCCTTTCTCATTGATGAGGAGCGTAACTACTTGATTTGGTGGCGTATCTTGCCCATACGCTAACGATATATATATATATATATATATATATTTGGATATCAAGTGATATACGAATTCTCTGTCCTATATAATATCAGAAGTGAATATACAAACAGATCGAATATCAACATATTCTCCTACTAAGTTTAATGACAACGTCTAGGTAACATGGAGAAGGTTAGAATATGAGGAGGTATCGGTAAGATGAATCTATCTTATCTACTCTTGGGAAGTGAGGTGGTATATCGGATTTACAATCGCAATTACAAGTCAATGGTCGATAAAGTGATTCCTACTAATTCGCTTCAAGAAGGATCTGGAAAAGTATTCTAAATTATGTTTGTTTGAAAGTAGCTATCCATATCATGAATTGGATGTCAGATCCTGTGAGTATATGAATGATGCCTCTATTTCAAACCTTGCAATGTAGGTGCCTTACCTATCTAACCTGGCTTATGATCTTAGATGTCTTTAAGGGTACCCAGAGGTTGGAATCGATTAATGCGACCTGATGTAGCCTGAGGCTCGGATATTGATCGGAGGTAGGTGATGTTCGGTACTACGTTTTATGATACTTTTTTATTATTTTTAGAAGAATTCTGAAGGTTAGTTGACTACTGACATTGACTACAATTACTGGGTAGTGTATTTGAAGCTCTGCGGTTACGGATGAGATGAAGTGGTATTTGTTGGGGGGTGGGTAAAATAGTATGTTAGATTTCAAGTCGAACCGAAACACACAGTAACGACAGACTGGTTCTAATTAACAGACCAAATACCAATTACGTCCAGTCATATTTGCGCACTGCGGCGAACAAGGGCCAAAGGAGTGGATGTGGAATTTATAACATAGAGAGGGTGTATATAGAATTCCATTTCAATTTCAGCTCACATGCGGGTAGCCACTTCAGGCAGCCACACCCACCGGGATTGACGAAGCGACAGCCGCGGAAGGACGGGTGGCGGTCTGCGTGGGGGCCTCGGCAAACTCGCGTTCCACAGCAGCCTCAATGGCTTCGTTTTCCTTCAACCTCAGCTGCGCGTCGTTCCAAATCGGCTGGTTCTCAGCCTCGGCGCCCTCAACACCCACGCCGACGAAACCGCCTTGCGCTTCCCAATCGCTGGTGCGTTTGATGCCCAGCTCGTTCCAGACAGTCTGGACGGCCTGCACCAGGTGGTCGCGGTGATGCTTGACATGTCCGGGGGTGGGCGTGATACGCAGACGCTCTTCACCCCGAGGCACGGTTGGGTAATTAATAGCTTGTACGTAAATTCCATGCTCCTCCAGAAGCTTGTCCGAGGCCTTCTTAGCAACCTCGGCATCCCCAACCAGTAGCGGAATGATGTGAGAGGGGTTTGGAATCACAGGAATATCCAACTCCTTGAAAGCTGCTTTGACCGCGCGGGTGTGCAACTGCTGCAGGACACGGTCGCCCTGGTGACGAGCCTGATACTGGATAGCAGTGTCTGCACCAGCCATGGTAGCGGGCGGCAAGGACGTAGTGAAGATGAAGCCAGGGGCGAGGGAGCGGACGGTGTCAACCATCGCAGCGGATCCAGCAATATAGCCCCCGACACATCCGTAGGCCTTGCCGAGAGTACCAGTGATGATATCGATACGGTCCATCACGGTTCCCTTCGTACTGCGCGGGTTGGCCGTATCTTGGGAAGCATAGATGTCATAGTCAAGGTGCTCTGCCACACCTGCTCCGTGAGGTCCGTACATTCCCACAGCGTGAACTTCATCTAGGAAAGTAATGGCACCGTACTTGTCTGCAAGATCACAGATCTTCTCAATTGGCGCAATAGATCCACACATGCTATAAACCGATTCAAATGCAATGATCTTGGGGACATGAAGAGGTAGGGATGCCAGCTTAGCCTCAAGGTCGACCAGATCATTATGCTTGAAAACCATTTTCTTGGCGCCTGAATGGCGAATACCCTGAATCATGGATGCATGATTCAGGCTATCGGACAGAATAACACAGTCCGGCATCTTGCTACCCAAGGTTGCGAGGGTGGCATCGTTGGCCACGAAGCACGAGCTGAAGACTAATGCCGCCTCCTTGCCGTGCAATTTGGCTAGGGTGCTCTCCAGGCCCACGGCATGTTGATTATGACCTGAGATGTTGCGAGTACCTCCCGCACCAGCTCCGTAGGTGTCCAACGTCTTATGCATGGTGGCTAGAACCTCGGGGTTGCGGCCCATGCCGAGATAATCGTTTGAGCACCAAACCGTCACACGTTCCTCGGTAGATGTGGTGTGAGCCCGGGGGAACTCCTGAGCGAGACGATTGATGTTATTGAAATAGCGATACGACTTGTCCTTGTGTTTCTTTTCCAATTCGGCGTTGTAGAAAGCATTGTAGTTGAACGGCTTCGCCACGGGAACATCTGGGCGAGGGCCAGACGTAGCGGCAGCGGCGGTAGCATTGGAGGGGGTTTTGATCTTCGAAAAACCGGCGGGATCTCGCTGGGTAGTTTTGTAAATCTCAGCGCTCACATTGGCACCGTTGCCGGAGGTGGAGTGCAGTGCTCTCTTCCCAGTAGGAGAGCGGCAATGCTTGTTGCTGAGACCGGTAACGCCGGCAGCGCATGAGGTAAATCTTTTGGTGCCAGCCATGCGAGCGCTCTGCACGGCCAGGGCCTTGCTCATGACAGGACAGCGACGAGCAATGACCTGGAGATTAGACATGGTGCCTCCACCGGAACTAGTGCTAGGCCGAGTCGCGGTTGAGAGCGTGCGCAGAGAGGATGGAGATGTGCGCTTGAGGAACGGGCACATCGCCCGAGACTGCTGGAGAAGAGACTCCATGAGTGATACTTCAATGGATAACGAGACTGACGATATACACAAGAGGAAGCAAAGATGAAATGCCGATCAAGAGAAAAAGGGAGAGATGGATATGTTACCCGCGGCGAAGAGGAGAAAGAAATAAAGAGTCAATCTGGCTGATGGCCTGAGGGCGAGGGGGTGCTGGGGCACTAAGCCGCTTCCAGTAAGAGTAGGTCGGGGGCTTCGGCGAGACTTTTCGGCTTACCATATCGTCCGCCGTGATTGGCAGGCGGCCTTAACTCGGTCATTGTATTTTCATAGGCAAGAAAACTCACCGCAGACTCCGGTGCGTACCGATACGAAACTTTTACCTATGAAATCATTTATAACCCAAGAGGTCTGGCTGCGGGGAGTATTACCCTAATTAGAATTAGATACAGACCAGCAGGAAACCTCGACAAGGTGGCCACATTCGGTATCCAGATGTAGTTACAGTACAACCACTTAGTAAAAATAGCCGGGTGGTAGCCGTCAACTTCACACCGTACAGACTACTAACAAATACACAACTGCATGTCTATCTTGCCATCAATTTCAAAATTCGCACTCGACTTTTTCTTCACCTTCGCTTTGCCACTATTGGCTGATTACCACAGGTTTCATCCCTCGTCTTCAATGACTCTTTAATCGCTTCGTACATCAGGAATCAGAAATATATGCTGTTAATACAAGGCGGAACGTAAGCTGCCCACAAGAAGCTTCCAATAAATGATAAATGAAAAATAACAAAAAAAAGAAGAAGAGGGGTTTAAAAAAGAAAGAAATAAATGCAATCTCTGAACGCCATGACCATAACCAGCCGTGTCAATTATTGAGGTACAAGTTGATTGAATCAACTAGGCCCCAAGCCTCCATCGCCATCAATGAGACGTAATCGCTCCTTGGTAGTTTTGGCTCTTTTAGACGTGCCTTTTCCTGCCCCCCTGCCACGTCCTCGTTTAGGAACTGGCGTGGATGATGGGGTGCCTAAATTCTCTGCAGTTGACACAGGAGTGGCCGCTCCTGATGGCTTTGCACTGGCATCGTCAAAGTTCCCTTCACCTATAGATTGATGCGGTTAGTGCCATTATCAGAAGCCTCCCCGGAACGGAGAGCTTTGATCAGATCCACATACCTTCATGATACATATCATCCAGCGTGATATCTCTCTTTCTCTTCTGAGCAGCTTTCTTCCCGCCTTTACTAACGCCAAACACTTCGCCCCGGTCCAGCGCTTCCTTCTCCTTTTGCTCGATAAGCTCCGCTTGTTCATCATCTGCCAACCACATGGCGATGTCCTTGGTTCGGCTCTCGCGGTTGCGAGTATTGAAGTCAACCCCACCAGCTGCGCCGCCTGAAATGACAACACGCTGCACTTCCTCCTTCTGCAAAGCTCGCTTGCGAATACGCTCCTCAATAGTGCCGCGAGTAATCAAGCGATACACCGTGACCTGTCTCGTCTGGCCGAGACGGTGAGCACGATCCATAGCTTGAGAGTCAATGGTAGGGTTCCAGTCCGAATCATAAAAGATAACCGTGTCTGCTGCTGTTAAGTTGATACCCAGACCACCAGCACGAGTAGACAGAAGGAAGACGAAGATTTCTGGACGCTGCTGGAAGTCTGCCACCGTGTCGCGACGGTCTTCCAATTTCGTACTTCCGTCTAGGCGACAATACTTATAATTGCGGTAGGTCAAGTACTCTTCCATTAGATCAATCATGCGTGTCATCTGGAAGTATAGTAGCACACGGTGACCGCCTGCCTTAAGTTCTCGCAATAGCTCGTCTAGCTTGGCCAATTTACCCGAATCCGTAACGAATCGACGCATAGATGGTACTTCAATGTGCGTGTAGCGTCCTTTGATAGATATTGGCTGCGGCAGCATTGGCGGGAGTGAGTAAGGGATAGGGTCCAGCTTCTTTTCAAGAATGTGCTGTTCAAGTTGCTTAGAAGGCGTGCTGAACAAGGCATGTCGAACTGAGACGTTGAGTAGGCTATCATTCATTTCATTCAGAGGTGCTCGACTGGAAGAGGAGACGGTAATCGGAGGCGCAGATGCTGCGGGACTGACACAAGGCTCGATGATGCCGAGACCTTCACGCTCAAAGGCGGACTGTGCCACGGTCGTTAACTCCCGCATGTATCCCTCTGTCGTGACATCATTAACAGCATATTGGTCGTTACGTTCGACGATGTTGAACATGGTATGGGGAAGAGCGGATGTCATCGTTGTTTCATCGTCATCATAGACTACGTTGAGCCGAGACAATCTGTTGGGTTTCCCGCGCCGGCGAACCGCCCGCTCAAAGATACCCTGATGGGACTGCTCATACGCTTCGTTTATGGAAGTGTCGACAAAGCGTAGGAAAGAAAATGTACCACCGTGTTCGACACTATGCTTGATGTTCTCCGGGGCGAAGATGTTCATCAAGTGAGCCAGGTACTTGCCACGGAAGCCGGCGTGTAGATTACCGGGACCTGCTACATCGACACGGCCGCCAGAGCCGCATAGAAGGCGTGGCAAAGGATATTCGATCAGGTTACGTGTCGAGTAACCGACATCGACGTTTTGGCCTTCTCGGACGAAGGATGCCGTTTCCGCGAAATGTGCGACAGAGAAGGGTGATTTCGTTTCCGCGCGTTCGAATAGGTCTGGATGATTACAAACCTTCCGGAACTGCATGACCAAGTTCATCAACGTCGTGCTGTCGGCTTCATCGCCAATAGCAGCCTTCTCGATAAGGTCCATGATGCTGACGCGGTTTCGCAAGTTAGTGTAATAGGCTCGCTGACGGTAGGTCAGATCACAGAAGACATCTTTCTCAACCTTGTCCCCAAGCTCCTGCTGGACGTGCTTTTTAACACGACGAAGCATGAAGGGCTTCAAAATCATGTGGAGACGCTTCAGCTGGTCTTCATTCAACTTGGTGTTACTTTGAGCGTGAGACTCGATATCTTTGGAGAACCACTCGCTGAATTCGTCATGGGAATCAAACAAGGTGGGCATGATAAAGTGGAGCAACGCCCACAGCTCCTGCATGTTATTTTGAATAGGCGTACCAGTAAGGAGGAGGCGGTTACGACAGTGGAACCCCAGGAGGTTTTTCCAACGGGAGCTTTGTGAGGATTTGATTGCCTGGGCTTCATCCAGAATCATATATTGCCACTTAACCTTTTGGAAGTACTGGGCATCAAGGACCACTAACTGGTAGGATGTCACTAGCACGTGGAATTCGGACTCCTTGGTGTACGTGATGTGCTTGCGGTCCCAGAACTTGCGAAGAATCTTGCGGTCTTTTGCTGAGCCCCAGTAAGGAAGAACTTTAATGTCAGGAACAAACTTGGTAATTTCCTGTTGCCAATTGTGTAGGGTCGAGGCGGGCGCGATGACTAAAAATGGGCCCCAGATATTGTGAACTTCGGCGAGATAGGCCATGACAGAGATAGACTGAATGGTCTTTCCCAGACCCATTTCGTCGGCCAAGATACCGTTGATACCTTGTTCGTATAAGTTGACAAGCCAATTGAGACCCTTCAGCTGATATTCTTTCAATTTCGCCGTGAGCATGGTGGGTTGCGAAATCTCAATGTCACCCAAACTCGTAGGGTTTTGAAAGTTCAATTCACCCTCGTCCAAAGCAGCCATCTGGTCCTGTCCGTCATTGAAGGCTCGCGCTCGGTCTTGAGCCTCCTTAACGGCATTCTGCGCGTTGGCCATTGCTGCCTGTCGTAGAGCCGTTTCATCTTCTGCGTCGAAATCGAGGTCCTCAAAATTGGTCACCTTAGCGCCAGTATCCGCAACGCTGGGGGGCAGATCCACAGCATGTTCTTGGTCTTTACTAGATTTAACTGTTTCATCCGATCCATCAACAGCAGTATCACCAGCGTCTCCCTCGGCACCCTTGATTTTGCGACCAATGAAGTGAGAGTATAGTTCGGTTTGGGATATAAGGAAATTGAGTTTACGTCTCTGGCGGTTGGCCTCGCGCTCTGCTTCAGCTTTCTTGGCCGACTCAATTTCTTGTCTTTCAGCAAGGCGGCGTAGGTCACGCTCTTCACGCTCGTTGCGCTTCCAAAATGACATCATCTCACGCATAGTCCGCTTGGCCCGGGCTTGGGTATCCTTCATACTCTTATTCGTACGTTCCTGCCACTTCCGAGACTGCTTACTGGCTAGCTGAGCAGTCTTGCGCAGATTCTCCTGGCGGGTACTGAGCGAGAGGGCCTTAATGCGGTAGACCTTGGGAATATCTTTACGAGCAATATCTCGCCAGATTTGTTCATAAATCTGATTGTAGCCTTTTGTTTCAAAGGCGGACAGGGGTGCGGGGCTACTCTCCTTGGAACGGCTGCCTTTAGCTTCCTTCTTAAGAGATTCCTTCCGCGGATCTTCTTTGGGTGCAAGAGGAAGTGGCTCATCATTTTCCATGGCGGCATAGGCGGCCTCTGCCGCATCTTTCTCGGCTTGCTTTTGCTCCTTTGATTTCTTGGGCCGTGTAACAGGACCTCCACGTCCCGATTTCCTTCTCGATGGGGAGCTCCGGCCAATGTGGAAAGAGCTGGTAGTGCCACCTTCGAGGTTTGGTGCCAGCGGGGTGACCTCACCAATCTCTTCAGGCGCTGTGACACCCTCCAGGGCTCGCTTGGTTGTCTTGATTTTCCTCTGTGCCCGTTCTGCTTCACGTAAAAACTTGGCTTTCTCAGCAGAGTCTTGAGCCTTATTCGCTTTGCGCTCGGCCTCAAGTTTTTTCTGCATCTCCAACCGTACCGTGTTTTCCCTACGACGCTTCCTCTGCATGTCCTTCTTACGCTCCTTCTCATCCTGAATTTCTTTGGCTTGGACCTCTGAGATGACGGAGGCCTCATTGGCAATCCGAAACCGGTCCATACCCGCAGAGGCCTGCTTCTCAAGAGACTTGCCAAGGTTGATCAGGAACGCATTTCGGCGACGCTGTATCTTGTGTAAGTAGAGTTTTACATGCAAACGTAGATAACAACGGCTTACCTTGCGCTTTACGCCCTCTTCTTTCAAGGCATGCAAGGCCCGTCTCTTACATTGCAATTTGTACTGTTCGTACTCTTCTTCGAACCCAGGGGCTTCCACATCACTTTTTTCCGCATTGTCAATCTCCACCATAAGTTTGTTGACGGCTTCCGACTCCCGTTCGGACAAAACCGTACGGCGTTCGAGGAAGGCCCATTGCTGAGTAGACGCCTTGATTGTCTCAAGAATACCGTTGGTTGAAATACCGTTCAAGGGTTCACTCGCTTTGTTGTCCTGCTCAGCGTTGCGACGGCGTTTCTCTGAGCTCGGCTTTTTCTCCAGCCTGGGTAATACTTGTTCCTGCTCTTTCACGCTTTGGCGTGACGGAGGAACATGAGCTGGGGGCGGCGGGCTAAGCTGCGTTGCTTCCCGTGGTGTTGATATGACCGGTGCCGGTGTCGTCTCTGGTGGCGGGGATTGTCGTTTAGGAGGTGAGCGCTCTTCGGCCGGCCCAGATAAAATACTAGCGAAGGACATGGGGTCGGCAGCCCTGGCAGGCTTCTACATGCAGTAGCAAAAAGTCATACATTAGCAAAGAGATCCTCTAATCCGGCGTAGAAAATATAATCGATATAAATAAAGAACGTACTGCTTCCTTCGGAGGGGAGGTCGGCTTCGGTTCTCTCATAATGGACGACGGATACCCAGTAACACCAGGGCCACCTAGATACGATGTTTCTGTGTCTTTCTTTGGGGATAGTTGCGGATGGCTTTCAGGCCTGCCAGTCGGATGGGCATGAGATGGAGTGGAGGGACCATAAGGAGATGCGCCGTTGCCTGATAAGACGGACCCAGAATAGGGCCGAGGAAGAGGAAACTGGGGAGTTCCAGCTGACGAATGGGCCTGGAACTGTGATGAAGGGTCTGGAGGATGCGGCGGAGGTGCACTCCCGTTCAATGGCGGGAGGGTCGCCGGCAAAGGAGACGCATGTGAATAGTGAGGGCTCCGGGACATGGTGGTCTGCGGAGGAAACGCAGGAGGCGTCTGGGGAGGATGCTGCTGGTATTGGTCATTGTTGGGATAAAAGGGGCGGCTCTTGTTTGGAGGGGAGTAAGCAGGATAACGGTGCTGCTGGGTAGGGGACTGGGGATTAAATGGCGGAGCTCCTGTCATGGTGGCCGCGTGTGCCGAAAAACGCGGCGGCGAACGCTTCACGATGCCAACAGTAAGAGTGAAAGAGATGAAAGAAGAAAGGATTGTGTCAGATGAACATGAACTATCACAGATGGGCGACCGCCGGCCATGCGCGGGAGGCCAGGTTAGTGTTGCGAAATGTAAAAGCGAAGCTATCACGCGTCCGTCCGGTTTGTCGCTTTTGGCGCTACCTGCTCTGAGAATTAATTCGAGTAGTCCAAGTATCGGGAGGTGAATTGAAAAGGAAGGTAGGGGATCGCCGATATGTTATAGTTGCGAAGGTAAATGTAGGAAAGGTACGAAGATGGAGTGGAAGGGGAAATTGCCTTACCGGGTGCACAGGAATCTTAAGACGAAGGCTCTTTGTGCTTAATGGTGAACCGACAAATCCTCGCGGCGGGTCAGCGGTTTCCGAAACAACAGTCGACCGACGAGGCGAAGATGCGCCAAAAGCCAGGCCCAGCCAAGGAGTGGTGGGTGTAATCAATTTGCCTGGGCCGGCGGATGGAGCTGAGAGAAAAGAAGATGGGGATTCCGGATTGGTTACGGATCGGTGAGATGGTGATGGAGATGGAAAGGACAGGAAAGAGGATGAGGATGAGGATGAGGAGGAGGAGAGGAAGGAAGAAAGAGTGACGATGGCGGATGAGATGGTTGTTGGCCGATCCAGTATTTTTCCCTCTCTGGTCACTTTCTGACCGTTTCCCCCTTTGCCCAACTCTTCTTTCCTCTCTGGTCTTGTCCTTCCGTCGTGTCGTTCGTCCGCTGTACTGCTTAAAAGCCCATCCGAAACACGCTCGTCGCGGTACATGTACTTTCATTACTTACGGTAAATTACACTAGGCAGATTTAGGCACTTGTGAGACTGGTCGGGTTGAGCTTATCGAGTATCTCCTTTTGCGGCCTACGAGGAATGTATATAGTACTAGTAGTACTATATCCTGTAATTTATGTATGTAAGCCATTTGAGGCAGTTCATATTGTAGGACAAGTTCGTTCACTTTGGTTCCCTATATTACCCTCTAAGCAGCTCAGCTATATTCAGTAGGTATGTAAAAATTTCAACGAATCTCTGTCACGATTGAGCCCATTTAGTTTAATACCGGTAATTACCACCCCGGATCTTAAGTAGGTTGAATGTTCCATCTTCTATTGATATGGGCCAGACATTTATTTTCCCTATTAGCTTCCTTGTGTTATTCCAGTTACCCATTGCTACATATGTCGACACCCGTTTTCCGCATGGCCACAAGCCAAGAAATAGTAATCTACCACCCAGGCGTACTTTTGCACCTACTTTATGAAATAATAGGGTTTTCGTCATGTTGAATCCGTCCTTTCATTCCTTACGCCGGCTATACCATGGACTTACAAACGCAAAACCAGTGGAGTGTATCCTGAATAATTTTTTTTTCTAAGCGTTACCTTTTCTGCGGTTTTATGTTTGCCTATATCCAAACTGAATAGTAATACAGATATGTTTCATAGCATTAAGTAACCCTGAGGAAATCCTCGCTGGCATTCTATACAACCGGCCATCAACAATAGCTAGCAAGTTTTAAAGACACGCACCGCCGAATAATATCACCATTTCTGTAACAATGAATCAGGTACATACCTTTGAGATACGTGCTGAGCAGGCTGGCTGAAAGCCGAGAGAGAGAAGCTTCTACACCTGTAGAATGACATCTCTGTTTAAGTGCAGTTAAGCCGCTCTTGATTTTCTCATCGAGCAATGACTATCATTATACAGCTGCGAGTTCGTGCCCAGCAGTAAGGCAGGAGAGTACCTCCTCATCTTGCGTGGATACTCAGGAAGGTATTGACACATCCACTGACTGACTTTGATCTCTCGATTTGCTTCATCCACCCAAGTCGCTGGTCATTTTAGACGTATGTATGGTTGACATGTAATTGTAATAAGGAATTGTTTGATCCGATGAGCGATATCAACTGAAGGGCTATATGGCTGAGACTTTCGGGACGATACAGATTGGATCGCTTGAAACGGGCTTGCTTTCATTTGACAGCATACGCTCGTCGCGGCGTTACAGCGGTAGCAAGCACATGGAACAGGAATCCTTATATTGTCTAGATCATAGGCATATCAAGCATGTTAGAAAGTCCCCTTCACCAGCAGGCTACATACACAAATGCTATCAATAAAGAAACAGACATGATTATATGTACTTCTAAAGAAGGTGGAGAGGTCAGGTGGCTTCCAAAAGGTCCTTCGCCCGTAAGGTACTCCTGCTAGGCTTTGAATAGGTTTAAAAGCCGCCCACCGGCCCTAAGAAAATTCTTCCGTCGTTATAACTGGTGAGGATGGTCTGCGTGTTAAATGTTATTGTCTCCGTATCCATGACTACGATGAGAGAAGACAATGATGACGACGAGAACAGAATCACAGACAAGGCAATGATACTACAGATGTTACTGAAGACACCATTTGTTCTGAGTCACACAAAGTCGTCGCCGACATCCAGGAAGAAGTTCAAGCTTTTCATTTATAGAAGGAATTGGCCGGATCACAGACCTCTTGTCTCTTATGTTCAATACGGATATGAGGAGGCTTCCGCTGTTAGGTATCAGGATTATACATTCATATGCGGATTCCTTCAATGAGCTCCGTACGTCCGGGGTCAGCTTGGGTAGAATTCCAAGAAAGCTCAGCCATCCCGCATCTCAGCAAATCCCGAGAAAAAGCAAAGCAGGAAGGAAGGAAGGAGGGGTTTTTAGATGGGGTGAAGTGGCTCCCATGCTAGTACTACTAGTACTTAACTTAACCTTGGACATTTTGAAGGACACACATACACTACTAACACAGAAACAGAACTAGCGGATCGCAATTCCGCCTGAGGCATCGATGCCTTCCTTAAAACTGACTAGGGTTGCCACTTCCATTGACCATCAGTCGATCGACATCATCTGATTTTAATGGTCTCGTTTGAAACGATAAAATAGGATATCGAATGGAATTTGCCTCTTGAGTCTCAGCTTGAGGTCGAATCTACCTGATTCGGTGGTCTATCCCGAAATTAAAGCTTGACGTTTGACAGGGAACCTTAAAAGAAAGAAGGTCCTTCTTTTCTTCCCCGCATGAGATACCGCCAGTTTTACTAAATTTGGGAAGGCTTGGCCCAGGATCTGGACTCCCTGACAGGAAAGCATTTTCGGGGGAAGGGAAAGTCAGGTGTGATTTTGTGTTTACTTACAAATGTGGAAGGATGAAAATTGAACCTGAGGATGGTTGCTTATGCGCCATCCTACCAATCGGGCAATAAATGCGTGGAGTGAGCTTAACCCCGATGACGTCGGCCCATGGATCTCCCGTTGTTGTTGTTGTTGTTGCTGCTGCTGTTGTTTCTTCATTCGGTGGGCTGATAATCTACCATACAAATCGTTCGATTGTCTTGGAATAGCTTCGGTGTGTCTTACACAGAATCTCTTTTCTTTTCCTTTTTTTTTTTTTTTTTCCCCTCCTTGACCTTTCCTTTTCCCTCTCTCCGGTGACTCGTTTTCCATGTGTCCGTCCTCGGTGTATGTATCACTATCACTATCACTCCGGCGCATTCACTTTCATTCATTACTACTATTATTTCCACCTAATAATACGACGTCATGCTACGAGATTTCCGGGTTGGATGACCGTCACCCCACCCATTGCTTTGATTCCAGACTTCTATAAGAACTGTCCAGAATCCCACCCTCGGCTTACTTCTCTCCTGCAATTGATTCCCTGATCGTGTAAATCAAACCGCAACCTCCTTTCTTCCCTTTCTTTTTTCCTTCAACACAAGACCCCCAAAGTCAAAATGTCGATCCCTGAGATGCAGTGGGCTCAAGTGGCCGAGCAGAAGGGCGGTCCGCTCGTCTACAAGCAGATTCCCGTTCCCATGCCTGGACCAGATGAGATCCTTGTCAAGGTTCGCTACTCGGGCGTTTGCCATACCGACCTTCACGCCTTGAAGGGTGACTGGCCCCTCCCGGTGAAGATGCCCCTCGTAGGTGGACATGAGGGAGCTGGTGTGGTCGTCGCCAGGGGTGACCTGGTAACTGAATTCGAGATTGGCGACCACGCTGGTCTCAAATGGCTCAATGGATCCTGTCTCGCTTGTGAATTCTGTAAGCAAGCGGACGAGCCTCTCTGCCCAAATGCTTCCTTGTCTGGCTACACCGTCGACGGCACTTTCCAGCAGTACGCCATTGGTAAGGCCGCCCACGCTTCCAAACTTCCAAAAAACGTTCCTCTGGACGCTGTCGCCCCTGTCCTGTGTGCGGGTATCACGGTCTACAAGGGACTGAAAGAATCTGGTGTTCGCCCGGGTCAAACCGTTGCCATCGTTGGTGCTGGTGGTGGTCTTGGTTCTTTGGCGCTGCAGTATGCAAAGGCAATGGGCATCCGCGTGGTGGCTATTGACGGAGGAGAAGAGAAGCAAGCCATGTGCGAGCAACTAGGCGCTGAGGTAGGTTGACACAATATTCCTTCCCCGGTATCTCCTCTCATTGAATATTATAAAGACACTCGCTAACATAGTCTCATAGGCATACGTCGACTTCACTAAGACCCAAGATCTCGTTGCAGACGTCAAAGCTGCTACTCCCGAAGGCCTAGGTGCACATGCCGTCATCCTTCTTGCCGTCGCCGAAAAGCCCTTCCAGCAGGCCGCCGAGTACGTCCGCTCGCGTGGTACCGTCGTCGCTATTGGCTTGCCCGCCGGTGCCTTCCTCAGGGCCCCTGTTTTCAATACCGTCGTTCGTATGATCAACATCAAGGGTAGCTACGTCGGTAACCGTCAAGATGGCGTGGAGGCTGTGGACTTCTTCGCCCGCGGTTTGATCAAGGCTCCATTCAAGACTGCACCATTGAAGGATCTCCCCAAGATCTTCGAGCTCATGGGTTCGTTTACCCTTATTCCCTAAAAATGGATCCTTCGTCTTTTGTGGAACTATGCTAACAAATGCAATAGAACAAGGCAAGATCGCCGGCCGTTATGTGCTAGAGATTCCCGAATGAGCTGAATATAATCAAAAGGCACGGAATGATAACAGCTACGAGTATTATGAGATTTCACCGTCTCTTCAGGGTCTTCAGCTACAGACTATGAGAGAAATAAGAACACCGATACAGAAGATGCTATAGGAGCACCTATGCGTGGGATTCGTGGTGGTGGGTAGCATCTTCTAGCAGATAGTAATAATTCATGATATTAATTTGATAGCGTTTCGTTTACCTCGTGTTGAGTGTTCGTCGTCCTTGCTCCGTAGATATGCCCTGTAGTTGGAGATGAAATAGTCTGTTTCGTCTCGAAATCACCACCACGGCTACTCGTGTCCTGCATATCATAACCCTCCGAGATTTGCCTCGGAAACACTGGACGAGGAGCCGACTGTTGTCTGAGGTCCCTTATATACCTTCCTTGCATACAGGCCATAATACAGAAGAGCACCACCCCGAAGTGCTCCATTGATAACAACTGTATGATTCATATCCTGCGCTAAATCAGGGGTCGACTTTATTATTGAAACGAATATATACCATGAAAGAAATGAAGGGAGAAGACTTACGAGTTGGATCCGGCCCATAGTCGGAAACATACATCAAATGATTGCAAACGCTAAGTACACAATAGTAGTGACCGCTATCGGTTTACTAAATCGACCCGTATAGAATTCGCCAGGGTAGAACTAATCCTGGCCCCAGACCAGCCGGCAGAGGATGGGCATCATCCAAGCGAGATCATTGCCGGCTACGGCAAGAGAGGAGATGGCATTCGAAGCGGTGCTGCTGATTATGCAGAGGAGACCGACGATGACAGCGGATACTACGACGCCCCAAATCATGCGTACAGGTTGGTAGCGGATCTTTTTGCTGACATTGCGGAAGAAGAAGGGGAGGGCGCCATCTCGGGAGAAGGCCCAACTTTGGCGAGAGGCGGCGATCACCTGTTTGAATTTTTTTAAAATTTTTTTTTTTTTTAAAAAAAAAAATGTTAGGGTAATGGGTGTGATAGGTACAGATGTATGTTGTGGAGGGAAGACGAACCAGACTCAGACCCATGAAAAATTGGACAATTGCCACTACTATCATGAAGCCAAGGGCACCACTTTTCCCGAGGCAGTCGTAATAGATCTATACTATCATTAGGGTTGGTATGATAGAGGAGTTGTGGCATATGTACATGCTTACCTGCGCCATGGGTTGGCCAAGGTTTGTGCTCAATACACCGTCCAAGTTGACATCAATTACAGCTACGATTACTGCAAGAGAGAAAACCTAGAGCCCCACAGAGGCCTGCAGACCAGATGATACCTAGAGGTATAGCGCGCGCCGCATGAGTAGCCTCTTCGCTCATGTGGACACACGAGTTGAACACCCCAATTGTCCAGATCGGGGACAGCCAGGCCAGCATGAACGCCCAACCTTGGGGCCAGGTTGTGAGATTTCTAAGATGACCGAAAACATAGGCACCCGCGTTAATATGTCCGCCTCTGATAGCCTTCCCGATTGGTAATGCGAGGATAGTGGCTAGCACGAGACCGCCATTGCTCACAATACAGGTTGACTGAATCTTGGGCATATTACGTCCAAAGAACGTAGCTATGAGACCATGGACGACGCCGCAGACCACGTACGTTCCGTACACAACTGCGCGAGAGGCAGTCCAGTTACCATCATGGGTCAGTGAGTCAACCGAAAGTAGCATGGTAGCGAATCCATCTTGCAACTCTCAGTGGCACAGGGTCGCAACTTGTTGTTGAACAGATGTTGTAGGTTACATACAATCCACAGAGCAGACTCCACCAAGGAGACCGATAGTATTACTGTATCCGACAATAAAGCTCAGAGGGTTCTTCCATCTGTCTCCACTGAAATATTGTGTCCAAAAATAAGGGCCTCCCGCCGTTGGCATTGCAGAAGCCAGGTCAGCCTTGATCAACGATTGTCAGACTAATGCACGGGGAGCGAGGGACAATGTACTCGACATACCATGGCGAGACCAACGATAAATATGAATATACTAGCAGCTAGCCATCCTGCAATTCTGTCAGCCCCTTGTAAAGTTGAACGAGCGAGCCAAGAGAGCCTTACCCTACTCAATAAGTCAGCCAAGGTTTTCCAAATGGAGAGATTTATCAATTCACCCAAACCATCCCTACAGGACCTGCAGGTATCGAGAAGAACAGTGTAGAAGAAATAGAAGGCAATAGGCCCATGATGCTGAATGCTACTGCAAAGACCCGAGTCGTTGAGTAATGCCTTCGTAGTTCCTGTTTGAAACCGAGAGTAGCTGGCGAGATCAATATCAACGTTGCAGTCTATGTGCATAGGTATATGATTGAGGTTAGGGCTTGGTTATCCCAAAGAGCTTACCCAGAAGTTGCATATCCCTAGACTCCACTGGGATATCATCCTTTTCTGCTGCCGAAGCAACCTTAGCCTTGATAGCCATAACTTGAGATTCCTTGAAGGAACAAAAAGCGAAAACAGTGAGATACGATGGCCGACCAAAAGGAGATAGCTAGTAGTAAGGCCTCTCTGTAGGGTGCCAGAGTGGGGAACTAGGAGAAGGAGGGGAAAGAGTTGTGTGTGTGAAGGAAGTGGCTAGACCAGGGACTTCTTCTGGTTTGCCCTCAATAAGCTCTTCGTAGATAAGCCATCTCTGCATGACGAATGTTTATCCCTTCCCTTACTTCCCCGGCCCACCAATCCGTCTGGGTTGATGAGAATGAAAATAGGGAACGAGACGAGATGGGATAAATCCTAGTGACGAACTTAACATACGCTGTATTATTGCACGAGATCAAAAAATAACCGCTTCCGTCAATTAAAGTCGTTTGAAAAGATAATCCTGTAGTTAAACTGAGACGAAATGCTTTCTTTCATTGACCACAAACAGGAAACAACTGCATGAATTGTTCTCAATGTACATGACTTACCACAGAGTTTCCAGACTCTGCGATGCCGACCGATTGCAAATAAAAAAAAAGTACACAGCATGCCTAGAGCCGGCTGGTATATCAAAAGTATAAAAGCTACAAGCTTGTGGTGAAACCGAACGATCGAAAGGAAACTATAGGTATATCAAAGATCGTCTACACAGCACCCGGTCCCTTATGGTTCGATTGATCCAACAAAAGTCGGGGTTTAATGTAGTCCTCATCCAATTGCCGGAACCACGCGCCGTGATCTCCAGATGACCCTCCTGAAAAAAGATCCCGAATAGCTTGACTAGCGCTCCGCGCTGTCTCCCGCCTCGATGGGGACACATTGGCAGAAGGAGATGCTTGTGAAGAACCCGGATATTGGGGTGGTTGGGATGGTGACCGCCGCAGTCGCGAAGCCGTGGGAGCTGAAGGAGGAAGGTCATCATCCGAGGGTGCTTCATCCACGTCTATATCAAAGGCATCAATTTGGTCAACATCCGCCGCTCGGGCCTTACCGTGACTCCGCAGACCGAACTCGTCTTCGCTACCCGCACTATCACTATGACTTCCAGTGCCGCCGCCAAGCAGAGTCGCTGTGGATGAACGGTCGCGGGTTGTTTGCGTGTCCCTCTGGCTGTACGCATTGGAATAAAGACGCGAATGTCTCCGGCCTTTGCCCGAACTAGATGGCGGCGGGCTGGGACGGCGGTTATTGCCGCTTGAATAGCTATCGTTTCGGTCAAGGGCCCCCCGCTGCACTCCGTCCAAGGGAATGGTTGAGTCCATACGGCGGGGAGTATACCCCAGCGCGGTATCAGATCGTTTGTAATACGTTCCCCCGTTGGTAACTTCAATATCAAATTCATCGTCAGATTCGAGTTCCTCGACCACCCCAGTCCTAATACCGAGGATTTCTAGCATTCGGGCTGTGGTGCCGCCAAAAATTATGACCGTCAGGACGACAACGACCAACACCGTAGCTCGCAGCGCGGGCGCGTTGACACCCGTCAAGCCCGCAGCCAGCGCCACACCAACAGCCCCACGAAGCCCGGCCCAAAAGAGCATTGCTTGATAAGCAAAGGGCAACTCATCAGCGACCTCCATCCCGCGTCGCCGGGCTCTGTAACGAATGAACCAATTGATCGCCTTAGATAGCGGGAACACGGCGAGGTATCGGGCAAGGCAGATGCCAAAGACAGCTACCATGATGAAAAGAGGCTTGAACTGCAGATTCCTTTGAACAAGCAAATCAAGACCCAGATAGATGAAGATAAAGTTCTCTGACAATTGTGCCATCACCTGGAAAAGATATTTCGTCGTTAATTGAGTCCGGCGCGACATGTTATAGTACGCATAGTGTTTTAATGTAATGCCACAAAACAGAAGGGAGACAATGCCTGTTAATTGTAAGTTTCAGAACATTTGGAGAAATAATTGGGTTACTCACCAGAAAGACGAACACCGTTGGAGAAAAAGTAACTGGCATATGCGATAAGAACTATTAGGCAACTCTCAATCTTGGGCACGCGGCGGACGTGTGTATGTTTGAGACCCAATGCGGTCATGATACCTACAATCATGCCTACCAGCATGCTGCCGAAGAAAACAAGCAAGAAAAGACCGATGGCCTCAAAGAGATTAAGAACAGTCAGAGAGCCTGCATCGCTGTCGGCATACTTTTGCGCGGTCTCAAACAAGACAATCGCGATGGCATCATTCAAAATCGATTCGCCGAAGATAACGGTGTAAAGCTTCGGCTCGACTTTGTACAGGTTGAAAATGGCGAGGATAGTAACTGGATCCGTCGCAGAGAGCGTGGCACCTACAGAGATGGCTTCGACAAAAGAAATGTTCAAGCCATCCAGCGGGATCCGCGTCCAGACAAACAAAACAAGTCCCAGCACGATGGCCGAGATGAAGGTCCCCGCAAACGCAAAGGTAAGAATAGTTCCAATATTTCGAAAAAAATTTGCCTGGTGTAGCTCATACCCCGAGGCCAGGATAATTGGAGGAAGGAGGAGGTTGAAGAAGAACTGGTAGTCGAATGTGACGCTGTCCTGAATAGGCGATTCGGGACTCAACCGAATGATCAATCCGACAAACATCCCTATAGCACCCGTGAGACGCCAACCACACAAATATTGTGCTAATTATGGAAGAATAAACACACCAGCAAAAATAGAAAGGACAGTTTCATGGACAGCTTGAATCTTCTTCTGCTGGAGAATGTAACTGGTGAATAGCGCAAACATCAAGAGCATGATCAGAATAAAGAGCGCCCAAGAGCTGAAGAACTCCTTGGTGCCAGCTTCCGGAGCATCTATCCAAGCCCGCCATAGTCAGAAAGTGGTGTTATGACCCGGATATTAGGTATTTCGATGCGCACCTTCGTCGGGATCGGATTCGGAGTCCGCAGCTCTCCCTAGCAAAGCAGGAACAGTCAGCCATGGCGCGTTCAATTCCTGGAGCATATGCCACACAATGTCGCACGGAAACTAGTTTCGCTAACGCAGTGGCAGTGACAAATGAGAGCGCTCTTGAGGGCAAATCGTTGGAAAACTGGTGGGGAGGAGACATACGGATAAGTTGATGAAGGGCATCACCCATCAGTTGGCTAGCCATCCTTACGAAGGCCACGCAACCACGACAGCGGATGACACCAAGCGGTTAGCTCCAGCTGCGAGTCTCTGGCGCCAGACCAAGGCGCACATAATCTACTGGCAAGAATAGAGTGGCGGGAATGAACGTGAGAGGAAAGAGAAGCAGGAGGATGAGATACGCAGATAGATCGGGACAAGTAATCGACGGTCAGTGGTCGCCCGCATTTTGCCCGATGACCTGCCAAGAAAAGCAGGCCCGCCGGTTGTCCGCCCGCTGATCATTCGGCACGTTGCTGTACCTACGGACTAACTACACTAAGAACATACACGCTCATCTTTGTCATATGGTGGTTCTTTTCTTCTTTCCCACAACTTCTGGCTTTTCTTAAAGCTATCGCCACGACTTCGACTCGAACTACATATATCTTTCACTTTAACCGACGTCCCTCGGAAAGCCGGCTAGTCAGCCATGCTGCAAGCACTGCAGCGCAACCTCCAAACCTCAACACCCACCCAACACTATCATCCCAAGGTTCACCTCTAGGTTTCTGGGACATCTTGAAAATAGCACTGCATATCAAGCTGGATAGGATCTGCGGTGAGGAGACCGCGACATTGTGAAGCCCGAGAATGATTCCCGCCTGGGCTAGATTTTCTTCCTCATCCGTTGGCTTCCTGGGCCCATCCTCCAGATCACCAACGTTTGTGGCTAAATTTGGCTGAGTGGAGTGGTCGGCGGAATACTGTTCTGCCATCTCTGACCGATATCGCCGAACCCGACGTTCGGCGTCAATCCGTGCGACCTCTGCAGAGATGAGCGCGAAAGGTGCCCAGAGCGTCAAAGCCCAGGAGATACCGACTATTCCAATCACCACTGTCGCCGCTTGATAACTGTAGATGAAGAAGGTGCTAAACATGCAGAGCGCAAAGAGTATATGAGATAAGAGCCAAGCTCGTCGGAGCGTGAACCCCGGGATCTGCAGTTTTGACAGCCACGTTGATCCGTCTGTAGCTTTGATATTCTGCTTATCGGGAAGAGTCGGAGGCGGCTCCGATGCAGTACCAACTGGTAGGCTTGAGCATGACATTCTCCTTGTTTCTATGAATGGCCTTCTCTCATCTGAAGAGGTGTTGGTTTCATCGGATAAGACAACAGATCTGTAAGTAGGGACAACAAAAATCGGCAATGTTATGTTAGTGACAAACGAAATGATTGCATATATAAGAAGAGCAAAGGTTCCGATCCTAGTAGCTTTCTCCCAGGCCCTGTCTATTTCATTGTCAGGAAGGTTCGGGTGTTCATCAAAGATCGGGTTAATGTAAAGCTGCCCGATGTAGGTTGTAGCGTAGAAGAGGAAAGGAAACCACCCAACCCATGCAGCCAGTTGGACTTCACAGACTTTGGCAATCTGGGGTGGCAGATACTGAATTGACTTAAAAACTTGTTTGAAGAAGGCCACAACGCCAGGATTTCCGGTAGATGCCGAGGGTTCGAGCCGCGGATCTCTTTCCTGGATATATAGACAGCTGATCAATAACGTGATAACAAGTGACAAAGATGCTAGTGCACACAACACTTTGAACTGCGTATTTCCCAAGAATGGGAGATAGCGGGGCAAATCAATATATCCAAAAATGTATCCCAGAATATTGCCCACTCCAGTGAGCCGGCTAGCCCACGCGTTCGCTGATTCCTGTTGATGGGCCGGCGCATTATCAACAATGAAGCACCGAATACCTGCTTGAACTGTAACCGTTTAGTATGGTTAAGCCAACGGGACCAGATAAGTAGTCCTACCCGTGTTTATAGCGAAGTCTAGACAATACATCAGAATAGTTGCAAAGACTATTACCGCGGTCCTAGTCTCCGCAGACGCCTGGTCGGCGCCAAATATACCGAGGAAACCTCCCACGAGTTCCCTCACCCATGCAAGAGCAAGCAATGCCACAACAGTCGCCAAGCCGCCAACTACCATGAAGGGCTTCCTTTTGCCCCATGATGAACGACAGTTGTCGCTGCAGATACCAATATAGGGTTGCACAAGCGTTCCTGTCAGGGGGCCCGCAATCCAGACGAAAGCGAGCAGAGCTTTGCTCATTCCCAGAGACAAAAGGAAAGGCTACATAGGCAGGTACGCCAAAAAAAAAGAGGTTAACGCGGATTCCCACATGGATATCAGGTTGGGTTTGCTTACCGATCCATTCGATAGTTCAACTGACCAGACAATCTGGAGTCTATGTTTTCCTTGGTCAGTTCTGCCGTCTAAAGACACCTGCGGTTTCATTGTATCATGAGTAGGGCAAATGACTTACCCACCAATGCTCAGCGTTAATAAGAAGAGGTACCAGCTACTCTTTGTCTCTGATAAATGTTCAGGATCTTCCGCTCGAATGCCATTCTGCATTTCTTGGGCTGTTATTAAGTCGACGTCGGCGTCGTTATCGTTGCCTGGTCTCACTAAGGGAGACATCTCGTCCGCTACTCGTTCATCTGCACCTGTCATTGGGGTGAATAAGAGCGAAACTCTTGCTGGTTCAGGAGTCAACCTCAGCTTCCACAGAGAACGTGTAGCCTGCAATTTTCTAGCCCGAAGCGGAGGGTGTGTGATAGATAAGGAGGAATGGAGAGATTAAATAGATAACAGAAGGTAACGGTGAGTGGAGCAGATATCTTGTTCTTCTTTCCCTTCTTATTTCCAGCGTCGCTATGAGAAGAATATATGCAGGTCACAGTGTAGCCTAAGAAGCGTTTGATATGTCTAGACCCCAGTGTGTAGCTAGAGGCGTGGTACCCCGGGCTCTTATGTGGACCAATCAATAGAAATGGATACAGAAGGTATCTTCAAGGCGCGATCATTTGCAGATAGAGAAAGTAGACTATCTGATAGTGGCTGCTAGTGTTAGCTTCAAGGCAAGCGAGAAAAGGAAAACGAAAAGAACGGATACACAAATCCGATGGAAACACGTTTCTAAGACGATGTTAATGCAGGATATCCTCTTGGAGAAGCTGGATCTATCGACGTCAGCAGGGCCGTCACATGACGTGGCACAACGCCTAGATTCGAGATCCAAATGACGAACCATGGGTTACGGCACATGTCAAGGACACTCGCTGTATTTGATTTACCGTATATTGTGAAGGATTACTTATGATTCCAAGTGGTCTTTTAGACTTCTAATCAACATGTCATCCTAAAAAGGGAATAATGAAAATCCCATAATATTCCGCAATATATTTGCTCCTCGAAAGCTATACGCCGCTTTTATTCCATCCCGCGTCGTGCTTTCCCTCGTGATTCCAGCCATCCAGAATCCCCATATAGAGGAAAGAAAAATGATACAGAAAGTCCATCCAATATCAACATAGCGCGTGAGAATCAACTAAAAACAACCAAGGGGAAAAAAAATCAAGGGTGATTATGATAAAACCGCAGCGTAGGTGACGACCAGTAACACATGTACACCAAAATCCAACGCATTCCGGACAGTAGACCAGAAGAAAATCGGCAAACCCGCACTGAAATTCTCAGACCCTGGCGGGAGGCTGGAGAGCAGAGATTAGAAGACCCCTTCAACATGTCTCGATAACGTGATGTAGTAGTCCAGCAGCCAAGTCACAGTTGGAGACTCTTAATGGCTAGATTAAATGAATCAACAAATGGTATAAACAAAAATTCTAAAGCTTGTAAGATATCCGACCCCGGGCCATCAAAATCAACAGTAGGTATCATAGTCGGCAAAATCGGAGTCATTATTAATGTTGACGAGAATCGGGGAAAGGACCACTGGAGTCATACTTTCCCTCATGCCTTCTACATCTGCTGTTGTAGAAGTTGCGGAGCAACCATGTGAGGTGCCATCATAGTAGGCATAGCGGAAGGCAGGGTCATAGTAGAAGGCATCGACGTGACAGTGGAGATATTCACCACAGTACTTGGAATAGACTCAGAAGGGGATGATCCTTCATCCTGCGAGCCGAGTTCGTTGTCCTCATTATCCAGGTCCTCATCTTGCGCGTGGAATGGTTGTTGGCCGTCCTGTTGAGCCTCATGGATCCGACGGTGTCTATGCGTATGGTCAGTATATTCGTCAATTACAATGCTTTATTAGTCAACTCACTGTGCAAGATTATCAGAGCGCGAAAAGGCTTTATTGCAATAAGGACAAGGGTAGGGTCTTTCCTGAGTGTGGGTTCTCACATGCCTACATATCAACTGTCAGTAAGCGCTTACAGGTACGGCCACAAAACCGCCAAGTAGGTAACTTACCGCTTCAGATGTTCTAATCTCTTGAAGAGCCGCCCACATGACGGGATAGGGCATGAATGTGACTTCTGTGGATAGGGTCCAAGCTCCATCATTGTAGCGCTTCGAGCGCGGCGAACAGGGCCGGGAACAAACCGCTCCGCTTTGTTCAGCGCGCTGTGCTGCGCGCCTGTCTCCAGGACATCGCCATTAGGAAGTGCAGTCAACTCATCAGGAGGATTTCCAAGTGGCATGACACTCTGCTCGGGAGTTTCCTCGAGGCTTGAAAGTGGTGTCCCATTGCGTGACATCTCGTGTAACAAGTTCTTTTGCGGAAGGGCGCCCGTCGGATAACCATTCATGATACGGCGGGGCGAGTCATGACGTGGCTCTTCCGCCTCAGCGACGGGGGCCACCGAACTAGAAACGGAGCGCCGTAGATCACTTGGCTTATGGGCAGCGTACGCAATTGGTTGAGAGGATCCCGGCGCTTGAGCATGAGTCGGAGTAGCAATCGGGTTATTAATGCCCGGCGGTATCGAGCATCGACGCCGCCGCTGCTTGTACGTCGGAGAGCCCTCTAGAACGGAGTACACGTTCGAATGAAATGTCCTTGCAGGGGCGGGGAAATGAGCGCTTGCGAGATTTGATGGCGGAAGCTGCAACATTGGGTTGAATGCAGCCGCAGAAGAGATCTCAGGGATAGCAGTATAGAGGCCGGTATCTTCATTAGCAATATATGCCGGTTCAGTGCCAAGCGGAACACTGTGCTGTGGGGGCGTAACGGGTTCAAAGGACAATCCCCGGTTGCTGTAGTCTTCATATTGGGACGAAACGAACGACGGTGCCGGGGAATACTCGACGAAAGTTGGCATGGAGGCATGGCGCTGATGCACGCGAGAAATGGGCATTCCATTGCGATCATACTGGATCGACCCATAATCTAACTCGCGCTTAACAACGCTCTGCGCCAGGGTATTGGGTATAGGGATCGGGTTGTAAATCGCTGGACTGCCAGATTCGTCCGGGAGGAGTGATATCGTCGGGGGGGGCATCTGGGGAGCCATCTGGGGAGCCATCTGGGGAGGAGGCATAGCGTCAACGGTCCGAACCACTGGGGAAGCGGATTGGCCATATGTCGTACTTGCGTGTGCAGTAAACGATGATGAGTTTGCTTGTTGCGCCTTTGTGAGCTGTTCATACAATGATTGAGATGAATCAAACTCGAAGGACAAAGCAGGCTCGCTGACCGCGACGGTAGTCGCCTCTTGTCCCATTTTCTCCCGCTTCAAATCACGTTCCAAAGCATCGAGAAACAGCCGATCGTGTGGAACGCTATACCAGTAGAAAACTTTTTGCTTTTTCTGTGTCCGAATGCAATTGTTCTTGTAGAGAAAATCAAGGAATGGGCTCTTCGGTTCTTCCAGTGTCGCGTCTGTTCCAGCCTTTAGATTTCGGAGATCGGAAAAGATACCCTCTTCGAACTTCTTCGAATTCTTGACGGGACGCCCGAAAGCTTGAAATCTAAAGGCTAGGCACCGAACAATATCGGTACCCGAGATATGGAAAAGATTGTTCCTATCACCAAATCAGCCCAAAGATCCTTCCTCTTGAGCCAGAGTTAATATGTGATCAAACGAACCATAGAACGCAAGATATGTAGTCGCCAGTGGGAAGTAGGAACCGTCTAATGAGTTGATCGGGTTGCCAGTCCACTGGAGCAGAAAGAAGGAAATACTTCACTAAATTCACAATCATATTAGCCCTGAGAAATAATATGTATTGACGCTAAGTAACGAGATTGGTGGAGGCAGTCAGCTTCCATTGAAAGGATACCCGACTTACAATTGTCAACTTGCTGTAGCGCGACTTGCGCGTCATGAGGAAGGCTTTGCTGCGCCTCGTTCGAAAGCATGAATGTTTCCGGTTTCTGAGGGGGTGCCATGGGAGCACCATGTTGCGGATACATCTTGCTCAGGGAACTCCTGTATATCTTGTTAATCAGGTGCTAGGAGAATATTTGAATCAGAGATAAGGGGCATTGACAAGTTGGATGAAACAACAACTCTGTGGCTAGCCTTCGAAGCAGCAATCAAAATATGGGACGGAAACCTACGCACAGGCACGACTGTCTCAGAAAGTGGCGAAACCAGAAACTCCAAACTAAAGAGCGATATCGTCTGAGTAAGACAGTGTTGAAGATGAAAAAAGAAAACAAGAAACAAAAAAAAGGGTAATAAGTTTAGGATATGGAGTCAACGACCGATCATGGAAACGCTGAAGCTATCCAAACACAAGAGGAACCGGCCTCTTAGAAAAGGTGGGTGGGCGCTGACGTTGCAAGGCTCGTCAACTCAATGAAGGAAGAGAGGCGAAAAAGAGGGCAAGAGAGAGTTGAAGTGGGCCAGCCCGGATCCAAGTCTCTTTGAATAACTCGCACGGCGAAAGTGGAACGAAACGAAGGGTGATGAAGAGAAAGGAAAGGGGGGGGGAAATAAAGAAAGAGGTCGGTCGCGATGAGAAGGGGAGGGGGGAAAGGATAAGAGAAGGCGGAGGAGGATGAGTGCCGGAGGTGTTGCTCTTTTACAGCGGTTAGATGGTAATAATAACACTAGGGTAATAAAATAGTAAAGGTAGGTAACTATGTCAATCAATCAATCAAAATAATAATAGTAAAAAATCAACTAGTGTTGAGGGGTTAAGAACTTGGAAGAAAGAATTCAGGGAGCGCCGACCGAAACCCGGATGAGGTTTCCCACCTGTTGGAGGGCCCTTTTTCTGGCTCTCTCACTACTTCAACTTAATTAAGGTACTTAGTACGACGGCTAAACCGAGTCTCTTTCTTCTCTAGCCTTTGGCCTGTGGTTGGGCTGCGGGAAGGACGCACGACGAAAAAGTAGGGCTTCTGTTGGCGAAGCGGAGACTGGCGCCAGGGACCGTCCCCTAGGGTAAGTAGTAGTAAACTACCTTAAGAGGTAGGGTGAGCGCCATGATACGGTACATATTTGTTACCGTACCCACGGTTCATCTAGCCAATCCAAACGAAGCGCGATCCAGCGGCTGACAAACAATGACGGAAGGCAAGGTAAAATATCAAAGTATCTCAACCGTCCCGTACCACTACGGTATCTGGCCGTGTGTGAGGAGTGGGGCTTCCGTCGAGTTCCAAAGATTCCAATTCCTGTCGCCCTGCCCTCTGGGGAGGGGCCACCCAACTGGGTCATCAACCCGTTTTTTTCTTGCCGGATCCGTTCTCTTCCTCTCAAAGGCTAGAAAGGAGTTTCCATGTGTTTTGCGCCGGGTCCAGTCTATGAACAATGGAAATATCGGGCATACCACTATTGTAGACGCCCTTGCCATCGTCGTCATCTATCAATCTCAATCCTTAATGTACATATGTACTTATGTACTTACGAAGGAGTGGGAAGGATTCCGTAACCAGATTATCTTAGTCTGGACAACCGCCCCTTTGTACGTATGCCGAACATGTGGCTAAAATGACAAAATCGACACAGCATCCCGGAGTGGGACTACGAAGAAAATGATATCGGGAGGGTACCTGGCCGGTAGTTCCGATATTCCTCAGACCTTATGATTTTCATCCATGGTTGAAAAGAGTAAGTAAAGCGTGCACTACATTGTAAATACAATTATTTTAGGCGCCCGATGGGGTGAATAATGAAGAAAATAAAAATGAACCGCAAAAGCCAAATATATAAAAACAAAAATAAAAATAAAAATAAAAAAGCAGAGAAGGGGAAAAGCCCATCGCCCTTTCCACCACTCAACAAATAGTCTATTTATGAGTTAGTAATTAGCATCCAAGGTAGGTACCATTCAACCTCGACAGAAAATTTTTGTATCTCCCGTGTATTGTCATCATCACCAAAAAAAAACCCCCCAAGAGTGCTCACTTTTTAGATCCTATTGGCTTTTTTTTTTTACTTAAATCTAATTATTATCCGGAATCCTGCACGTCAAAGAGATGATCACCACAGCGCTTAAAATGGACAAGTCATGTTAGCTGTACAGGATGCACAGTAAACCTCTTATTAGTATGTATTTCCAACCAATCCAGATTCCCTAGGCTAAACCAGCCGAATGGAGTTTGGTCACGCAGTGCAGTGGAAGCGATAAGACTCCAACCATGGAAGCCACTGTTAGTCGAGCCCCAAAACAATGCCAAGCCTGCACAAATAGATAAAACTGGCGCGGGATGGAATTGTGAAGCATTAACCCCTTGTTTCAGGTTCCATGTGAGCGCTTACCGCGAGCCAATGGGAATCAGCAATCTGGAGGCTCCCCCCTCCAGTGGCTCCTATGGCTGTAGCCCACTTCCCGGTGTGGTGATGGTGATGATGTAGTATGTATGTATGTACCTTCCAAGCATAGGTAATGATTTACAGGCAAGGGTTTTCCGTGAAGAAGCCGGCAATTCCTTCCAGCCCGACTGGGATTGATATTACTTGTCTCGCAGACCAGATGGTTAGCACTTCCAAGATGATCTCACAGCCGAAATGAAGCGGCTTCTCATCTATAGGCATGTATTTTGCATGGGTGCTGAACAGGGAAATCATAAAGGTAATGTTGGGATATTTTGTGGGAACAGGTTGAAGAGGATTCCCAACTCGTGTCTGGTCGATCAGTAGTACCAAAAATAGACGTTATACGGAGTATGATCAAAACATGTTAGGGAGTTGGAGCTCTCCTTCCCTTTTTTGGTTTTTGGTTTTTGGTTTTTATTTTATTTATTTCATTTTTTTTTCTTGCTTGCCCCCCCTTCGATTCTGCATAGACCATATGTTAGCGACCATAGAGGGTATAGGGCAGCAATACTCCGTACCTTCTTGTTAATAATAGTAAGGGCGGAGTTAAGATGCCACGATCTACTGGTGGTTTCAGTCTCCTGTTTTTGAACCATTTTCTACTAGACACTTACTACATACAGACAACACTGAACAATGGGGATCACACGAAGTCTCGATCCTATACAGCCTCGTTGATTTTACTTGGGCATTAGGTAACTTTATCACTGATAAGTCTAATCAGTCATGTTGACCGGTCATTTTCATATCATGACAATTACTGTCACCTTTGCTATCAGACCATGTCAATAGGAAGGAGCCTAATAGGTAGGGGATGGGGGGTCAAGAGTGCGACTCAGATACTTTTTCTAGTTGAACTCCATGTTATACTCTATTGAATCCTTCTAATATACATAGATTAATTCTCCTATCTCGCCGTTGGCCTTAAACTACTAGCGCAAATGATAAAATCCAGAGCTAAACTAGGTTCGGACTTCGAGATCTTGAGCTTGATCTTCACTATTACAGTATCCAAGGTAACTCCAGGCTACCACATACTCACTCCTTGTCGTTTGCTTTAGATTGTTCATGTGCAAGACGTCTTGTCGGGTGACTTCAAGTTATTATCGGCATGGCATGTAACATGATCGGCATTGATCACATTCCAACGCCGAGTGTGTCATCTTCATGTAGAGTAGAGTCTTGGCTGTCAATTACCCTGTCTAGTATAGGGTATAGGTCTACGGGATATAAAGACACGGACGAATACGCTAGGAAATTTATTATATTAAAATGGGGAACCCAACACTCTGTACAATACGTTATATTAAGTGACCCATGCGTTTTGCGAACTATAAGGCTATAGTACATATTTGTTCATATATATTCATTCAAAACGGTCAACAACGTTAGAGACCAGGGGTGATCCGCACAACCCAATTCTTGAGAGAAAATAGTAAGCTTCCAGCGACGATCACTCATCGATGAGCCCTGCGAGGATCATAGTTTTCCATTTTACAGTGTTCTATAAATGCAGTTCTCCTGAATTATAGTCGATGTCTGAGATGGTCTCTAAGCGGATAACTTGGGCCCGCTGATGGTCTTGTCCTCCGTACATTGTTAAATATCGCTGCTTATAAACCACCATGAACGGTTAAAATTAATTGACCCGATTGTTGTATCCTAGTAAATCTATGAGTAGATACTCCACTATTTCGGCCGAATGCACCCCAGCCTAATCCGTATCCTATGGTATGGATGCATATACTCGCACAGACGGACTCGGTGTATATATGTACATGGACCTGTACATGCATGTGTAAGCATAGAAGGCAAAGAACAATAAATGGAACTCACAACCAACCATGAACAAAAAACCCGAAGTAATTTTTAACCGAAGGTGCGGGAAACTAGTTACTTCCTTGCAACTAACCGATTACCTAAATGCCGGAGAGGTTGGTTGTTAGTAGGTTAGCGAGATAACCGAATTTCCGACAACGTATCAACAAGGCAGATCTAATGATATCATTACAGAGTACGGAGTAGTTGCTAAAGAATACTCCTGGAAACTACTCCGTACAGGTATCTAGAACAGCTTCCATTGTCGGGGCCTTTCCCCATCAAGTGGATTCACTGTGGCTAACAGAAGCAATGAGATTAGTGCAGTGCCAATAGTACCTTAACTCCTTTTGGATCACCCCACTTTGGCAACTGAAATAGGTAATTGTGCCTGGACTAGACTACAAGCAGCTTAGGGTTCCTTTGTGCGCGACAGACATACATACTGCAATGCGCGGAAAGGATTATGGTTGTCTCATCCCCCAAAGTCACTAGTTGGGGAAAAGTGAGAAGAAATTTTTTCTGCTTTCTTTTTTCATCACCAATTTTTTTTCTTTTTATCATTTTTCATGCCCTTTTCCCACTACGGAGTAGATGTGATGATCATTGAGAGAATATAGAACCTGGCACTTGGCCCGCTCAATACGACGGGTTGTTGCTTGATCAGCCATGGTGAAACGATCTAGAGTAACTCCTCTAGAAGTTCAACTATTCATATTTACGAGGTCATTGTGAAAGTCTTAGGTACTATTAATATCACAAGTTTGAATTTTGATATCATGATGCCACTTTCTCAATGGTTGCTACATCCTGTTTAACATATGCTTTGCCGAAACATAGCCAGTCTGAGAATACATGAATACTACCTTGGGCAGATTTAGTGCAACAAGCGGTTAATGGGTGTTGTTGTAAAGATTTAGGCGGCGGGTGATGTCTTTTTCTTTTTCTTTTTTTCCTATCTTTTTCTCTTTTCTTTTTTTTTTGTCTTTTCATTCTTCTTATCCTTTCCATTTCCTTTTGCCCCCCTCCCCACAGTTTGAACCAAAATTCGAGGTCCCTAGATTTCAACCTAAGCCATATGGAGTAACTCATAAACAGGGAACTATCCAAGTGGACGATTGGAGCGTTTGGCCTCCGATAGACTTAGCACATCTTGGCGCTACTAGACTGCAGATGACCGAAGACATTTTCCGAAGTTCCCCCCCTGATGGCACCAGATGAATCGGTCTTAGCTTCTTCGTGTAGACTAGGAGAACAAAGTACAGATGTGGACTAACTAGGACAGAGTAGCATTGGTGCATGAGAAAGGCTGCCAAGAGGCTGGTTAAGCACTAAAAGCGGTGATTACGCATTCTTTGTTTTGCTATGTACACTCGATGACACTTTTGGATACTATCGGCTTTAGCGTTGCCATTACCATGACCACGGTTTCAAATCCACGACTCGCATCCATGATACAAAAGAGATACGAGAACATGGCGTACAACTACGTACTAGTCTACCTTTCGGGTGCAGATAAAGAGTTTTGGTCAACAGGTCGTGACTCGTGATGAGAGTGTCATATGCCTTGCTGGGTTCTTTGCTTTGCTTGGAAGGGCTGCGTGCAGAAATCTGAAACGGCTAATGCATGGTAGAAAAATCCCCGGCCAACTTGTGATTTGCTATCTCGCCTGGCAGTGGGCACGACCCTATGCTCAAGTCCAGGTATGGAGCAGTATGAGGACTGGAAGGGGTAATATCTTGCTCTGATAATAAGCACTATTACCGGACTATTCCATCCATGGTGATTAATGTATTAATAGGACTGGAGAAAATATCTGGAGCCATGCAGGTACCCTATCGGCCTAAGGTAACCGGTGGAAAGGGACTACAAATTCGGTGTGGAACTTTTATGACCTAGATTGGTGCAATTGCAGGCTATAAACTCAATTATAGCGTACAAAAAAAATCTCTGGGAAGGATTGAATAGTAGACCAATAGACGAGGAATGGAATAAACCTTTTGATCCGAAAACTGTAAGCTCTACCAGGAAGATTACCCCAACGTCGAGACGTTGGTACCTCCTACTGGCGCAATTTGAAAAGAAAGGAAAAGAAAGGCGCAGTACTAGTAATGTCTCTCAGTCCGGGTCCAGCGCGAGCAAAGGTGTCCTCTATGTTCATATATATACATAATTATCTTTACTGTGTACTCAGTGCTCATTTAGTAAGAGATAAAAGCCCACTCACGGGGAACTACCATATCCAGAAACAGTCTAGAAAAACGGAGGATTGTCTCAGATTGTTTAGGAGCCCCATTCCTAAAACTTAGTTTTCCTCGGAGGTTTCACCATATCTAGGCCTGTGGAGTTGGAACGTGCATCGAACGAAAAGCGCCCTAGAGTAGCCAGAGAATAGACTTCTCAAGTCCCAATGCTCAAGACGGAAGTCTCATGACGAACTCCTTACAGGTGGGTGGTTTTCCGGGTGCCGCCTGGCTATTTGTCGTGTTGCAACTCACTCCTCAAGCTAACACAGCACAAAGGACCGGGATATATTCTAAATCCATAGTTAGGTTCATCATCGCCAATAGTGGATGAAAAGGATTCGCGAAGGATGGGTGAACGCGGTGGCGACCACAGGACGAGTGGGGGATTGGCAGTAAAACTTCCATCGTTGCCCATGTGAAGATAGAGGCAATGCCAAAGCCCCTAATCCAGGCAACGGTAATAGACAATCTGTCATAGACAAGGGATTCTTGCTACGATGCTATTTCAACGAAGAAGTTCCGAAAATGTTCCGGTGTAGCAGGTAATTCCTTAATGGAATTGCCTATCAGCACTGCTTGCTGTCCATTAACGGCGCCCTCTGGTCTTGCCTTTACCAGACCGTCGTGGGCCTTGAATGGCAGATAAATCTCGCTTGCTCAGGTTCAGAGTACCCCCTGCAAACTTTCCGATAGAGGGTCCCCCGACGCCACGCTCCCGTCTTCCGGTGCTGGGTTTCGTTTTAGGTGCGGGTTTCTCGAGAATGATTCCGTTTTCTCTAGCTTCCCGTCGACGTTTATCATCCTTCTTCTCAGCTTTAGCTTTGATACCTCTTCGGTGCGATGACGGCATATTTTGATGGTATAGAGATGCCTTGGCTCCAAGCGATTGCATCCGCAAGTCGAGAGCTTTTAGTCGATTTTTACCGGTCGGCGCAAGATCCGATGATGACTCGAGAAGATGAGATTCCTTCAAAAGCCGTTGTAGTGCAAGGTCATTCTTCAGATTAGCGGCGTCATCGCCGTCATCCTCGTCTTTGCTTGGGGGGCTCCTGACAGCTACCGGTTTAACAGAGAAGGATGGCGGCTTCGCGGTCTACACATCGTCATAGAATTAGTCAAGTTTTAGAAGACACATATATATCATAGACATACCATAAAGGCTTTGCGGGCCCTCTTATCCATTGGCTCCTTAGCCACGGCGGACAAGTCGTGGTGCTCGACTACCTCAACCTTGTTTTCCCCATGTCTATCCTCTGAGACGCCACTCCATTCAGACTCAGGGTCAGATTCTTCGGATTCGTCAGCGCCATGCTCATCATCGGATATCTCTGTAATGCGGGTTTCAGGCACTTCTAATGGCTGAAATTGAGCTTCGAAAAATTTGCGGAAAATATCATGGCTAGAACTATCGTCCCTCGTAGTGGTTGTCGCTTCTTCATCCTCTGATGCCGTAGATCTCGACACAACATGTGTCTCTCTCTTTCGCTTTCCAATCATCTTTGAACGACCAGCTTTTCGAAGCGTTGTTGATCTCTGAGAGACCCGAGTTCGAAACACTACATGGCGGCCAACTTGAAACTAATCTTTGTCGTGGTCACGTGCGATAAGATAAGCTGACCCCTCGTGGGATTTTCACAATAATGATATATCGAACTACAACACAGCACCAGGTTTAAAGATCCATTGGAACAGACAAGATGACCAAGTTCCGTCCTTGTATCGATCTACACTCAGGCCAAGTTAAACAGATTGTTGGAGGGACATTGAGCAATGTCCCTGCGGATTTAAAGACGAACTATGTTTCTAAACTTCCAGCTAGTCATTACGCAGAGCTGTATCAAAGACACGACTTACGCGGAGGCCATGTCGTGATGCTTGGTTCGGGCAACGATGCAGCAGCAAAAGAGGCGCTTAGCACATGGCCGAGTGGCTTGCAGGTCGCCGGTGGAATTACCGATAAGAATGCTCAGTATTGGATAGACCAGGGGGCCGAGAAGGTGAGTTCTATTGCTTTTTTGGGTGTCCTCTGTATCTACTTAGTTGTATATTTGGGTCGAATCAGTTGTAATTCTCTCGTTCTTGCATTATATCAAAACCACCTCGCTCTCTCCTCTCTCCCTTCCTTCTTGCTTTCGTCCTTATAGGCTGCCGCAACAGGTACTGATTGCCCTTGCATAGGTTATCATCACATCATTCCTCTTTCCAGATGGCAAATTCTCTCTTGAGAGGTTGGAATCGGTTCTTTTCGCGCTTGGAGGTGACAGATCGAAACTGGTTCTAGATCTGAGCTGCCGAAGGAAAGGCAACACATGGTTCGTGGCTATGAACCGGTGGCAGACCATCACAGAAATGGAAATCAATCAAGGCAAGTTTTTTCCTTTTAAATTTTTTTTTTTTTTTTTTTTTTTTCGCTGTTGTATCGGACGTTTCTAGGCGACCTATACTCGAGGGAAAGAAAAAACATCCCTGTACTGACCATGATAAAGAATCCATCTCGCTATTGGAGCCTTACTGCTCGGAATTTCTTATTCATGCTGCAGATGTGGAGGGACTACAGCAAGGTATAGATGGAGAGTTAGTGTCTAAGCTTTCCGAGTGGTGCTCGATACCAGTTACGTATGCTGGCGGTGCACGGAACTTAGAAGATCTTGAGAAGGTTCATTCAAGTAGTCAAGGAAAGGTGGACTTAACTATCGGCAGCGCGTTGGATATCTTTGGTGGCTCCGGTGTGACATTCGATGAATGTATTCAATGGAATAAAACTCACTAAGTTAGCGGTGGCTTAGAAATGTGCAGATGTAGCTGGCCCGGTTTACATAGATATATTTCTCTCTTGTACGGAGTATGGTCCGAGCGTTTCTTTTAAACATTAGTCAATATATGAGGCCACAAGATGCTAGGGACAGAGGAAACAAACTTTTTCTCTTTTCTATTTCTTTTTCCTCAGATATAAAGGAACATAACTACCTGTAAAGTCAAAAAACGCTTTTCCTACGGGGGTTGATAACTTCATACGGAGCGGGTCCTGACAATGTTTCCCAAAGCGGCTTAGGCGCTGGCACTTCAATCGGAGCTCTCCTCCCGCCTGGCGAACATCATCTATGATAGCCGCCCTCCTTGTCAGCTGTGCATTTGGACATAACTAAGGTCTATCCCACGCCTGCTCTTTTTGTTTGTGCTGTGCTTATTCACATTTCTGGGTATCGCTTTTGTGATACCATCAAAACGGAACCTAGTCGGATCTCTGAAACACTGTCAAACACTTCGTTTTCGATATGAAGCCTGTTGTGTCGGTGTTGAATGCGTGGTCCTGGTATGCCTTTACCAAGCTAATTTTATACTTACTACAAACTGACCAAATACCTTCGTAATATAGCGCGATCATCTCCCTTTTCGCTATTGTCATTCTCTCGGTCCTCGGATCGTTATACAAGGTTCGTTTGCTGCCGGAACCGCTACCAGGTCTTTTCGCTTGATGATGGCCAACTTTGTTGCCTGTCCTGCGTGTGGTATACTAGGAGTGGTGGCTAATTGAGATACTCATAGAGGGAGCACCACGGCTTTACCGGCTCAGAGGGTGAGCCTGAGGATGGCGCTGCGGTCGCTGCTTCAATCTTCACAGCCGTGTTTGTATATGCCGTACGTTTTGCCCTACCTTGACACAGTAATTAGAACACCACATCGCTGACAGTTGCAATACACAGGCCTTTTTCGTTTTCTGTTCTTTCCAAGCCTATCTTCACGTGCGAAACCGCAGGGGAGGCGCAATATCTCTTAACTGATTCGCCACTTTTGTTATACCCTTCTTTTCGATGATGAAATCGGCCGCAAAATTCGATTCTTTGGCCATACCGAGATATGACTACGTTGCCCAATTGATACCACGGAGTGGTCTGGAATGAGATGCGATAGTCCGTACATACAGTGTATCGTATGCTACAGCATCTGCCGAACGGATGATGATCTGATGTTCCCTGCTTCTAGGTACCTGTGTTTATTATATCATGGGCTCACTTACCATATCGCTCTCTATCGTTTTAGGCTTAGCTTTTGATTTGCTGTTCTAAGTGCTTTATTACTGGTGTCTCCTTGTGTTGTACATAAAGTGTTGGTTGTTATAGAATTGGCTTTCCTCACTATTCTTTGTGCATACGGCTCACAAGATATCATACCTCTACAGTATCTTAGTATACGGTGAGACTGAGAGCCTGTCCGGACAATTGAGTACGAACTAGTGTCCACAGTTCAAAACCAGTCAGTATTACAAGCGTGTATGCACTTCTATTTTAGTTTATGTACATGCACGTATCCTTTCCAATCTTCGAACACAGATTATTTGTAACACCTAGAATGCAGAAAGACCCGCCCCTCAGAACGCCAATGTCATAACCCCTCCCAATCAGCAAAACTTTTCATTGAATGTTGCTCGTCCATTATCATAATCATATATCAGCCGATGCTAACTAGGGCACAAACGTTATAGCTCCTCATCATCAATAGGGTCCAACATCTTGGACATGTAAGGGCCATCCAAAGTATAGCCTAGACGCGCGTAATAACTACGCACGCCCACACCAGAGATGACACTGATTTTCCGGCTTCCATGTTCCTCCCGGGCGATGCGTTCTGCTTCCTCCATCAACAAAGTACCAAAACCACGGTGCTGGAACTTGCGTGGATCACGCCCATGCAATGGCACTGCAGAGCCATACACGTGGAGTTCACGGACGATACTGGTTTGTTGGCCAGTAAATTCAGGGCGGAACGTATGTGTGGGACTGCACTTTCGCAACCGCAACAAGCCGATTAGAATGTCTTGCTTGGGATCCTCGTAGGCAAGGAAGGTCTCCCAACCTCCATTGGCTGTGTAGTCGCGTCGAACAAGTTCAACCTGGGATGGACGAATCTTGTTCTTGACTTCATTAATTCCGACTTCACGGGTACGGACGTCCCGACATGTGGTGCCGAAGTCCTTCATCCTGGCCAAAGCAAGTTCACGTAGGTTGCCATTCTCCACGCCTGAAGTAACCAGCGGCATAGGAATATCTCGTTGGACACGGTAGATACGGGTCCAAGGAGGGACTAGGGCAAGAATACGGGCCACTAGGTCAACCAAGGCATTAGGAGTATAGTTCTTATAGCGACCGGTCCTCCAAAGTTCATAGAGACCAGTCCCTCGGATAACTAGAGTTGGGTATATTTTGAGGCCGTCGGTTCGAAAAGCGGGATTCTCGAAGTATTCCTGGAATTGGAATAGGTCACGTTCCATCCCAACGTTCGGCAAGTCGGGCATCATGTGGCTGACCACCTTATACCCGGCATCCTTCGCAAGCTTAAAGGTCTCTGCAACTGCAGCAACAGTGTGGCCTCGATTTGTGTCCCTGGCAACATCCTCGTACAGACTTTGCACGCCGATCTCCAATCGTGTACAGCCATACCTAAGCATGCTGCTCAGATGTGTATCCAAGCAATAGTCGGGTCGAGTCTCAATTGTAATACCAACACACTTCACATTGCTCATCTCACCGGCCTGGACGGCTTCGTCGACGTTGTCTGTCTGATATCCACTCAAGGCATTGTGAAGCTGGGCGATGAACGATTCGCGATAATCCTCGGGCAGAGACATGAATGTTCCACCCATGATGATATATTCGACTTTGTCGACACTATGGCCGAGAGACTTAATCTGGTCTACACGTCCTCTGGCTTGCTCGAACGGGTCATAACGAGCTCGAATAGCACGCATCGACGTGGGCTCATACCCGGTATAGGACTGAGTTGAGTACTCGAAATCGGAATCGGGTCCACCGGGGCAGTAGACACAAATATTACCGGTGTATGCAATATGAGGACAACGGTGGGGTTTGCTCATCACGGCTACAACGGCGATACCCGAAGACGTTCCTAGATGACAATAAGAAAGTGCCCAGCTGTAGTTGAGGGACAGGAGACATACTAATCGGCTTAGCGATTAATTTGGGAAGGATATACTTCTTGTAATGTTCTGGGACGGCAGCAATAATGGCTGTCAATGGTGGCAGATGGGCCAAACAGTGCTTTTTCGCAATTTGGTTACGTAGTCTGTTAAGATTGAGATCTTTCTTTGGTTTTTTGGGGTCCCTTTCAGCTTCATATTCTTGAATAAGAACGTTAGCAATATCAGAGCAAGCTCGCAGATATCGTTCATTCTCTGGAGGAAGCTTTGTGTTCGTCTTAGATTTGGAGGGTGGCGGCATAGTCATTGTGGCCGTCGCCATTTTGAAGGGTTTCCCACCACGCAGATGGCAAGAGTTAGAATCAAGGTAGTATCAGAGATACTCTGTTTGTTAGGCAAGGACTAGAGGGAAATGGGAAATAAAATAATATAAAGTCAGGTAATAATATTCTATTTTTTTTTTTAAAAAAAAAAAATAGAGATCCCAATTGACGTTACCCCAGATGATGATCGGTCTAAGGTGGTTTGGAGGGGCCGAATATCAAATCAGTATGCGAGAAGGAAAAAAAAAAGAAGGCCGAGGAGACTGAACCGACCGCCCGCGACAATTCGGGTCCGCTTAAAGCTTTGTCCCGAAAGTTGAAATCCAAACCTTCCCGGCGCGTTTCCTACCGCTATACCAATCAATCATTTCCCTTCTCCTCCACGTCAACTTTCACACCTCTGGTGCAATCTCCTCTCCTCCCAGCCCTTTTTTTTCATTTTCATTTATTTATTTTTTAATATATATCCTCTACTACAGGTTTCCGTCATGCAGGCCTTCCGCCGTAGCACTGCCTCTGCCCTTCGGAATGCTGCCGCTGTGCAGCAACGGGGATATGCCAACGCCCCGGCCTACGCTGAGACCATTAACAACCTTCGCATAAATGCGGATACCAAGGTTATCTTCCAGGGCTTCACTGGCAAGCAGGGAACGTATGTATACTTCGACCAGGTGTGGTTTCATACATGATGCTGACGTTGCATTCTGTCCTCCCGCAGTTTCCACGCCGAGCAAGCCATTGCCTACGGTATTTCCCACCCCCTTTCAGATACCTCAGCAGATCGAAATTTGCGATAATATGGACAATGTAGCTTACAACAATCAGGCACCAAAGTTGTTGGCGGTACCAACCCTAAGAAGGCCGGCTCGACACACCTTGATAGACCCGTCTTCGCAAATGTGCGCGACGCCGTGAAGGAGACCGGAGCTACTGCTTCTGCTATTTTCGTCCCGTATGATTGTGCCCTTCATTCTGGAGGTATATAAACGTGTGGCTAATTGACTGCAGCCCTCCCCTCGCTGCTAAGGGTATTGAGGAGGCAATTGAAGCCGAGGTCCCTTTGGCTGTTTGGTAAGACGATCGTGGCCTGCGTAAAACTCATCAATCGCTGATTTATTGTATCTTCTAGCATCACTGAGGGAATTCCCCAGCATGGTAAGTTTATCTATATCGTGCGAACTATCCGGGATCTCAGAGTCTGACTGGTATTCTACTAGATATGGTTCGTATCACCGATATCCTGAAGACGCAGAACAAGACTCGTCTAGTCGGACCCAACTGCCCCGGTATCATTGCTCCCGTAAGTTATAATCGCCTAACATGTCATCTTGTGAACACGTTTGGACAGATATTTACAGTGGTATAGGGCCAATGCAAGATTGGTATCATGCCTGGGTTCATCCACAAGCGTGGCCGTGTGGGTATTGTTTCCCGTTCGGGTACTCTGACCTACGAGGCCGTCAACCAGACCACTCAGGCTGGCCTCGGCCAGTCTCTCGTTGTCGGTATCGGTGGCGATCCTTTCTCCGGCACCAACTTCATTGACTGCTTGAAGATCTTCCTTGAGGACGAGGAGACCGATGGTATCATCATGATCGGTGAGATCGGTGGTAGCGCTGAAGAGGATGCTGCCGAGTTCCTCAAGGCTAACAACAAGCACAACAAGCCCGCAGTCGGATTCATTGCCGGTATCAGCGCTCCCCCAGGCCGTCGCATGGGTCACGCTGGTGCCATCGTTAGCGGTGGCAAGGGCGGTGCTGACTCCAAGATCTCTGCTCTTGAAGCTGCCGGTGTCATTGTTGAGAGGAGCCCCGCTTCCCTTGGCAAGGCTCTGCTCAACGAGTTCGTGAAGCGGGATCTGGTTTAAGTAAGTGAGCGTGGGATGTGAGTGATTGGGGGGTGTGTGGTTGAACCTCAGCATGTGGCATTCCATCATTCGGAGCGTCACTGCTGAGACCTATATTCTAAATCTGCTAGATGATCTTCTCTTGGCCACTCCTGTACTTTTCCTGTTTCAGGTTCTCCTTTGTTTAGAGATGCTAGGGAGTAATTAGTTTCCTCATGTAAATTTTCGTTCCTCTTTTGCTTTACTCCGTACAATCTTGTCAATGTTGCATGATCGTAGAATGTGCGGAAACAAAACCAGTGCTCTATAATAGTCTGAAATCAAGTACTTGAAACTAGTTCTGGGAGATGTCCATGTCTTGATTGTCCCATGGAGGCTTCCCCCTCCCCCCAAACCCAAAAGGATAGAAAAGATTAACAACCTCTTCATTTGGCAAAGATGTTAGCTTCGAAGATCAGCGGGAGTATCGGAAAAGGGGATTTAGAGGTGACTCTTCAGTTTACAGCTCTCATACATTTGCCCCTAAGGTGGTAAGAGCCGGGAATAGGGATTACATGTAGCCCCTATCTGTTGTGATTCTCCTCCAAAATAGCTACAGGGGCTGAGTTTTCCGCAAGCTAAAGTTTTGGGCGATCGTCGCGAACTCAATTGATGCCAAGATTACTGGGATATGTACGTAGTATCATCGCTAGCAGATGGAGATCTATGGAATCCACCAGAGAAGGCGGCAATCATACAAACCAAAAAGACAATAAAACCCTGTGGCATGGGTGTAGATCACTCAGGGACGATCTTACACTAGCCTGGCTTGACCTGAACCATCAGCTCGTCCGGCCCCCGATGAATCCCCCCCCTACTCAACCAGATCTTTTCGCCATCAGCCTTCTTCTCTTATCGGTCTATTTGAGCTGTTGTGGGTACGGCCTACCCCTGGCACGTAAAGATGAGATTGAAAGCAAGATACTAGCAAAGATAAATGCATGCTGCACGAGTACAGATGGATTCTTATGATTGTACGTCATCCTCGGTCATCGTTGCCTCAAACTACGAAGGGGTGGGATTCTCTTATTCTGCCAATTCTCGAACGACTATGTTTCATGTAGCTAGGCAAGATATGATGTGTGATCCCAGCCATCTAGATGATCATCAGGCACAGAGGCAAATTGACACAGCTACTCTACGTTAGGTGGCGATGACGCCTCATGCCTTTCGGGGAAGGTGGAGCTTATGGAGCCTTATCAGGGCAGTCTCGACTCTGTATTCATTCTGCCTAGCATTAAAGGTCAGGCTTAGTTAACTGTAGCTCCGCGTTTCCTGATGCTGGGTGATAAATCATTCACGGTAGAACTCGAATAATGACACCCCGATTGTGCTTTCCATATTTTGCTTACAATAGGACTCTTAGACTCACATTGCCATTCGAATGCTTTCCGTTTGGAGCCTTGCATATGCACGGGATGCTATTAGTATGCACCTCAATGTCTGGCGTGTCCCTCGGGTTATTGCTGCATACAAATCATTAGGCTCACATGGAGGAGGCCAAGAGTGTATACGCTCGCTAACGATCTGTGGACCCACGGGGCTAACATCAAGTACGGAGTACTGTGTATATATGTTTTTATCTGGAATTTGTCGGCCAAGGAGTAATGACCCGTAGACCATCTCTCATAGTTTGGTGATCCCTCTGCTGCATTAGTTACCAGAAGGTCCTCTCCATGCAGTTCAAGGCCACCTCGCCGCTGCCCATACACAGCAGAGCAGTTCTCCTCAAGGTTCTATCAATTCTCGCCTTAGTCCCACGGAATGACGATCTTTCTCTGCTACTTCACATTTATTGTTTTATTTGGGAAGGGAGCTATCAAGGCTGCATATGTTGTGGATCAGGTAACTTTTCCTTGTTGTTTTGGGTAATTAATGTACACTTTGGTATTAGAAGTATATGATCCTCGACTAGGAACGGGGTTGGCGCTGAGATGTTTGATGTCTAGGCCATCCGTGGACATTTCCATTTAAAGCATTTATAGCTGAGAGAAGTATCATCGGGAAATTTGATTTCAGAACTACACTTTCTCCACCGCTGTAATCATGGCTACAGCACAGTCAGATACCGACAAGGTCCCTATAGTTTTTTCTATTGAAGAGGATGAGAGGCAACCATCCGACTCTCTAGGGGCTTCCCAGCTTGAAGACCAAGTTGCCCATTCCAAGCCACATCATATTTTCTCTCGTCGTAAGAAGCTGCAAATGGTATGCCTTGTTTCAATGGCTGCCATTTTCTCCCCCTTATCGTCGAATATTTATTTCCCAGCCCTAGGCGAGGTGTCAAGGGTAAGTACGACAAAAAGAAAATACACTGTGGGCAACCTTTCGAGGGACAGTATATTGACCAAGCCCTATGCAGAGCCTAAATGTTAGCATGTCCCTCGCCACCTTGACGGTCACAATATACATGATCGTGCAAGGGATAACACCCACATTCTGGGGTTCGATTTCAGATACCACAGGGAGACGCCCAGTCTTTATTGGGACGTTCATTGTGTACATGATTGCCAACGTTGCCCTTGCTGTGTCCACAAATTACGGAGAACTCATGGCTTTTCGTGCCTTACAGGCTGCTGGTAGTGCGGCTACAATTTCCATTGGTAAGTTTGTCTCCATTAGTAGCCAAAGATTAGATATACGTTACTCATAGGATCGCCATTAGGCGCAGGTGTCATTGGTGATATCACTATTTCGGCGGAAAGGGGAAGCCTGGTGGGTATATTTGGAGGAGGTAAGATAGTGATTAGACCCCGCTCTTCATTTGTATTGGGCACTTGGTGGACATCATGAACGTATGGATATGAGCTGACACATTGAAGTTCGTATGCTTGGGCAAGGGATCGGCCCGGTTGTGGGTGGCATCTTGACTCAGTACTTAGGCTTCCGCTCGATCTTTTGGTTTCTCACGATATGCGCGGCTGTGAGCCTTCTGTCTATTCTTATATTTCTACCTGAGACGTTGAGGCATATCGCTGGTAACGGTACTGTTAGGCTGAGAGGTATCTATAAGCCTTTTCTGTTTGTGGTTATCGGACAGAAGGGAGCCATAACCGGAGCCAACCCGGGCCGGAAGAAACCTGAAATGACATGGCGTGCTATACTTGCTCCTCTCACATTCCTTGTAGAAAAGGATATCTTCGTTACCCTTTTCTTTGGAAGCATCGTTTATGCGGTTTGGAGTATGGTGACATCCAGTACTACAGACCTTTTTCAGAATGTCTACCATTTGACCTCATTAGAGGTTGGCTTGACATTTTTGGGCAATGGTAAGACCCACTATCACAGCACCATGGTGAGATGAACGTTCGCTGATTGCCACCTGCTAGGTTTTGGATGTATATCGGGGTCGTACTTGGTCGGCTACCTTATGGACTATAACCACAAATTGACAGAACGCAAATACTGTGAGCAACATGGCTACCCACCTGGTACGCGGGTCAACTTGAAATCTCACTCGGATTTTCCTATTGAAGTTGCCCGAATGCGCCACACTTGGTGGATTGTTGGGCTATTCATCGTGACAACTGCCATCTATGGAGTCTCGCTTCGAACACACATAGCGGTTCCCATCATCCTGCAGTACTTGATTGCTTTGTGTTCAACGGGGATATTTACCATCAATAGCGCATTGGTCATTGATCTTTACCCTGGGGCCAGTGCAAGTGCAACGGCAGTTAATAACCTGATAAGATGCTTGGTGGGAGCTGCTGGAGTGGCGGCAATGCAACCCATGCTGGACGCGCTGACCGCCGACTACGCCTTTCTCTTGCTTGCGGGGATCACGTTGGTCATGGCTCCTCTATTGTGGATGGAAAGTCGATTCGGGGCTTCATGGCGGCATGAGCGAGAGATGAGACTGGAAGATAAAAGTAGTACTTGAAAAGTGGCATAGATCGATTTGGGGCGTTTAGTGTGTACTTGTACTTAGATAGATGCATGCATGCATACATACATATACTACACATATATAGTACATACATATGCTCCCCCTAACGGATGTACTCCGTACAGAACATGATTATTACTGTACCTCGTATCATATATTGTTTCTCGTTCTGTTTGACTGCTGATCAGCCCTTTTGTTTGTGTTTGTTTATTACCGGAAAAGACAATACCAACGAACTGCAGGAATGCCAACTTATATAATCTCTGCCACACGTGACCGCACCCGCAAACAAGCAAAAGCAGTCGTTGCTTGAGGAACGCCGATCTCTGTTTATCCTCCTCCTTCCAGCTCACGATTCTTCGACCTTGAAACGCGGCTGCTATGAGCTTTCCATAGCAAGTCTGCTACTAGACCGACCCTGTTCATGCCCTAAAGACCCCGATTTCCGACTTGACTTTGATTGGGCTCTAATTTCGCGAGTTCCCCTGCGGTGTGAAAACGTGTGGTTGACGGTGGCTGGAAGGGATCAAAACAGACGCTATTGCCCGTGGTTACCGACCGTCTCCCACCCAACAGCGAGGGAACCAAACATCGTGGTGTGCTGGAGCAGATCAAAAAAAAAAGATGCCTCCTGAGATGGGTAAGAAGCTGCATCCACTTCCTGCAAAGCCTCCTACTTCCTGTCATTGGTCTTAGCCTGTCTCTCCACTGCCGTACTTGTGTGTAAATATCCGTCGGTGTTGGCTAACTAACAGAATCAACAGGCCGAGCCGCCTCGCAGGCCTCGAGTGCTGCATCTCAAACAACGCAGATAGTAGCGCCACATAGTCGTCCTGGGACAGCAGACCTCATGAGGTCGCGCTCGGAAACCGTAGTATCAAGGAATGGTCGCCGCCCAAGGTCTAGAGGCTCTACTGCCAGCATCCATTCAAACACCACCCAACAAACCCAGGACCAGCAGATTACTGATGGATTTCCGCAATTCCTCCCGGCTCAAGCCAGCGCCAGCCATAATGTCTTTGGAGGAAATCCCGAGGAGATCATTATGCGATTTGGTCAGCAACTTTCGCATCCCGTGAGCGGTTCTTCGCTGGACCCGACTATGCCTGATGCTCATCACCCCGTCCTGCCAAGGGCTGAAGACTTCCCAAACCATGCGATGCATGGCCATCACCTCTCCCACCATTCAATACCTCCAGGTATTCATGGATTGTCTTCCTTGCCAATGCCGCAGTACCAAGCGATGTATGACAGCGGGATCGAGAATCACGTCCCAGAACACGTTCTAGATGAGAACGAGAATTCTGAGGCTGGTGCGAAAAAGAAAAAGGGCTCAAACTCTTCTCTTGCGAATGACAACGAACTGCGAAAACTGCTGCGGCAGTACGAAGGGTATTCCTTGAAGCAAATGGCAGCGGAAGTCCTTAAACATGAGGGAGCTGGGGGTAAGGCTGAAAAGGTGAAGCAAGTCTTTGCTATGATATGGTGAGCAACGGAATACCCCAATTATATACCGGTTGCGATTTGTTCCTTACACGCCCCTAGGTTGAAGGAGAATTGCAGAAAAAGCAGCGGTTCTGTTCGGCGCGATCGTGTTTACTGCTGCTATGCAGAAAAGTGTGGAACCGAGCGTGTCTCCGTTTTGAATCCAGCTTCTTTTGGAAAACTCGTGCGAATCATATTTCCCAACGTACAGACTAGGCGGCTCGGAGTCCGGGGGGAGTCGAAATACCATTACGTCGATTTAACCGTCATCGAGGAGAAACAGCAGAAGCCTCCTCCCCTGAACCCTCAGATGCCAGCCGGCACAACCGGTTCAGCCGCACCTACAGACCACAAAGTGGGAGAAGTCATGCAGAAGAGGTGAGTTCATCACGGGAGAAGCACATCAATGTATTCAAATCTGATCAGAACTAGTGTTAGTATCGCACCGCAGCCTCCTGCAGACACTGCAGTTTTCCCTTCACCCACCACTTCATTCACTGCCAGATCCTCGGGGAGTTTTTCGAGCTCAGATTGTGGTTGTCATACTTCGTCCCGGTCTAGTGGCGATTCCACCACTACCCTGGAAAACGTAGCAAGCCATTCTGGGAGAATGATTCACCAGATGCTTCAACTACCAACTACCGAAGACTCATCCATTGATAATGACACTCTACAACTTCCTGATATTAATGACTATGTCCCCGTTAATACGGATTCGAAGGTTGCTGCTGCCCTAGCCGCCCTTTATCGGTCACATTGCATTTCTGTCATAGACAGCTTTCGATACTGCAAAGAGCGGAATCTACGACATTACTTCTCTGCCTTCCACGGGACGCTAACCGTGCCAGTACAGAAGCTTTTAACACACCCTAACCTCGCCCCTTGGATAAAGGAATGTGATTGGCTCATGTACCAGAAAATGATTGCATTTGTGGCACCGCTTACAACTCAAGTCGTTCCGAAGCTCGTCCTAGACACCTTTAGTTCGATCTCTCAAAGACTTACCACCCATATCGCAGATACGTTCAAATCGCAACCTATGCACGTCTCCTTAGCAAGATTAATACCAGCGCATATTTTTTGTAACCTTCTTCGGCACATGCTCGATGTCAATCAATCCGCCAATGCAGCCGCAGCGTGGCTGTGCCACCCTGATAACAGAAACCAGATGTGGTTTGACTTCAAAACGCTGGTAGATCCGAAGGAAATGATTTCTAAAGCGAATATCCCAAGCTGCGTGGAAAAAGCCACCGAACAAATTCTTAAGCATGATGTTCGGGCCCTTCTCACTCCTATTACCGATCTGAATCCCGCCGCCTCCCATCCGTTCTACACAAAGCCTGATTCGGAAGGAGGTACTCAGTCACATAAATATCCTGTGCAGTCGTCAACGGGTGATGACTATAACTTCCCGGATAAATGGATATCATTCATTCTCAATTTACCATTTGCGTTTCCAAATCACCGTACGAAATGTATCATAGAGAAAGTTGATGCGTTGTGGGATTGCATCCTTCGTCGGTTAACATTAGGGGGAGCTCAAAGCTTTAGCGCCTGGTGGATGACTAAAGTATTCTTTCATGAAATGATGCTTTGGCAAGCGGAAAAAGGTGGTTTTATGCGCTATACGCCGAGAACATTGCAAGGCGCGAGTTCGAGAACAGATCAACTGGGACCAAATAACATTCCCATGAAGCAGCCTAGTTATCCCGACTCTCTTAAGAATGGATCCTTCACAGCTGCTAACGCACAAAGCAATGTTGAATCAAGGTCTGGATTGGATACCTCTGCCCCGGCAGAGAGTATCCACCCGTCTCGATCCTCCTTGGAACGTTCACAGGTGGACGCAGAACCACAATCTAATACCGCTCCTATTGAAAAGCCAGCGGATATATCCGAAAATATTGCCAGCTTTCATGCCTCAAACAATGATGATAGCGCGATTGACCTTGACGATGATTCAATGCTAATGACTGTGGGCAAATATGGCGATATGATGGCCTCTGATCCAGCAGATGCTGAAGGCGATGTTGTCGTCATATAAGCTGACTATACATATTTACTTGATTTCGTCAAAGTTTTGGAAAAAAAGAAACAACCAGGTTTTCATTTGTTTATGGGTGGAGTTTTAATGCTCTTTTTAGGAGTCTTTTTTTTGGTTGGTGATTATTTATGTTCATGTACAAGGAAGTTTCGGCGTTCGACGATCTTCGCACGAGAGACGAGAAATGAGCATCGATCGAAATACATCGACCTGCCGCAACTGCTGGCTTTTCAGGTTGAAAATCATACACATTTAATAGCGTGGTTGATCCCGCTCTGAATCGCTTATTGCTTTCTTTGAGCTTTTAGTTTCCCTGTCAGAGACCGACCTGTTGTACATAGATTCCGGTCAACCTGTTTGCAAATGATCTACAGAACTTCTTACTGCCATGGTTCACTCTATGACGCCTCCTTTTTCTGATACGCTCTTTTAATTGCCTTGGGTTACCCTTTTCCTGTTAGGTATATTGCATTTTGCTTGCTTAGAGTCTTTGACAAGCTCTATACTATCTGGACAAAGAGAATCATGGCCATATTAACTTTTGGACACAGCTGATTAGGAGAGACAGGGCGACCTTTTTCTTACTTTTCAATTGGGGTTGCACTTCATTCTCGCATAACTCTAGCCAGAGCTTTTCTACCTATTCACCTAAATGACAGGTGCTCGTTCCAATTTAGACCATTCCTCGTTGCTGTCGCTGGTCTCCTTGGATAGCTGGCGTCTTTTCGACGGCTGGCTTGCCTTTTGCCTTCTGTTCGTATTAAGAGTCCAGGCATTTTTTACCCGATTGACTGGGTGCGATCTTCCTTCAGTTCAATTCTCTTCGTGCATCGTTCATGATTTATGCTCTCGAGTATTATTGCCTTCCGAATTTACTTTCAATATTTCATCATATGACCTTCGCTTGCAGAGCACCATATTCCACTTCAATTGCGCGTGGAACTCACAAGTACATGTTAATCCATAACATCTAAGCTACTATAAGCTCCGTAGAACGTGATTTGATGAGAGGAAAACGCCAACAGTACACGCTGCGTGTTAAATCTACTTGTACGAATGAAATGAATATAGCCATGATGGCTGGCCAGGAATATAGTCGAAGGTGAAAGTGGCCATGACCTGGAAAGTTAGGGCATCTCTTTCATAAGACTTCATTATTCAAATCTCGACTCAGCGCACATAATATTTCGGTAGTCTAGCATCTGTCACAGACAAGAGCCCGCGAGGCTTATCTACCTGAAACCTCCGGCAGGGAAGAATCTTGGCCCAGCGTAGCCATGTGCTATGATGCTCTGTATATCAATGTTGCCTCCGTTGTGGGGGCTCCATAGCTTTATCAGAATGTATCTCCCGGAACTATAGATATTGGTTAGCTCTAACCCTACGGGCTTAGCCGTGTTGGAAAGAAAATGAATCATACGGAGGTGGATCGAATGTAATGCTGACCATGCTCTTGGTTCGTTCAATGAAGAAACGAGCGTGAGGTTTTAGCAATTCTAGATCAGGATTCTGAGCATCGGAACCAGTGTGTGGACCTGAGGGGGAGGGCTGTGGTATAGGTTGAATTATACTGGGGACCTCGCGTCGTCTTGGCTGCCCGTTTCTTTCCATGACGTATCGGCGACGCATGGATGTCACGCGCCTGAGTAGTTCGCGGCGTCGGCGGTTGTACGTGCTTAACTCGGATGCATCTTCATCGCTATCGCTGTCATCGCTTTCCGAACAAAGAAAATCGTCCTCCACCTGGTCCATCTGTAGTCTCTCCACATCCGCAAGGGATGGTAAATCGTTCCCATATCCCCGATCATCGTTATCACTATTCTCAGAACGCTCATCATAGTCTGTTATAACCCGAAATCCTAACATCGGGTCAGGAATAGTGCCTGCATTTCGCCCTATGGGGTCACTGATATCGGTATCCGACTCTGAATAAGAGTCCCGGCCAGTCAGAGACTGTAGAGGATGCCGGTATGCATTCAAATATTCCTGGGAAGGCTGCATGTCACTCCGACGATTTCGCCGGCTTCGTTGAGAAGATGTATACTGGATTTGGTACTGGGCTGTACGGGTCAGAAGTTCGTCGGAAGTCATGGATACGAAAACCATTCCTTCTTGTATCCTGGTGAATGGTTATTAATAAACGGTGATTAGCCAAGCTGCTCAGATGTAACATACGGAGCATCGTAGCCAGACTTGGGAGCCTTAATCACGATCTTTTTCAAGCAGAACGGGGTCTCTCCACGATGCTTCAAGATCAGATTACACCGGTCTGATTTTGTACAGTAAACAGAAGAGTCGTTGCGAAGGACGTTCTCGGGCCATGTGCTTTCACCATCGGTTTCATAAGTGCCCCCATCGCAGCTAGCCAATTCCATCCTGAGGGCTCCGGACACAACCTGGCCATACTGTCCGTACCTGAAGCTCTGCAAACCCTCTCTGTTGTCATCTGATTCGAGCTTTCTACGTTTAACCCTCCGCCGGCCTCCATCCGCTTCCTGAGACATGCCGGTGGCTGCTTCGATATGGAGTGCGGATTCGTCTCTGAGTTGATTGGAAGTGGGGCCTCGATTCCTTTCTTCTTGACCTGCCCTGCTACTTCCCCTGGAACGAGTAGAGTGTCCGTTAGAGGGTATAGAAGCATCGGCAGTACTAGTACTAGAGTCGGTGTATGTCGCAGCGATATTTAGAGCTCGCAATCTCTGCATGCCTGGGCGTGGGATATGTTGCTGTATCTGTCTATCAACCGTTGCTCCAGTCTCTTCGAAGCTTGGCTGGTCCCACACACGGCCGGAGCGATACTCTTCTATCTCTTCGTTTAGAGTCTCTAAAGCGCGGGTGGTGCTGTGGTTACGTTCTGAATGCAACAGATCTCGCAGATGCTGTAAACTGTTTGCGGTAGGATACTGTGGTCTATCACCGGCACGGCTTCCACGAGGTACACGAAGAGAGGCGGGAGGATAGGTGTAATTCCCCGACTACAATTATAGCCAAAACAGTCAATATACGCCGAATATGAGGTAGACAGTATCCTTTTGCAAAAGGAACTCTGAGTTGGCGACGGGATAAGATATTAACAGCCCGGAATTTAACGTACCATTCTGTATATGAACACGATCCACGGTTAGTACAACGGGCAGAGGCACGGAGGGGAAGAAGAACTATATCGGGGCGAGATAAATGAATTATGATGAACCAACAGAGAAAGAATCAAGGGGAGGCATTAGTAACCCACAGAGAGTACAGACAGACCAGCTAGAATGACCACGGACAAAAGAAAGGCCAGGTCTGGAGTGGTCGGTGAAGATGATAATGATGTGCCAAGTTTCAATTGATAAGTGCGGGTTATCGCCCGTAGCGTCACACGTGATACTGGGGTATATCCGTCTATCATTCATTCACTTGCTATGATGCTGTTTTCATACACTTCTTTCCTTGGCTCTTCTCAGCCCGACCGGAACTTCAGTGGACATACCTTGGCACTCCTTAATTCAAGATTAAAGTTGCCTTAGCCTCATCTACTGACATTTTCCCCATCCATTCATTGAGCCTCCGCTCTTTGATAGTTCCCCGCCATCCCCGGCAGACCGCGAGCGCTCTTTTGACCTTAAAATCTATTGAGCCCTCACCAACTCCGAAGCACTCTAGCTCCATATTTACGACTTCGCGCAAAGCAACACTTTGAATCGCCGTTGATTAGAAGGTGAATTGCATCGTGTGATTCCGTTTGGCTACCATCCGTCCAACACCATGGAGTCACAGGGCAATACAGCTCAGTCTATCAGTGCAGGTAAACATACCTCTCTACACCCTTAAAGATATTAGTGTACGGAGCATAGATCGAAGCTGATGTAAGAGCTTCTACTTGAACAGATGAGATCGCCTTGTATGATCGCCAGATCCGTCTTTGGGGCGTGAAAGCTCAGGAAAAGTAAGCTGGCAGCCTTCGATGATGGGCATTTTGCGCCTAGCAGGATATTTACATCCCATTCAGGTTACGATCGGCGAATATACTTCTAATCACCTTCAAGGCATTGGCAAATGAAATTGCTAAGAACCTCGTTCTCGCTGGTATCGGCACACTGACAATCGTTGACCATGAAACTATCAAGGAGGAAGATTTGAGCGCCCAATTTTTCGTCACGGAAGAACATATAGGGCAGAATGTAGGCTGCGCTTTGCTGGAGGACTATGAAGAAGGGCATGCTAACTGTGAATCAAGCGCGCGCAAGCGGCAGCCCCCTCAATTCATGCAATGAACCCAAGAGTTCGACTTCGTATCGATACAGAGGACATACATACGAAGCAACCCGACTTCTTTGCACAATTCGATGTCGTCATTGCGACAGAGCTGGACTTCGCAATGTACACCACCATAAATGCGGCATGCCGCATCGCAAATCGCCCGTTCTATGCAGCAGGGTTGCACGGGTTCTACGGGTTCGTATTTGCCGATCTAATTTTACACGATTTTGTTATCGAACGATCCAAGTCAAACGTCCCTTCAGCCACTCAAGAGACTCCAACGCGGAGCATAGTTAGTATCACAACGAAGAAGGAAAACGACAAAGTTATCGAGATGGTCACTAAGCGAGAGACATACTCGCCTCTGATTTTGGCGAACACATCTCCCCTCCCGGAAGACTTCACTCGTCTGCCACGGAAACGACGACAGGTTACACCGCTCCTTACTTGCCTTCGAGCACTGTGGGAGTTCCAAAAGTTATCCGGAGGTTGTATGCCAACTTTCTCTCGCCAAGACCTGGAGCTCTTCACTAAACTCGCCCGTGACGGCCACCAAGAATTGAAATTGGACATCAGTACCCTCGACTCGGAGTTCTTGCGCACCTTTCTACAGAATCTCGGAAGCGAACTGAGCCCCGTTGCAGCCATTGTCGGTGGTAAGTTAGCTCAGGACGTGATCAATGTATTGAGCGTCAGAGAGCAACCTATACAGAACCTCTTGCTCTTTGACGGCGAGAAGTCCCTCGCTCCTATCTACCCCTTGCACCCATTCTTCCCTCCCGAAGTCGAGAATGTCATGTCCGCTATTCCTCCTGCTGCGGACCCGATCCCTTTAAACGGCGACCTTACCTTGCAGCAACTAATGATTCCTCCCTCAGGAGCAGACGTCTGAATAGTAGAGTCATTAGACGTTAAAAGGTGACTACCATCTTGTATTCTATGAGATCCGCATATTCTTTTTTTTTTTTTTTTTTTGCCATTGAAATCCCTCACCGTATAGGGTATAATCATGATTTGTATGATAGACCAGATGAGCGTATTATGATCTTTTTTTTATTTATACACTTTGAATCCCTAAAATAATCAAAATGAATGTAGACGACGAGCTTAGTACACGAAAGGTCACTTTACAGGGAAGCTCGTGCTATCAACCCCTCGAAGTCTCTTTCCTGACTAAAGGAGAGCTCTCCTCATCTGTGACCCTTTTGGAAGCCATAGTATGGCTGTCGCCAGCTGCTTTTCTGTCATCTTCCTCATCAGATATTAGGCCTTCTAGCTCGTAGGCCTCTGCGTCATGAATGCGCTGTACTTCGGAGTTTGAGCGAACATAGCTGTTGAAGCCGCCGTTTGCGTGAGTCGCGCCTTGAGCTACCTCTTCTTCGCTTGAGGAGCGAGCAGGCATGGTATTCCCAGAGTCGGGCCATGCATGTACAGCATAGATGTGGAGGAGAATATTGACAACTAGATATCATGTTAGGAAGAGTAAAACCGGTAGAGAATGTTTTGCGATGCTCAACATACAGAGGAATAGAATGAAGGCGATGCTATACAAGATCAAAACATATGATACATGCGTAATTCCTGCGTCATGCAAGAGTTGCATCTGCTCCTCTGTAGCACCCATGAAAAGGAAGCCCGAAGCATACAAGAGCTACATATTGTTAGCCAAAACAGATCCACTTTCGGATAAGTTGCGCCCCAATAAAATTGGAATACTTACGAATGGTGGCAGATATTGGAAACTGTTGGGTTCAGAGCCATCCAAGCTCAACGTGCTTCGATCCTTCAAGACAAAGGAAATCTCAATGATTCTTGTTAGACCGGCCGCCATCAGTGTATAACCAAAGATAGTGTGAATCATTGTACTAATTTCCAAGAACTGCGGATGGGCAGACATGGCATAGCCAGTTAGAAGAATGACAATAGCCGGGACCAAATTCCGCTTCGGCCGACCGTTGCGTTTACGACTCAGCCACATGCCCAAAAGGCCAGCACACCACCAGACAATACCCATGGTGGTGTGTTGCAGATCGTTATGGCTCCAGTCACTTCCCCATCGATGTTCTGTGAAAGTATTGACACATCCCCAGGCGGCAATAATCAATGAGTCGAAGAATTCCTGGCTTCGGCCAGAGCGACGTAGCCAAAACTGGCCGACAAGAAGAAGGATGGTGAGCATGATCCCGTAGGCAATGAAGGCGCTTCCCATGATAAAGTGGGCTAAACACTGTCCTAGATGATCATCGTGGCAGAAGCCCATCGCGGTTATGCCACCGAACAGCATCTGAGCCCAACTAACAACCGGCATCGCCTTGCCGATAACGCCATGCGTTATAACAATAGCCCGGCGAATGCGTTCATGGATACCTTTGGAAAGGTGCAGCTTAAGGTAGAAACCAATAATAACTTGTACAACCATCATGAGCATCAGAATGTTTGCGAAGGATGAGTGAATGTTCTTTGAGAATTGGCGGCCTTTATGGGCATGTCCCAGGAAATAGGCTACAATTGCAATAACCGTGCCAACTATTTGTAGAGGAACATGCCATCGTGAACGCACAACCTGTCAACATACACGTATGAGGTTAGATGAGAGTTGCAGCGCCTGGCCGGGGGAAATAGCAGGACATACCCCTAGAACCATGCCAAGTGGAAATATGATGCCAAAGGCAAGCCCCATTAGAATCATATGCACCCATAAAGTCGAGTCCTGTCTCCGTCAGTCTTGTCCGAAGAGATTAACCTATCATTTAAGGCACGTACAATGGGTTCTCCCGAGATAGCGGCACCCTCGGGAACATTTTCATGGCCACCATGGGCCAGTGCGGGTGCGACCAGAAGTAATACAGCGAGTAACGCCCGCGGGTCTGGTTTACTCAGCATCATCTTCACGATGGTGCGAAGTAACTGAAATGACGAATAGAGGGTAGGGGAGAGAAGACTTCGGATGGACGTCGATTTGGGCAAAGGATAAGGATAAGCCTTTAGCACGGGTACTCGGGGAAAGACGCAAATCGGCCGTCTCGGATTGGCGGGGCCCGGCTCCACTGTTTAGTGCCGGCACTAATATCGGTTTGGTTAATAGAAAGTCACTGGTATGCCTCAACATCTCTGCTATGTACAGAGTACTCCAAAGTATATCATACTATCTTACGACCTAAAACCATGATTTTCCCCTGATTAGTGACCTTCGGTGGCTTACCAGGGGATCAGGGTAACTGAATAATATGACGTCCGGTGATAAAATTGTCGCAATCGAAAACGGTAACACATCACATCGTACCCCTGAACAACAGACATACAGAGAAAAGCGTTTCGTAAGTGACCCTTTTTCTTTGCTTTGTTCCTTACTCATGTAACTGAAAGTTAGTCAAAAACCAACAGTAGAAACTGACAGATCGACAGGTCTCTCTCCATACCTCGGTCGCAGGGTTGGAAGCTGAAGTAGCACAAATGGAAGCTCAACTGGCCGAAACAAAGGCTAGATTAAAGTATGGACACCATGACTTTGGCACAAATCTTACAAGGATGATGCGTAACAGTAGAGTAAATTCTAGGAGCGACCCTTCTACGACCGTGCAGCGACATATCACTCTTCTTCATGAATATAATGAAATTAAAGATATTGGACAAGGCCTGACGGGTCTTATTGCTGATGCGCGTGGAGTGCGCCAGGTTGAAGTGCGGAGAGAATATGGGGTCGGTGATGGGGATTGAATACTCCCTCTGAACTGTGGTTTTCTACGAAATGAGTGTCATCTTGATGCTTTGGCATTCGTTTATTGAAAGCTGTAATTCCAGAACGGTACATTACAACTACCCTGTCATTCCTTGAGCCATGTCGTGATTCTCTAATTGTAATTGTCTATTTTCTCTCTTGTCTTATAAACTAAGCTTCGATTACGTAAATATAATAAATCTCGTCTTGCATAATGATTGTCGCAGGGCCCTTTTTTTGGTTTGTTTTCTTTTCGTGTTAGAAGCCAACACGCCCCCACCAACAGTCTGCATCGTTCATGTGATACGTTTAATGTGAGAGGGGAGAAAATGGAAAAGGGCGAACGTGCATGAACTTCAGATAGAGGATATCATCAACATATCATATTAACGCAATCCGGTGTCGGTGTATAGGAGCAATAGAGGTCATGAGCGGGTATTTTAGAAAGTATATATATAACATAAAAATTAGTGATCCTTGCCCAAACTTTGTAGGTTGACCAGTTCATAATAACGGCCTTTGTTACGGACCAATTCTTGGTGTGTTCCGCTTTCGACAATCTTGCCCTGGTCAAATACGTAGATAACATCGGCTTTCTGGATCGTACTCAGTCGGTGAGCAACAGCAATCGTAGTTCGGCCTTTGGCGGCGGCATCCAGCGCCGCCTGTACAACTTTTTCGGATTCAGAGTCGAGAGCCGAGGTAGCTTCATCTAAAAGGAGGACCTTGGGATCACGGAGAAGGGCGCGGGCAATAGCAACTCGTTGCTTTTGCCCACCAGATAACATACCTCCTTTGTTGCCAACCACGGTATTGAATCCCTCCCTGCAGATATACCGTCAGTAAAACCGCGCGAAATTTGCCGAGAAAGGGGCAAATATTGACTGGAAGGTGTAAATGAGCACTTACGGAAGGGACATAATGAAATCATAGATATTGGCATCCTTGCATGCCTTAACCACTGCCTCTTCCGGAGTGTTGTCTTGATCAACGCCTAGCAAGATATTCTCTTTGACAGTCCCTTGATACAAGGTCGGCTCCTGACTGACCAGCGACAAAAAGCCCCGGTATGAATTAACATTAAGTTGGGTAATGTCCTGGCCATCCACAAGAACAGATCCGGACAATGCATCATAGAAACGCTCAAGCAGCGCAATGGTAGTACTCTTTCCACATCCACTAGGTCCAACGAGAGCAACATATTGGCCAGGCTTCACGGTCAAATTCAACCCCCGGAGAACTGGTTGTTCGGGACGAGTCGGGTACCTGAAATGCACGTCGCGGAATTCAATTGAACCTTCCACAGATTCTAATTTCTTGCCATCCTCCGACCATGTATCAATGGTCGGCTTCCTGTCGAACAGCCTTTTGAATTCAGCTGCGGCATTCTTCGCCTTGCCCATGTCTGGGGAGAAGGAGAATACAGTCCCCGCAGACTGCGCACCGAAGAGGATCTCAGAAAAGCAGACGAAGAAGCGAAAAACAGAGTATTCATGTTTACCGAGGAGGGTGCCACCATACCAAAAGCCGAGCGCAACACAAAAGAAAACCAGAGCTTGTGAACTAGCATAAAGGAGGGACGACTTCAAAACAGAGATTAGACTCTTCTTACCCTGGGCTTCCAGCTGAGAGTGATACACTGTCCACACATCCCGTTCTCGAGTGAGAGAGGCCACGGTGCGGATAGCTGAGGTTGCTTCACAAGCATAGCTCGCAGACCCTTCATAGGCAAGTTTGGAACGGTGCTGGAACTGAGCAAGCATGTAGAAACGGTAAAATCCACATGCCAGAAGTACTGGGACGACGGAAATACAGACCAGGGCTAATTTCCACCCGATTGCAAGAGAGATCACAATTGCTGCCCCGAGGGTTGTGCTAGTCATTAAAATTGTCCCCAAAGTTACACCACTGATTCCCGACAAATGTTTTGTTTCAGTTGATAGGAAAGATGTTAGGGCGCCAGTGCTGTTTTCCTCTCTATCAAAGAATGTGATGTCTTGGCGAAGAATCGTTCTAAAAGCTTTGCTTCGTGCGCGACGAATGAGTCTCTCAGAACTGACGGCAAATGCGGCACCGTTGATAGAAAGATTGATGAATTGAGCAATTCCAACAACAAAAAACATCAGAGACCAGAAGTTCGCATCATGACGGAGCTTGCCATACGTGCTCGGGCCTGCTGCCCCCAAAGAGAGTGAGCTGATCGCTTTGGCGTAAAGGACTGCCTGGGTGGGTTGACCACCCCCTGCAAGGATCGAAAAAGTCAAACCAATCAGCATATAGTTTAGTTCAGGGCGGTTGAAAGAAGCAATGAATTTGATCAGTGACCACAGCGAGTATTTATGCGTTTTCTCTGGGTTCTTCTTGGCGAGAACAGCGCTTGATATCGACTTGTGGGTAGCAGAACGTCCGATCCCAGAGTAAATCTTTTCGTCTCCAACGTCCACGGCTGAGGCCAAATCGCTGCCAGCAGTTTTAATACGAGACATTTGCTCTTCGGGGAACTCGTCCTCATTTTCGACCTCATCATCCAGAGCTTCTGCGTCCTTCTCTTCCTTGATGCGCTGAGCCTCTACGAGGTTATTGTAGGTGCCCTTGCGATCGACCAGTTCATCATGTGTACCCTGTTCTACAATTCTGCCATCAACCAAGACAACAATATTGTGGGCGGCTTTTATAGTCGATAGACGATGAGCAATAACAATAGTCGTTCGACCTTCTGCAGCTTTATCAAGAGCAGCTTGAACAACTCCTTCTGACTTGGTATCCAGTGCAGATGTAGCTTCATCAAGCAAAAGAATCTTTGGGTCGCTAACAATGGCACGGGCAATGGCAATTCGCTGCTTTTGACCACCAGATAGCAGGAATCCGCGCTGGCCGACATTGGTCTCGTACCCCTCTGGTAAAGCACTGATGAAGTCATGAGCGTTGGCCATTCTTGCCGCATTCTCAATCAGTTTGCGGATCTTCTCATCTGACTCGTTCTCGAATTTCGTGCCAATGAGTCCATACTGTATATTCTTGTAGATCGTAGTGCCGAAAAGGATAGGCTCCTGACTAACCAACGAGATTTGCTGACGCAGCCAACGAAGGTTGAGATTCTGAATGTCATAGCCATCTAGGAATACTTGACCACCGACAGGGAAGTAAAAACGCTCGACCAACCCTACAACAGTACTCTTTCCAGAACCAGAAGGACCTACTAAGGCTGTAGTTTTGCCGGCAGGCATTCGTAAGGAAACACCGTCCATAATTGTCACTTCAGGTCGCGAAGGGTAGATGTGTTTGACGTCGCGGAACTCAATGTTACCTTCAACATGCTCGGGCGTCTCTCCTTCATCCGAGTACGGATCCAATGGTGAAGGACGATCAATGGTAGTATAGATCTTGGCAGCTGCTGCCACAGCATTCGTAAATGCTTGAGCATTCGGGCTGACGTTTCCCAGACTGAAGGAGCCTATCAAAATCGCCATTAACACAGTAAGGACCTGACCAACATTAACCTCTCCATTAACAAGGAACCGGGAGCCCATCCAGAAGCCGAGGCCATAGTTGGAGAACATGATACCGAACATTCCGCCAATCATGAAACCAAGTATGAGTTGGTTCTTGACTCCCCACTTTTCCGCTTCTGCTAGGTGAACCTCGTATTGCTTGGCAAGCTTATCCTGAGTGCCGAATGCAGTGGCATTCCGAATGGAGCTGATCACCTCTTCTGCAACCGTGCCACCAGCACCATAGCTGTCCAGAGATTGCTTGCTATACTTCACAATAAATCGAGACCCAGCTCCCATGACCAACACAATGGCGACAATTGTCGAGCTGCAAATCAGCGCCAATTTCCAATATTTAACATACGCGACGATAAACGCGGTGACAAATGTGGAAATGGCCGTTAGTGTAAGTCCGACTTTCTCAGAGATGCCGTCCTGGATAAGGTTTGTGTCGGCGGTGATGCGCGTAGTCACTTCACCGGCACCCAATTTATCAAAATAGGCCATGTTTTGCCGCAGGATGGACTCGAGGTAATGTTCGCGGATCTTCTGGCTGATATGCTCCCCAGTATAAATGAATCCCACAGTGCTGATATATACCGTCACAAATTCAGCGATACCAAGATATACGAAGTACAAGACATTCTTTGTCAATTGGTGATAGAATTCATCATATGAAATAAGATCTGCCACCCTATTTGACATAGCTGAGGCCAAGGAACCGAAAAGGATCTAACGAATGGTCAGTGTTTTATTTTAGTGCAAGGGCCTAGTTAAGACACACAGTAAATAGCGGCAATGCTGCACCGGCAGCAATAGCACAAATCGCGCTTATAAACATGATGAGTATATCCATTCTAGATGCGTAGCGGAAAAGAGCAAAGAATGACACTTTCACTTCGTCCGCATCGAGCTGGCTCTTCAATATCTGCTTCTCATGTTCTGGTAGGTGGGAATAAAGAGCATCGTCGCCATCATCATTATTATTGTCACCGTCTTTATCACTCTTATGGGAGGATGGAGGACGGTTGCCCTGCTCCTTGCCTGTTGGCGGGGCTATCGTTGAACCGGAAGCAGAATTGCTAATAGACTTCTCATTGTCGATAGCTGTAACTGGAGAAGAGCCACCGACTTTCTCTATCGATGTCATTTTGCTTAAAGCGAGACTAAGCTCACAGTCTGTAAATAATCACACAAGGGCCCCAATAATCACCATACTCCAAAAGAAGACGGACGAAGACCAACTCCGATTAATTCGCCTGTTATGAGTTGCTCAAAGAACGGATCGTCAATGGAAGGGCTGCGAGTGGCTGGAATGTTGGACGCGCAATGCCTAATGCGCGTGAATAAGGGAGAAAGGAAGGGGGGGCATAAATTATGATCCCAAGAAGGGTACAGTGAAAGGGAGAAACGAATCTTGAGCTATTAGAGACTACTGTTGAATAAACTATATAAGGAACAGAAAAAAAAGAGGGAAATGGAAGTGTCAATAGAGTGCTAAAGGGAGAAAAGGGGGTTATTTGAGAGACCTCGACATCTCTGGTTGCCCGTGAGGGTCAGACTGGTACATACCTTTTTGGTTTTATTTAATCTTGATCTCTTATCGGAGTCCCGACATCCCGAGCGTTTTATGCAGACTTAAATTAACCACAATTAGCCACTTCAAGAGGATTGGTGGGACAGTAATAAAAGGAAAAGAAAATTCTACTCTGTACCAACATTAAAAATTTTAGTGATAAGAAGCAACTCAGCTAATTATATCTCTCGCTAAAACATTTGCTGCCATGTTTCATCGGTTATTATTATTATTATTATTATTATTTTTCCAGCACAAAATTGCCGTACAAGATACTAGTAGCATTCCGCTAAAGCTTGCATAGCTGACGGGAGAAAAAAAAGGTTCTATTCCTTGTTGCTTGGAACTTCGGAGAATTCTGGTACGTGGCACATGCAGGCAGACAATACGTACTACCTACTTTCTGGAGACGACTTCGAAGACTTCAAGTAGATCAGATAGGTAAAATTATTCTCCTCGGTGTCCCGGATTCCACGGACCCACGGGGCCGATGAACAAATCAATATCAACTCCTGAATTGGGAGCCTATTGTAAATGGGTGCGTTCTCCGAGACTCCTGGTTCCCTTTTGGTTCTATAACATTACGGTGTAAGTCCACCTCGGAATTCTCTAGACGAGTACGAAAAGCTAAAAATACGAAGCATGAGTAATTGATCATGGATCCAGATTTTGAAGTTAACAACGTAGTGATGGGTGCCTAAGGTCAGGGCCAATGGCCAAGCTTCGATTATGCCGGAAGGGGTCGTCCTGTGGCCCGCTTCTCAACAATGATTCATACGGAGTACTTACCGACGGAGTCGGAGTGCCTAAACCTCTCTAGACTCTAGAGTCTAGCCTCTACTACTTTTAGAGCCTCCCGAGAGGTTTAGTTTACTAGGCAATTATTGGCAACGATATACGAACAAGCCAATCATTCAAGACTCTTTTGGACAATCTCACGGCGGGGTTCGGGGTGTTGCTGTTCCTGGGAATGACAGACAGGTCAGGTTCCAGGTTCCAACTACTAGTCGACTCCGTAGCGGCATAGATGGACTCCCGAGCTTAGTTAAATTATGGTTGTCGGACATTCGGGGACTCCAGTTCCCGACAACAGGAATCAAAGCTTCTGAATTCTCCTATGTCATTGGCTTGTCTCTTGAGGTTGGCTTGCAGTATGCTGAATGGGGACCCCGACTATCTACTACTAGTAGACGTATGGAGCACTCCGTACCTACAAACTTTTTTTTTTCGAGCAATCGTCGATCTGGGTAAACCTGTTAGCCGGTCGCGTGTAAGGTTGAAATAATGCCTGCTAAGGCCAGACATTTTGACTCAATAAGCGTTGGGCTGGCTGTTTTGCATTGTGGTCAGCCAGTCTTCAAGTGGTCTATCACTTTTCTTTGGGTAATGGACCAGTGATTCAAACTAAGCGCTTTAGTTAGATGCATAGGCAGTACAGCCTGTTGTCACTGCCGAACTAAAGAAAGAAACAAAAGAGGAAAAGCTTCAGCATAGTAGAGTGTATCTAATCAATCGCTCATCCTCATCTGTACGTACAAACACCATCAGACTAAAAAACAGAAGAAAAAGTAAGCCTCAATTTAAACAATCAGAAAACGGCAGAGAGACCGAGAGGCAAATGACAAATAACAATATGACCCACAACATGTAATAGGTTATGATGATTATGCTTCATCTCACAGTTACAACACTACTTCTAAGTAGCAGATCCTAGAAGATTGAGCGTCAGGGACTCAGTATATTCGATTATCCTACGTATTCAAGTATACTCTGTATACTGCGCAATAATACCCATAAGTAGCAAGATATGAATCAGTCATCCGGTGCTTATTGAGGTATACCCTATTTTAAACCAGGTCAACGCGCTGAACAACTGTCATCTATGTTCATACCCCAGAGGTTCACCAGTTGGCCTGAGTCACGAGAGAAATCTTGCCTCAGGCATAAGTCACATGACATTTTCGAAGCGAAGCGCTAAGCCCTGCCCGCACAAAAAAACCACTACTACCGGAGGCCCTTGAAGACGGTCGACAACCTCATTCTCGCCAGTCCATACACTCAGCTCGCCGTCGCGACAAGCCTTCAAGATGCCGGTTAGCACCCCCTGAGCCAAACCTAGAGTCTGTACTCGGGTGATATTTTTCCACATCATCTGGCCAAAATGGATGGGGGGCTTATGTGATCGCTGCTAACGCTCAATTTCTTCGACTAGAGCCACAAGAGTTTCCGCACCAAGCAGAAGCTTGCCAAAGCTCAGAGACAGAACCGTCCTATCCCCCAGTGGATTCGTCTCAGGACCGGTAACACCATCAGGTAATTACATCTATTCCTTTCAGGACCCTCGATCGACTGGAACAGTGGCAACTGGCTTTGAAGCGTGTATGGAGTTGACACACTCGCACTCGGAATTTTATCGCTTTCTTTGCCACTTGGAGCGGAGGAGAATATCTACTTGGGGTTTGACTTGGACAAGTCGGAAGGAGATGAAAGTGCTAACAACCGAATTTCTAGATATAACGCCAAGCGGAGGCACTGGCGCAAGACCCGTCTCGGTCTGTAAACTTGGAATCTCTCCTTCGACCGAGATGTCAATCCCCGATTGTTTCGTTCATCTGTGATACCGAAAACGTTGCTCGCGATGATTAATCTGCGTCCTGAATCCGGCCCGCTTCAACATCTTTCTCTCGCCAAACTTTGATCTATGTTCGGAATCCTTGGCAAATATCTCTCATCCTGATAATTTTTTAAAATACTCAGGATGATGTACGGATAATGATCAAATCGGAATCGGTGGTGGGTTCTGTGATGGAACGTACTTTGCAAATTATGTACACGAGCTGAGACAAAATAAAAAATTATGATGGATAATGAGCAGTGAACGAAGATTTTTCAGGGATGTTTCCACATATCACACCTAAAACATGAAGACAAACTGAAGGGAACATGTTCGTGAAGGGCAGTTATCTACGAACTACGCTACCTTTCCCTTCCCTATTTAAGTACACCCGCAAGCGTACGCCTCGGTATCTGCGAGTTGGATTGTGCAGTCAGTTTGGGGAGCGGCAGGGATGAGCGAACACTTCGGGACACCAGAAGCCGCTGCGATGTATCTCACTTATGTCTATCGTAGTGTAATTGCGCGTACTGTTGTATCCTTGATTTAGTCCCTGCAGTGGCCCATACCTCTTAAGGCAGCGTGTTGTCAAATCTGCCCTCTCTTTATTGCGTCGTAGGCCTCTAGTCTATGCAAATCGAGGTAATTACTTAAGCGTTACGTAGATAGTCAAAATTATCGAAAGCCCTGACCGCATACCCGTGGGCCGTAAATAATGGTATTATTTTTGCTACAACAGCTCCCTCACCACCCCACATTCAGTGGGTAGTCCGGGTGTCAAACTGCCTACGTCTAACCCCAGCCTTCAACAAAGCAAAACCAGCTAATTGAAAAGAAAAGCGATGGTGATATAAAATTCCTAACGCCATAGAGTAGAAAAGACCAATGGACCAGATGAAACTCAAGCTGAAAGATTATGGAGAGCTGCTAACCTCCTGGAACAGATCATGAAACTTGGGTAGAATTCCAAGAGTAAGGCAAGTCTAACATCGGCCAGCGGCGTATTTAGCGGCTATAGCAGAGAGCAGTTAGTATTCAGGCGGTATTCCAAAGGAAGGCAGACTGTGTAAAGGTTAAACCTGGGAAACTTTAGGCACATACTCCTCAGCCCATTCATTCTCGCGACGAATCTGATCTTCCTCCTCGGGTGTAAAATCGTTCTGAATATTGAAGGTCTTTCGAATCTCCTCAGGAGACTTGCCCTTGATCATATTCGCAACGGTCTTGCAGCCGACATCAAGTAGTCCCTTGATGTCAAGGTAGTTGGCGGCCTATTTCATTGGGACTTAGCTTCAGAACTTCTGTCAAGACATCGTCAACCTAGATAGCACGTACCAAAATTATTTCAAAAAGCATCTCCTGGTCAACCTGCATGAACTTCTGATCCCACTCGTCAATATCCGTGGTTTTACGGCGGGAGTCATCGTCATCGCCGGTGCTGGGAGGGTCGTTCTTATGATGGGTGCACCATTCAATAACCTTCTTCAAAACGGCTTCGTTGACCTACAGCGGATAAGTCAGGTCCCATCATGTAAAAAGTGACTAAAAGTTCAGTCTGGTAGCTGAGCCAGGATGACTCACGTTGGGGATGGGGATGGGCTCTCCAGTTTCGCCCAAGTCTTCGAGCATATTCTTGATGAGCACCGAGCGTTCGGCGACATCACGGTCTAAATGACGGGACAACAGATCAGTATCGAGCCTACCCATCAGGAGATGAAGAGAGAGACCATGGATCTCTTCTTGGTAAAGGGGTAACGATCGTGATGAATGCACCTACCGACAGTGATGTCAGTGCCGTCGGAGCTTGTGAAAACTAAAGTGGGAGTGGCCATGTTTGAGATATTCAAATCCTAAGCAGACTATTAAAACCTGAATCAATTGTTGCCTTCGCGAGACAAGTCAGCTTGTTTTCATGGAGGGCTAGAATTCAGACCAAGTTAAATATCTTATGAGGGGTACAGAGGTGGGGAGATGGTGATTTACCGACACTGGTAACTGAGAGTTTCGAAGAGAAAGAAACTGGGTTGTGGAGAGGATATTGGGGGGCGAACCTTGATATAAATGTCTCAGGACAATGGGGCAGAAATAGAATAAAAGGAAAGCAAGCTCAAAGGGAGGGAGGTAGCGGTGCAGAAATAGAAGGTAGGAAGATAGGAAGGACTAACAATCAATGGCGGAGAGTAGTAATGAGGCTTAGAGGGAAGAATTACGGAATAGCGCTTAGTCGGTATTGGAGATGAAAGCACAGGTCATCAGTTAACCTACTTAATTTTTCCTTACAAGTACTCAGTATACGAGGTCCATGGGTAATAAATGTTCAGGCTCCCCCCACCGCGCAGAGGCGCCTAGATTGCCGCCTTGTTGTTGCCTCAGTGTAAACTAGTACATACATACATCGATGTAGTTACTTGGTAGAAATACCTCATATGGGAAACAGAAATTTTTGAGAGTATCATTTTCATATTTGACCGGTGCTTAGACTTAAGGGTAAGAATTCTCAGTTACGTTTATTCTAAAAATGATAGCAAATGCTCATAGCTAGTGTATTTCCAACCCATTAGACCTATAGAAGGATACTGTACGGATTACATACCAGTAATTAATACAAAACCGGTATTTTTGAGGAAACATCAATCCAAATATACCCATTATGCCCTCTGACGTTCTTTCTTATTGTCCATCATTTTGATATCTTTGATTAAAATAATAGTAATTAAAAAAACTCTTCCCTCGAGTTAGGACATCAAGTGTATGATAGAAACAGTACAAACCCTCAATGTATCTCAACCTCAACCCACTTATCATTCGATTCATCGCCAGCTAATTTAACCACCGTCCACTACATTTACTAGTTATTGTCTCCAATAGTTCCTATTAACGGTGGGCAGTGAAGTCCACCCAACATGTCCCTCCCACCCAGTCAGAGGAAATAGGTCCTGCACATCAGCAACTTAGCCGGACCCTGAACAAGCTTCCACTCCTTGATTCTCTCCAATAACCTTGTCTATATGCTAGACCGTGTCGTTCCTTGAATATTTGAATTATTCTAATGTGGGAGAAACGCAACAGCATGTGCTTTTTCTATAGAAACTTTTGTTCTCATTTATAATTCTCCGTGTGCTGTGTGTCTTATCGTCATCACCATTATTATTGCCACACTTAACCATAGGAACCATGTGGAGACGAACATATTTGCTTCTACTGGTGATCCGTGTTTACTTTGCCCTTTCCCCAAGCTACCTTCATCCAGACGAGAACTTTCAGGGACCTGAAGTTTTTGCAGGTAAGTATGCTATTCTTTCAAGAGCTATCCGTTGATGCGACCATGGTTTTGTCGCGGCAGCTTCTTTCTGGATGGCAGCAAAACATACCCCCACGATAAACCGTCATTCATAGGACTCAACTAAGCTCCTCAGGTCGCGTCCTCTCCTACCCATCCAAATTACCATGGGAATTCACCGTCGATAAACCGATCCGCAGCGTCTTTCCGCTATGGCCGACCTACGACGTGCCAATAAGCCTTCTTAGATGGTTCTATGCCGAAACAGGGGCCCCGACACCCCCTCCTCCGCAGGTTATCTACTATGTATTACGAGGGGTCATGTTTCTCTTGAGTTTTGTGCTGGAGGACTGGGCTGTATATGAGTTAGTTCCTTTTGCACGACACCGCCGGGCGACCGTGGTACTCGTTGCGTCGTCGTACGTCACCTGGACATATCAGACGCACACCTTCTCCAACTCCCTTGAGACGTTGTTGGTTGCTTGGGGTCTGGTCTTGATTCGTCGCATTGTCGAGAATAAGGTCTGTTCATCACACCAAAGTCAAAGAAGAGGGAATGTTGGTAGGCTAATGTTCGTCTACAGCGCCGCTCATCCGTCTTCTCCTGTGCTGTCCTGGCCTTTATTGCTGTTGCTGGCGTCTTTAATCGAATCACTTTTCCAGCTTTTCTTGCCATCCCAGGACTTCAATTATTGCCTCATTTTCGGCGCAAGTCAGTATCCCCGTGAGAATAGTTCTTCATTTCTGTACTAAACCGTCCTCGAACATCCAGACCGGTTTCATTATTTTCTTTCATGGGGTTCGGTATATTCTTCTTTGGAATCGCTGTTCTTATTGATACCGCATTCTATCGGCCTTCTGCAACCTTGTGGGATACCCTTCACTCGCCGGTAATTACACCCGTCAACAATTTACTTTATAACTCCGATAGTTCAAACTTGGCGCTTCATGGACTCCACCCTCATTATCAACACATTCTAGTCAACTTGCCGCAGCTCCTTGGGCCTGCATATGCTATGATGGCTACATCATTGTGGGGCTTGCCAGCTATCCCAACCTGGCTGAAGAACGCGCGTGCTGTCTCCGCTTTATCAGCAACTGTCATATTATCGATCTTCCCCCACCAAGAACCGCGCTTCTTAATACCATGCGTACCTCTTCTCCTCAGTTGCTTCCGTGTGAGCAAATCGCGTTTGTTCCTGGCCATCTGGATGATATTTAATGCTGCTCTGGGATTTTTAATGGGCATCTATCACCAAGGGGGAGTTGTACCTGCTCAGCTTGCAATGCCCTCTATCATCTCAGCCAGCAGTGTTGAATCAAGTAATGCATTTCCAGGAGAAAGCCCTGTTGTCTCTGCCACAGTCTTTTGGTGGAAAACCTACTCTCCCCCGCTATGGTTACTAGGGACTACCGACAATTCATCCCTGAATATCGAAACTCGAGACTTAATGGGCGTTCCCGGACCAGACTTGATCGAGGAGCTGGAAAAACTACTCCCTTCCTGCAACATTGCTGGATCGAAGCAGGTTGACCCGGTATTCGTGGTTGCGCCCAAGTCGGCTGCTTTTCTTGATCGATATACCTTTTTACCGAGCTCGTCGGTTAGCTCAGCTCTAGAGCTACACGAACTGTGGTCTTACAGGAAACATATCAACTTGGATGATCTGGAATTTGGCACTGAAGGTGTCTATTCAGCATTGAGGCGAGTGATTGGTAGGCGCGGACTAGCCGTGTGGAGAGCTAAAAGGGCGGGGTGCAATTGAAGCTGGATCATCTGATGGTACTAATATATCAGATGCTTGATGAGGTAAAATTAACAAATCTCGAATCATTACTCCTTTGTCTTCTTCTCATCCCCTTGTTTCGAACATTCTGGGTTAAGCGACCTCGATGGTCAGCTTCTAGCTCATCCTAATCTCTTCTACATTATATGCAACTCCCTCTAATTTAGTACCCACCGGTGCAGGTAAGAGGCAAGTGTATCGTCTCATATATCGATCGACTCATACTTGTTATAGCAAAACACTGCACACGCATTCTGGCTTTTGTGAAAGAAAGCAAACTATCATTTTAAAATTACTGAGCGCATTTGCTAATCCGGTGACGTAGTCAGCGATCCTTTAAGAGGCTCCTCAAACGCGGCATGAGGTCACAGGACACTAAAAGTATAGTGCTATAGATAGGTACTACTAGTAGAAAGGTGTAGGTAAGTGGTCATTGCCAAGTTTAATGTGCCAAACAACGAGCAAAATGGAGATTCATGCTGGTCTTAGCCATCTGGAGGGATTTATATCAACTTCACGAAACCGGATTCAGTTTTACACCACATTCATCTTACGCGATAGTCTTTCCAAGTGCTGCAGGGAAAAATAAGGGATTCAAACGTATCTCATTTTTGTTCCATTAACTAGGCACACGACCAAAATGTCACTTCTGAGTAGGGAGGGAAATGAAAGGAAAATAGGCAAGACTACTACCGTATGTTGGAATACCGCCACAAATGTCGTCCATGAGATAGTGGTAAGGATGAGAAGACGTGACTGAGGAAAGTAGTGGCAGCTAGTGTTTCCGGTGCTGGGCACGGCAAGCTGTACTAGTCATGATAAAGCCTGGCGTCGGTAAGGAACTCGACAAGGAGATAGATGCATTGCAGTTTTCATTAAGGGGAAAGAGCAGCACTAGGTTCGCAGCAATGTATTGTTGGGAAGCCTTCGATGGAGGATACTCTGGCGTTGAATCATAGGTCTCCAGGATCATCAGTGTTCTCGAATAGAAAGTTGGCAGCGAGCTCTTCGTTCTTGTCACATGCAAAGTAAGCCTCTATGACCATATCCCGGGAAAACCCCAGACGGCATAGCTAGCGCTGTATTAGCCTTCGACCCGGTGTGATAATTACGCATATATAAGAGGCATTAAGCAAACATACACGTTCGATAGCATCTCTCTCTTCCTCGGTGACATGGATCTGATGCGTACCAGGAGGGAGGGCACCATCACCTTCTTCGCTTAAGAGCTGAAGAAATTGCTCCTCGTTCTGGCCGATGAGCTGGGCGATCTGAGGGTTACCGGCCGCGACCTGTTGAAGAATGGGTTCGAGCATTTGCGGTTGCTGCTGGACTAGCTGGCGAAGTTGCTGGAAATGTGGGTTATTCCTAAGGAAGTCAAGATTCGGAAGTCCTTCGCCGGCTGCACTTCCGGAGCGTGCCCCATGGGGATCTTCCTGGGTACCCGCCTGAGCAGCAGCCTCAAACAGATTGACTGGTTCTTCACCACCCGTTGTCGCAGGAGCGTTTTCCCCAGTGGAAGCTGCGCGGGGTTGAGGCGAGGCAGCGGTGGCAGCGGCAGCCTGTTGTTGTTGTTGTTGCTGTTGTTGTTGTTGCTGTTCCTGTTGTATGTTTTCTGGAATTCCCTGTTGGTTGTGATATGTATCATCAGCTGATGTGTATCGCGCTTAGGCAGCGTTAATGTGCAAAGCTCACATTCAAAAGATATTCGATAGCACGATTAGGATTGAAGAAGGCAGCCCTCATAGCGCGGTTGATATCATCCCTTGGAAAACCCATACTCTCCATGCGAGAAATAACCGCCTCGCCCTGAGAGCCACTCAGCAAAGCGGAGGGATCATTAAAAGCAGCGTCGGATGGCTGTGTAGCCCCAGCAGGGGAAGGAGTTGCCGGCGGGGGTGGTGCGGAGTTTGTAGATGAGGCAGAAGCAGGAGCCGGGGCAGGAGGCGCAGCCGGGGTTGAGGCGGCAGCTCTCGAAGGCGTCGAGGGGGCTTGCGAAGGCGTGGCTGTAGACGAGGGGACCTTAGGCTACACAGCACGGTTAAATAACTTGATATATACAGAGAGACGCCATTGTATAATTTACCTTGGAGACCATGCATACTATGAAGCCCTTTTCTTCGATGTTGTATGATTCGATCGCCTTGTCATCCTGCAAGATCTTACCTGTAGGGCGAGGAGATAGTTAGCGACTTATCATGGAGCGAAACTTAGCCAAGTCACCGTCTGTGACGCCGAAATAGTGAAACCATAACGGGCAAGACGCTATGGACGAACCGGAGTAGATCAGCTTCAGTTGGGGGACCTCCCAACCCTTCTCCTTGGAGATCTTTTCTTTCACTTGCCCAACCTAACGGAGATTTTATTAGCCCCGCATTGACACGAACAAGATATCGGCACCTGGGGAATAACCTACCGTCTCTGAGGGCTCTGCATCAATTACAAACTTCTGCTGTTTCAAATCCTGGAGTAAAGGAGAAATGGTTGTCAGCTCCAGTCATCAAGGGACGGGCGGGGTGTTGGAGATGCCTACTTTAAATGTAAGCTTCATCTTGCGCCACCAGAGGAGTGAAGATGGCTAGAAAAAAGTTGAATATTTGGTGGCACAGAAAGATGTGAGTATGGTGGTAGGTGCAGTGCCCAGTCCTTGAAGGTTGAAAAAGGAAATAGGGGATTAGAAGGACGAGATTAGAGAACTAAGGAATTGCCAGGAAGAACAATGATGATGACAATCCATGACGATTTTGGGGGGGAGAGCAGTTGGCCTGGAGGCGGTCACGGCATCTCAGTCAAGCCGCTCCTTCACAGCCACACTTGTACTTACGTCCAGCCACACTTTCCTGTTCGGGTAAGGTGGTTGGAATCAGTACTAGTAGATAACTAGGTGACATCCTATTTCAACAGGAGTGGCGAGAAAGGATTTTCACTTTCATGACTTGGATGCTATCAAAAGGTACGGAGTACACTATTTCCGAATTTCCTTACTGCTCAGAGTTGGGGGTCGGCGCTGCGACGGATAAGGAACTAAACTGTGCGTACTCCGTGCAGACGGCGGCTAATACACTAAATTGTCGAGGATTCAAAAGCAAGAAATCAAATTAAGGCCAGAATTGTTATGAATTCAAGAAGAAATTTTTAATACAAAGACTCATTGGCTCTCATAGTCATAGGAATGTTTGAATACACGGCCAGCGGCCAGACGACCACTATATAGTAAGTCTACAATGTAGGTGGATTTGAGGAAAGGGCAGCGGCCATTTGCACAAGGAAAACGAGAAGAGGATAGCTTAAAACCACTCACAACAACTCCCAAAAACACACAAAAAAGTAAAAAATAAAAAAGAAGAGAGGGATGAAAGAGAATAGAGTAGAACAATAAGGCATATGTGTATGGAGTAGGGATAATGTGTAAATTTCTGACTCACCTTTCTTGCGGGACGGACACCTGTGATGTATCTCTTGGATCTATCACACATGATTATTTGCGTGGAAAGCGTCAAGGGACCATTCACATATCCTTCAGAAATGCTTTGTTATTTGTAGCCTACTAGCAAAATACCTCTTACAAGACTTAATTATGAGAATATACTAGCTTTAAACAGACTTCCTATCACCATTTTTGTGGTATCTATAGCGTTAACCGAATAACAACAATGTCACCACCTCTCTCCAGGCTCTTCAGCTCTTGATCCACTCCCCAGACAGTAGATATATCATATCCACGGATCGGGGCGTTTATCGATACTATCCATTATCTTAGGATATAACTGGACGGTCAGACCTTTTAAGACTGTTCCGACACCCTGGAGATCGTCCCGCCCGCTTCACCAAGAAGCCACCAACCCTTGACAAATTCCATTCTGGACGTGTTCCACGCACTAGCATACCCTATGAGAAATTTACAATAAAAATGTGGTTCTAATGGTTCTTACTGACTCAGAAGCATATTAGTGATTATTCCCATGCATGAAAACTACTTGGCTGTTGAAAGGGATGCATCAACAATCAGTCCCATCATACATGATCAAGATTTGTTATTCTGTGTGAAACTTGGGATGTGAATAGTTTTCCATACAACGACCAGACAGTTTCACTCTGTCGGTTGAGAGGCCTTGCGTCAATCCATTGTATAGGGGCCTGGACAATTAATATGCCAAGGGCTTCTCTTCCTCTCTTCCTCTCGCTCTTTTTATATTTTTATTTTTCATTTTCCTCTTTGGTTTCTCATTTAAAAAAGGAGCTATCTGGACTGCCATCCAGACCTTCTAACGAAAGATAGCGCGATCTGAGAGTCCCAGCTAGGTGGCACCGAGATCTACCCCTGTCACTTTAGCTCTAGTCTTTGCATATGCGATATCCATTCGGACTATTGTATGCGTCCCAATGCAATCACCTACGGGGAACTTCTCCCCCCCGCTCCCCTCTATCTAATTTTAATGGATAGACTTAGGCTCTCCCGCTACTCCTGGATATAAATTCTCGCTCGAACATATATCTTACTTCCACAGTCTTCTGGTCACGGTTCAATCTCATACTCACCTACGGCATGTCCTTATTCGATGCTTCAATCATACCCCGGCTTTATTTCTCAATGACATTCATATAGCAGCTATGAGATTTTTTTTTTTTTAATCCTTGATGATACCCCGGCCCCCTTTGTCATATACTGTCTTCGCCTACAACATATAACATCTTAAGTTATCCCATTCTTCAAGCACAGTGACCCTATATACACTTGAATACGACGCCGCTGTTCATTGGATTCATTGGGCCTTGGTATACCCTCGGGTTTATTTCTTGACGAATGCATACGCCTGCTTGTTTTTCAACCACCGCTATGAATTTCAATGTGCCTCGACCTTCTCTTCCATGCCTAATAGGGGGAGCCTCGTTTGCGTTAACCTTCGTGGTCACCCTTCTCGACGGTTTATGCTTGACCTCCTTCAAAAGCTTCTCACCTAATGTTCGCTCAATCGAATCTGCCGTTACAGCCCTGAGCGCAGCGAACTGTGTCGTACTCGCCATTACAATCTTATTTTGGCTGACAGATATCGACAATGAGAATTTAAGACAATTAAGCGCGTACCGAAGGCGCGTATATTACCTCCTGATTGCCTACTCAGCTATAACCACAGGGGTGACCGCCGGAGGTATAGCATGGGGCACGGCACAGGTCATGATAGAGCAACAGCAAATGTCACTACGTCCAAGACAGCGACTGTTGCTGGTAACTCGTAGTGTCATATGGGCAATTTCTGTCCTTACCCAGGGCGTCCTTGGTGGGCTTCTCCTAATGACACTAGCAAAACAGACCAGCCGCAGCAGATGGTTGACCTCGCTATCTCACGATCTTGATGCCATCCACGAAGAGTTAGCTGTAGACAACAGACTGGAGTCAACAAAGCAGCCGCAACTTGTAGTTGACTCACCGAAAAAATCCACAGATCGAAAGCGGAGCTGTGATGGTTCGATTGGGATCCAGCAATCTACGTCAAGTGCTGCGTCTTTGATCTCGAAGCGCTACTCAGGCCGAACGTTATACCAGCAAGATTCCAAGCACAGTTCTATTGACTTCAATCCGCCAATAACCTATCCTGAATGCGTTGTAATGCGCAATACATTCAATGGCGGTCTCTATGGACATAGCAGTTACACTGCGGGGGCCGATGGCGACGCTGGGTCACGCAAGACACAGGGGAATAAACCAGAGTTTAGGTGCTCTTTGGATACTTTGCGACGGCAAAATTCATTGAGGAGGTCATCGGATACTTCAAGATCACTTCAACCAGAGGCTCCCAACAAGGGTGGGCCCCCAAAACTGATACTGTCCGATGAGAGTAATATCCACCCACTTTTTCGTTCTAGCAGTCCAACCCCACCACCTACAGCTATGCCTGGGACCACCGTTATTGCATCTCCGGCGGCTGGACAGACTATCTCTATGAAAGCATTACATAGGATGAAATCGACCAATTCACTCCGGTCCTACACTCCACGAAGTCGGTCACCCCTGTTTGAGCGAACTGGTCATGTCGGCGAAGGAGTACATTCAAATACAGGGCTAGGTGATGGTCGATGTGAGCTCAAAAATGACCAGACATTCGAAATACCAAAATTTGTTATGGCTGCGGACTTGCGAAGGAGCATAACACAGTATGAGAAGAGGTACGATTTGATGGAATCCCCCCATGAAAGCTAGGAAATGGTGGTTTCAACTTGAATATGTCATTGAGTCATGTCTTTCCTTTGTCACAATTCTCCTTGTTTTGTTAATAGATATCCCGAGCGTAACACGCCATTTGTAATTAGCATCTAATACCAATGAAGAATCTATAGAAACAACTAAGTGATAATACAAGTCCCCTCTTATTCGCTACGGCTCGATCTTGAACTTATTATGCTATGGCTGTTATGGCATGAACTAGTACCGTACATGGACATATTCTTTCTGGTTGATATGGTTACACGGAGTAATTGATTCGAATCCCGCTAGTAAGTATCATAGCAGACCCTTCCCAGAACTCAACATTTAGTTGATGCTCAGATGTTTGTCTCAATGCGTCTCAAGGCAAGGGTCATTATGCACTGTACAACAGCCTGTAACACACCCGTTTCAGCATATCACATAATGCGACTAAAATGTTCCAGCCGTACCGTTTGAGATAATCCCCTCAAATCCCATGATGCGGAATCTCTAACATGAGATGCATTATTGATGATGCTATCCATGTGGGTCCTCTTGCTACACAGTCACCAATACATTGTGATGGAACTGACGGTGAAGGTGGAGCCGCATAGTTGTATGCATGTTAGGCTCTCGTGATATTATTGACTTTACTCATTTCGCAAAATAGCACATTCAGAAAAATCTTTTGACGGTGAGAGGGCATGGAAGAATTTTACCCTGACTTCTTGGGGTGGCAGTCTCGTACGCAGCTACAACGGTTTTGGTGGTGGTAGAGAGCAATGACAGCCCCCACCTCTTTTCTTTTCTCGTGCCGATTACTTTGCTCTTGCATATTCCTTTGAACATTGAGACTTTTTCACCATTTGGAGGCTCAAGCACCATGGTGCTCAAAGAATTTCAGATCATATATCATTAGCGTATGATGTAGTTGTAAGGACAAAGGTAGACTAACATATACATATTTTTTTTAATATATATGTATATAAATTCCTTGATACATCTTTCACTTCACGATCCAAGCTCATCTTTCATTTCTTGGCTCAATGCTTTCGCCAATGTTTCTTATTTGCAGTTGAGATAAGTATATGCACCAGTATAGCCAAGATTAACGAACGTTTCTCAAAGTAGTTACTATCTTTGAACCAGCCAAGGTAGGTATTGTTATTGTAGCTCCATAGAGCGGATTTTAAGAGTCTGCTATTGCTTTCAACAAGGGCTTTCAATGGTTTTTAGGATAATCGATGAGATTGGATACGTAAGTACCGTACCTTTGGCATAGACGGTATTGCACGCGAAACACTAGATTTTTTTTTTTTTTTTTTTTTACATCAGCAGACAACGGAACTAGCGTGCACGCAAACATTACCATACCACGAGTATTACCAGATAGACTAAACCCGAGTAGGAGGCTTTTTCTGGTAACTAACTTCCAGTAGGGAAAGAACTAAAAAACTACAACTTATTATCACCCTTGCATACCTCAACCCCAGATCGTTTGAGGTCTCCTCTATCTCCTGAATCATCATCTGCGTCGGGATTCTATTTTCACATACGTATTTTCCATCTCTTCCGAGTGGATTGAAGGGTTGAATACAAGAAAGGTTTGTTTTCTTAACAAGTTACTCACCTACTTAACCTACTTCCTGCGCCACCCTGCCCTTTGGACTTGAGACCCAGTCAAATCCTGCGGCCAACCCGGTAATACGGCGACCAAACCAAACCTCTTACTCAGGTTGGCAGGGCACTAATGTGTACCTCTTTAGAATTCCTTTTCACCTTCCATACGTACTACTATTCAGCCCCAGAGTTGCTTGATTTCGCTTCATTTTCCCTCTGCATTATCAACACAAAGAGGACTCTACGTGTTTCTTTCCCCTAGAATCTGATATCCTCTTTTCTCTTCTTTATCTCTCTATCTTCCATTTCTGTTCACTCCCTCCCCCGGTCGAGCCGTTTCGAGTTCCCGCCTATGAAGAACAACACGCCTGGTGTACAACAGCATTCGTGATCTGATTTTCTTCTCCAGTATATCCTCGTCTCCCTTTCTCTTCTCCGACCCTGATTACATTCGTCGGTTTTTCTTTTCTTCTCTGTAAATTCTACCCCTTCAATTCCTGGTACTGCCGGACCTCTCTAGGTTCCTCGTACAACCCGTTCTCCTACTTGACTTACTACTTCCGGCGACTAAATTCTACTTTACCTTTTCTCACGGTGATCCACTTGGGCCGAACCACCTTTTACTTCATCCACTTACTACTTGCTTCACTACTTGCAACAACTCTCTCCGTCCTGTCGCATGCGCCGTCGCATTTAGTCTTTTGGTAAGTTAGTTTCCACCGGCATTCTTCATAGGCCTTTCTATTCTTGCGCCCATCTCATGTTATTCCCCCAATCTTTTCGCCTGCGATTCTTCTCCTTCAATCAAAATATGCTCTTGCCATCTTTAACATACCCACTCGGTGCTTCGGGCCATTTGCCCATCGTGCCCGGTCAAGCTTTCACGCTCTCATTGGGCTCCTATCTCTCTGCCTATACCTTTGTATGATGCCCTTACTCTCGTGATGATCTCGAATTGCTATCTGTCCTTGATCCTGAGTGGGCCCCTCCTCCGTCATATGTTCTTATCCTTTAGTAAACGGGCGTTACTTTTCAGCAGGCTACATTCCCCTCTTCTTGTTTCTGAATGAGCCATCTTATCAGGATGTTGGCCTGATTGATGTTGATCTCTCTCCGTCCTCCCCTTCTCTTTTTGTCTTGTTCCCTTTCTCTGGCTTTTTGTTGGAAACTTCCAAGGAGCTATTTCTTGTCAAAGCTCCACCTCCTCAGCTGACAGTTACATCTTCTCGGCAATCCTTCTTGTGAGAACACCCTTGCTGATACCCGAAAACATAGAATTGCGATGGCGGGCATCAAACGTAAACTTGACTCCACCAAAGGGTCAGCTGCAGGGCCCACCGGCAGCGCAACAGGCGCAGGAGCTCCCCCAAAGACGCCCAGTAAGTATCACAGAGCACTGCTATCATCTTTCGTAGGAACTAATTGCTACATAGACTCTACAGTTGGTGATACTGCTCATATCCGTGTGACACGTAGTCTACGTGCAAGTCAAGATGCGCGGGCAAACCAAACTGATAACAACAAGAACAGCACAAACAGCGCAATGCATAACAAGAGTGGTAATCATCGCCCTTTGTCACGTATAATCACGCTCAGTACCCGTGCTGCTCGAGCCAACAGCGCTGCAAGAAATGCATTGAACAACGCAGCAAACAATGGTACGAATGGTCCATCGAATGCTGCTCGTGAGACCCGGGCTTCTCGAACCCGGGCTGCAGCCCCTGCTGCAGTTGCGGCATCCGCACCCGCACCAAGTCAGTTTGACGGAACAACCTTAAGTGTGCCTGAAACCCCGCGGTCTAAGAGAGTCAAACGAGGTCCGGTAGTCGAGGAAACTCCAAGAAGTACGAGACAGTCTGCTAGACTCCGGTCCCACGTCAACACATCTTTTAACGAGAACGCCTCTACTGAGGCAGCTATTACCAAACAGTTTGAAGCAAGCCCCACCAAGGGGGTTACTCCTAGTAGTAGAACTAGGAATAGAAGCCGACAAGCTGTGGATGCTGCACCCGACACTATTCAGAATAGTGTGAACTCCAACTTAACCACCGATCTAAGGCCACCGTCACCGGAAGACATAATTCCAGAAACTACCGAAGGATTTAAACAAACAGAAGGCGATCAAGATCCTCATGTATCCATGGAATTGCTCCAAGCTGCAGAGGAATTATCGACGGACTCCACACACCAGGAGGACAGTCATGGAACGAATGAGGAGGAGGTCGAGGGTATGCCTAGTCCTGCAAAGACTACCTGTTCATCTGGTTCTCGAAAGCACAGGTCTTCGGAGCCAGAAAACAAAGGAACTACGGATTTTACTAATGTTCTTGATCTTCCTCACCAAAAACTGAAACTGGAGGATGGGGAGCTCGATCGTACGGCAGAACAGCCTTTACAGGGCTGTGTCACTATCAAAAATGCGTCGCGCTCCCCCGACGACGAGGTGGAGGAATCTAAAGCTGGCAATGAATCCCGTCAAATCACGGAAGATATTGAAGAATCAACTCCAGAGCATGCCACAGAACCCACAATTGGGAAGGCAGTTCGTGGCGGGCGTAGTCGAGGACGAGGCCGCGGTGGGCGTAGCAGAGCTGCTGCACGCTCCGGCTCAAGCAAACGGGGTCGTGGCGGTGCTCGTGCTGCTCGTGGTGGGCGCACTGGGCGTCATTATGATCGATCAAGTGATGTCGAGCACGACCGTTCACCTTCCCCTAGTGCAGCCACTCAAAAGCTCCGGGATCGACAACGGGAACTGGACAAAGCATTTAGGAAGGTTGCAGCTGCCCAACGATTGGCTTTGGCTGTCTTAGCTTCACAGTCCCAAAAAAAGATTTCCCGCGATAAGAACGCCCACAAAAATGTACCCGAGTATGAAGAAATTAACTCACTTCTGCAGGCGAGGCTCGAAGAGAGGTTGGAGGTTTTCCGTCATGAATATGAGCTCCGGGTTGAACAAGAAAATAGGCTTTTCACTGCTAATAGAGAAGCGATCGAAGAAAGATTTCGAGTAAGTTCGATATTCCATTCGATAATTTGCCTTTTTGGAGCTGCTGTTGATGACACAACCATTACAGGCCTCAGCTCGGTACATCAAAGAAGAACATTTCTTTGCAAGCCAGGGGGAATATATGGCATTCGTGGAAGGTCGACGTGCTGCAGAGGATGATGAGCACACTGAAGTATGCCAGCTTTTGTATCTAGGATCGTTATGCAAACGCAATAGGCTAACATGGTCTTAGACTGATGGCTCTGAAACCGAGCCTGAGCGTGTTATTCCACCAGCAAAAGAAGTCGTGAGGGGGTTCAATTCTTCCTTCGTACGGAATCCTGCTGGAGCCGCTTCCTACGATCGTGCTAGGTATGGCTGGGATGATTTCGTCCAGCGTGCTAAGTTAGGCGATGATATCGACCCGCAGATGAAGGAGATGAGGGAAGCCGGACCGTTTGCTGGCTTTTCTGCTCGAGAAATCATAGGCCTCTTACTGGAGGCGACTGGCATCGTTGAGGTGCGCCAGAAAGCTAGTGTGGAAAATCAGCTCAACCCTGTATTCCTTGATACGCGCCCGACAGCCTTGTTCGCATTGGCTGATGTGGCAGCCGCTGAGCTCCCTCGTCCTACCTTATCCCAAACCACACCGCGGCTTTCGGCGCACAGAGCTCTTCTCCCGCAGCCTTCACAGGTGGCTCACGGGCCGACAGATCCTCGATCTTTTGTGCTGCCTCCCCCCACCCCCCAACGGCAACAGCCCCGTCGGCTCCTCCCTGCCGGGCAGCAAATTCCACCCATCAGTGAGCAGCTCGGTCTCCCAGATCCATTCGCGAGCAGGGGTGGTCCTCCACAGCTTCCCCCTCCTCCGGGGTCTAACTTCCAACGGCCTCCACTGCCTAATTACTTGGCAGGTCATCATCCACAGAGTTTGTATTATCCACCGCCGCCGCCGCCTACTGCTCCGCCACCTCCCGGCCCTCGCCCTCCATATTAGAAAGCCACGCATGGACGATACGACCTTCTGTTCATTTTCTCTTAATACTATTTTGTTATCTTTTGCCTAATTCCGCAGGCATGCTATATTCTTTGAATTTGTTAGGGTTTGATATACGGAGCTACGGTCTACGCCAAAACAGTAATGTTGGTTCACGTCGGGAGTTATGTGCTGGTTGGGTGGTACTTTTCCTCTCTCTCTTTCTTTATGCCTCTTCTTCTTTTGTTGATTTATCCCCCTGGCAGTTGAGAAGACTTTGGAGCGTGGGATTAGTGTAATATCCCAAGATAGTATTTATAGTGGATGATGGTATCATGTATACCCTATCTGCATCTTCTCTGAATCAATATAGATGCAAAAAGAATCGAACGTAATTTGCACCCAAGGATATAAATCGTTAATTTAATGTGGTTGTTTGATTTTACTTAGTTAATAAATAAATGAATGAATAAAATAAAATAAAACAAAATAAGAAGGAAGAAAAAACCAACGGAGTGGATTGAAGGGTGAAAATCTGGCCTGAGGTAAATGGCAGACCCACCCAGCATCAGGATGAATAATGATGACTCCTTCCATGACTCTTCGTCGTGACTCCGCCCCGATTGGGTCTAGTCCCGTGGGTGGGGTGCTGGGATTTGAGGCTGCTTTTCCTTTGCATTGATCTTTTTTTTTGCGTTGCTTCATAGATTCTCTCGGACACATTAATTCTTATATCAGTTGACTTTCAACCGTCAATTGATCCTACCAGAACTCTGTCACGGGCGCTGTGTTCATCTTCGCGCATTCCTTGTTCTCTGTCACGACCATCTAACGACAGTTTCTGCCTCTTTATCACCCACCCCACCTCGCAGCTTCTCCCATTTTCCTTTTCGCTTCATTCTTCGAGATTATATCCTGCCTCTTCCTCCCTACGATTTATCCTTGAAATTTCAAACTGAAGCTTTCGTTTGGACACTACCGAAAACTTTGAATTATGGCGGTTCGCGCACAGTTTGAGAACTCCAACGAGTGAGTGGAATATAGTTGCCAAGTTTTCCCTCTGAATGCAAAGTGGATAAAGGAAAGAGAGAATGAAAAGGGGGAGGAAGGAAAAGGAATGAGAAAGAAAGAAACAAAAATGACTAGGAATAGGCGTTAACTATGATATTCATTATGTAGGGTTGGCGTGTTCGCTCGTCTCACCAATTCATATGCCGTTGTCGCTATCGGAGCCTCGGAGAACTTCTACAGGTGTGTGCGGTTGTATGCAGGCCCCATAGAATAGTGAACTGACTTCCACAGTGTATTCGAGGCTGAACTCCAAGATGTCATCCCCATCTGTCGCGCTACTATTGCTGGTACTAGGATTGTTGGGCGTCTAACAGCGGGGTATGTCTTAAAAGTTCACTACATACTTGCTCTGGCCCTCATACCATAGCACAATGGAACTTACACATTGAACAGTAACCATAAGGGCCTTCTGGTCCCCACCACCACCACAGATCAGGAACTGCAGCATCTCCGGAATACGCTCCCAGACTCGGTCAAGATTCAACGGATAGAAGAGCGTCTATCAGCTCTGGGAAATGTCATCTGCTGCAATGATCATGTCGCCTTGATACATCCGGATCTGGAGCGAGAAACAGAAGAAATGTACCAACCCCACCACCATTGCTTCTTGACTGCTACATGGCATGGAATGAAAGTGTTGACAATTTTTGGCTAGTATCGCCGACGTCCTTGGCGTCGAAGTCTTCCGACAAACTATTGCTGATAACGTCCTGACGGGCTCATACATGGCTTTATCCAACAATGGCGGTATCGTGCACCCCAAGACCTCCATCCGTGATCAGGACGAGCTCTCCTCTCTCCTCCAGGTGCCTCTTGTCGCTGGTAGTGTGAATCGTGGTAGTGCTGTTGTTGGCGCTGGTATGGTTGTCAACGACTGGTTGGCCGTAACGGGCCTGGATACGACGGCAACAGAGTTGAGTGTCATTGAGAGTGTGTTCCGCTTAGGGGAGATGGGCCCTCGCGGTGCTGGCATGGGCAATGCTAACAAGGAGAGCATTGTGGAGAGCTTCTACTAGGCTCGCCTCCTGGGTGGTGTTATTATTTGGGATTTATTCATTCAGAATTGTCATATATAAATGTGTATGCCTTGCGCGCATACATGTTTACAATGCGAGATGCTTCCTCCAGCCTGTCTCTAACTTTTGAATACATATTGAATAGGACACAGCCAATAACGACCCGTTAACGACCTAAAATAGTACCGGTACCTCAGCCATAGTAAAATAGAAAGTGCCCGGTGCCCAGAGAAGTGGCATCTTATATACGGAATCTGAAACCTGGTTATATGATTGGTAGAGATGTTCGTCGACCAAAACCCAACCCAACATACTATTCCGACAGAATAGGACACAGGCGAATCTGAAGTCGACTAATTATACAGGTTTAGAAATTGATTTGCTTCCTGTGTTCCAGTATGCTCCTTCTTGCTGGCATCTTGTTATAAAGTAATGCGACAACACTAGTGGGTATGAGGGGTATTGAAAAGGTACTTAAGACAATGTAAAGGCAGAGGCGAAGAAGTCTGTTAGAGTATAGAAGGAGTAAAGTGGAAAAAAAAAAGAAAAGAAAAGAAGACAATAGAAAGAGAAGGCAAGGAAGAAAAATAGAGGGTGAGTAAGTAGGGAGAGAAACAGTGCGAAGCATGTTTAAAAGAAGTACGGACAAAGATTAGAACCTGCCAGACCCGGGCCTAAGAATCAAAATCCGTAAACACCAGTCCAAAATGCTGATAAAAATATTATGTTGCTTTTTTTTATGGGGGTAGCTCGGTATTTGCGTCATCATACCTCCCCTTCAATCTCAGGTTGAGATGATTCGAGCTTGCTCATACCCGTAATATACTCAGCTTTAGACGGTGATTGATCTATGGCGTGATCCGTTTCAGGGTATTCGCTAGGGATCTCATCGTCAGGCGGAGGGGGAGGGGGAGGTGGTGGAGTGAACTCGTTATTTTCACTCCTACTATCGATCTCATCGCTTGGGATTTTCTTTGCATTATCCATGTTTTGCGGGTCATCTCCAGGACTTATTGGAGGCGGTGGCGGTGGCGTTGAGGATCTTTGTCTCTTCAAGGTTGAAATGTACTCGTCCAAGTTGGGATCCTCTGCAATATCTTCCTCTCTCTTCCGTTTCACACCCCCCTGGGGTTCTTCTGCAGTCATGGGCGTGTCCTTCTCATCAGACTTGTCTTCCTCATCATCGGACATCTTCATATCTAGCGCCTCATCGTCACTTGCAGCCTGAGGCGTATCCACCTTCGCGTCCATTCCCTTCGCTTGCTTTTCGACCTTCCGTTGTTCGTAAGCTCGGTGCTTTAGGACGGCTTTGTCAAAAAATTCCTTGCAATACTTCTTGACTTTCTTCTGCTGCTTTTCGCTGATCTTCGTAGGGTCCTCAACTCGGTTATTCTTGAAGTCAGAGTTGACCAGTTTTTTCGCCACCTATGCGCAGGTGGTATTAATATGTATGCATCGTATACTCCAGACAACGGGACTTACATCCTTGGCGTAACGTTTCAAGTCCTCCTTTGGAAGCTTATGCTTAAATTTGTCCACTACATACTTTATGTGTGGGAACAACTGATGTAGGATTAGCCCTCTCGTTCATGTGTTAGACATATATTGGTACCCACCGTATTCTCATAAACTTTCTTTTGTTTATCCTCACTGTAACCTCTCCATTTCTCCTGTCCCTCCTTCTTGACGGGAATTGGTTTAGATACTTGCGGAGTGCCAGGCGTACCGCTTTTCTCCTTAGGCGTACTCTCCTTAGCATTCATGATGCCATCGATAATGTCTTGCAGTGCTTTGTCTCTCGACTCTTTCGGAGGTGGAGGAGGCTGAGGCGCTGGCTTAGTTGGTCTGGTCCATGTGGTATCACCACGCGCCGAGTAATAGTATGTCCGGCCATTCGATTCAGCGGCGAACCATCCTGTTGGAAGTGGATTGAACTGACGACGAAAGGACCTTGGGCCGTGATGGTGAGGGTTTCTTTGTCCGTACACCCCTCGAGTTTGAGCTGCAGGCCCCCGGGGGGGCTCAATTGACCGCGACCTTGACCGGCTGCGGGACTTTGACCGCCGTCGTTGGTCCCGAATAGTCTCCCGTCGTTCAAATTGATTGAAAGCATGTGCTGTAGCATTCGGGTCTCGTTTCATGCGTGGAATCCGATAACCTACCTCCAGGGTCGACCAGACCTGCAGAAGTGTAGCCGCCTTCTTCTCGACACGCTCGTCACCACAGCTCGTCAGCGGCTGGATAGTAACCTCTATTTTCGAATCAATGATCTTATTCCGCGTGAGGCGCGGAAACTTATCCAGGATATCCAAAATCTGCAGTACAACATTGAAATCGTCCTTCCACATGGTGAGCTGCGAATTGAGGATCTGGTACCCATGCATTTTCACCACACGATTGCGAACACGCTCGTCATCACAGCGTTGGATTCGCCCCAAAAGCTTCACCGCGATCCACTTCTCCTGGCACTGCATCAAAGCCGCCATAACCTTGGTGACGCCGTTTTCCTCCAACGACTTCGGCTGGACACTATCCACATACTCTTCATCATCCTCGCCCATCTTCTTCTTGCGTGGTCGCTTCGCCACCGCCGTATCCCAGCCGTCTGCATCCTCGATCCCCAGGGCTTCAATGGTGGCATTCGACAACTTCGTGGCACGCTCTGTCTGGGTTCTCCCACCAATGAAGCCTGTACAATTCGGTTCTCCGCAATAGCAAGGTTGAGGATCAGCTCCGTAACGGTCAACATTGTAATTAAAAACTAATTCCTCCCCGGCCTGAATGTCTCGTTCAGCAAAAATGCCCATGCGGAGCTTCTCCCCAACTACCCATTTGTCGACATAGCAGTTTGGATTGCACGAATGGTTACAGAACCGACCTAAATTACCTCTCTTTGTCGCATCAACAAATTCACCTTTGCTGAGGGACATAAAATAGAAATGCTTGATCCCCTCTTCATCGTACTGCCTCATGCGTCGCCGGAACTGGCCTTCGTTGATAACTTCGCCTACATACTCGTAGATAAACTGGTGCGGTCGCAAGTCGGCCTCCGCACGCAGACCGAATCCTTTCTTCTCCGTTTTGATCACGGCTACCTGGGCATACTCCTTTCGTTGGAATCTCTGATTTTGGCAATCCGGTCCGCATCCACAATCGCCCACACATTCAATTTTGGTCGCCCGGTTGATACAGTCGGAATCTTCTCCACATGCCAAATTTTTGGAGAGGGCAGGTTCTGGTTCACATTGAAGTAATACATAGTTAAAAATCATGCGGTGCAAATAAGGGAATCATGATGTGGATATAATCCAAGACATGGTGAGATACGGCCTAGGTGAAGTAACCAGGGGCGTACAAAGAAATTGGTATGCTTTGGATATTGCCGCTGAGGCTCGATACTGAAGACGCGCATTTGGACAGAAAGATAGAAGAAGCGAGCGAGTAATTGAGAGTAAGGCAGGGAAAGAGATGAGGAAATGGAAGGTAGAAGAAAAGAGGCGTGACTTACCCCATTCTTCGGCACAATCACATTCCATCGCATGTTCAGTATAACCCATGTACTTGTTTGCATAAGTGCAACTGTCCATCAGCTCAAAGGACGCCTGAGCCTCCGCCGTACTATCTCCAAGATGCGAGAATAGTTGTGGTGGCCGCACAGCAACTTTCTGGGAGGAGCTGCGAGTCAATTTGGGCGGCTGTCCAAGTTCTTGTTTGACAGTGATGTCGCCCCCGACTTTCTCCTCCATATCTGCAGTATAATTTGCCTCCTCTTCTTTTTTGACAGGAGTTTGAGACAAGGAGCGTGATTTGACCGCAACATCCATATTCTGAGCAGAAGGCGAGCGGGACACGCCATTAGGATCATCCTTCGACGAGGTGCTTCCACCGTTAAGAGCGGAAGCATCTGTGACTCTGTCGGGCTCCAGCTTCATCGCGGTTACCGCATCTATTACGGATTCTGACCGACGGTCCGCGTAGTCATGAGGGGACATGACGACACGGACGACGCGCGCCGGCTATCGAAGCTAGTAAGCGGATGCGCTAAAGAAGGCAGAGGGTGTTTGTGTGACGTGGTAGTAGGTGGTCGGCGATAGGAGGTAGCGTGGGTGAGGAGAGGCGAAATGAGGGCGAAGAATGGCGAAGCGATGAGGGGGGAAAAGAGTGAGAGGAATGAAATAATTCGAGTTGAACCAAAAGCCCAAGTCGAAGTCACCGTCAAACAACGTCCACGTTTTTTTCCCGCGGGTGCCAAGAAAATATTCAAGAGGAAAAAGAAAAAAAAAAAAAAAGAATCAAGGAGTGTTATTCTCGGACTGCTTTCATACGGAGTACGCTTCTAACCTGACTGGAGGGGATTCTCCCAAGATCTTTTCCCAATTTCTTATTCACTGTTCATCAAATCATTCATAATCTCTTCCTAACTATTGTTCCTATGGTGTGGACTTCCATCCTTCCCTTGTACACCAAACACCATTCACTTCCAGCTCTCTCAACATACCGAAGAGGCACCCAGTTGAAGAACTGGATAGAGCCAAAGAGCTTCTATTTAAGCGACAGTGATTGCACAAGGTCTCTTGCAATAAGCTTAACTGATTTGCTAGGGCACTTCTAACCCTTTTGCACGCATTTCGCCATGGTGGTGTGGTAGTGATACGTAAGGGCGGCCACTAGTCAGCATGGGAGATGTCGCCAAACACCCTGTAATCTGTCACAGTTCTACCCTGCATATCCCCCTTCAATCGCATGCTTGTTCTTTCTTGATCCCCTTGGCCTCAACCTCGACCCATCTAACCTGGGAGTCATAGTCTTGAGAAATAGCATTGACGAGTACTGGCGCAAGCGAGTACAAACAACCATGTGCCTTGTAGCTTTTCCGAAGGAGAGCTAAAGCCGCAATGTGTGACTACAGCTATGCTTGTGTATTGGATAGATTTCCCATTTCATCCATTGGGCCATACCCCGGGAAGTTCATCTACCACTCTCAATTATGGAGTAGGGAAGCCGTGGACTAATACAAGCAATAGAAGTACTCTCAGAGAGGATTTACTCTCGAGAGAAGTCTAGAGCCGTCAAGAATCAAATACAGAATCCATAGGCTGTGAGTGGTCCAAATGATTCGGACAAGCCTCTTGCCCATGTATGTATGACCCAGCTCGGTCGAGAAGTACGTGAGAGCGCACGACACCGGAGGAAGGATCTGCAAGGACATCGCAATGATATTTAGCATGACACACCATAAGGAGGGGTGGGGTTCGGATTTCCGGTACCTTTTCGGAACAGGGATGAATTCTGATGCGCATAGCGATTGGGCGAGGGTATCTCAGATTGAAGTCAGAGATGCGTTATTGGTCGACATGTAATTAAGCGAACAAGTACATGACGGAGGAAAAGTAGAAATTCATTGTGCCATCAAAAGCATTTATGATAGGTTGTTATAAGGATGAATGCATGCAGGATGGAGGCCAAACCAATCTGGGCGACTTCCCATGCATGAACGGGTGTTGCCTCGAACATGCTAGAGCAATGTCCCACGCAACTTTCATTCAAAGACACGCTAGAAAATAATAGAAAGGGGGAATAAAGACAGATTAGAAGACGGAATTTTTAAAGGCAAAAACAAAAACGCAGAGGGAGAAAAATAATATAAATTAATCAATCATAAAAGAGGCTGTATTATGAAAGAGTAGTAACCCGTGTGATTATACGGAGTAACACGGTAATCATAGCCTTGATGATACGGGTGATTAAATACTCTCATGTTCGTCCCAATAAAAGTGGAAGATGGGCAAAAGGCTGATGCAGACGTTGCTCTGTAGGTACTGGTATGCTGGTACAGAGTACAGGGTATACAGTACAGACATCTGTGCGTCGGCTTAATTGTCGAGCTCGATTATAATTTTGACTCGCAAACAAGGGTAAAAGATGGGATCGGTGTCACCCTTCGTCTGGAAGGAAGGAAATTGAACGACGGTTCTACCAAGAGCCAGGTAACTACTAGTATCCACGAGTATTGTACGCAGTACTTGTTATACATACTCCGTGAGACCTAGGGCAGTTAAACCATTCGTACCGTACCAGATTCAAGTTACTCGGTACTGAGTTACAAGCGCGCCGGGTACCTGAGATGTGGGGCCAAAGGGACATTCTGCTTTGCCAGAAAGTCACCGAGGCTTTCTGAGCCAACACCATACATCCGCCATACTAAACCTAGTTATGGGGTATGAAACGTTACCACGTCCGTTGATTAAGGTCATGCTTCATGACAGGTGGTTCTGGAATTTGATACGATCAATACACCGGAGCCACATCCATTCTGCCAAAGTCTATTATTATTAGTTACAGAGCATGATGATGATTATTGAAGCTTACGCGAATCTGTTTCCGTCACAAAATGATGTCTTCCTTTCCTCTGCTTTCATCTTCTTTTTTCTTTCTCCTTCTTTCTTCCCTTTCTTTTTCTTTAGTTCTATCTTCGGCAAGATCAGACTTTCCAATTGTTCAATGACCCCCCCCCCCAAACGTTAATCTTCTGCATCTGCACCCGCACCTGCACCATCCGTTTGGAGAGACAGATGGAACGTTAAAAGGACTGGGCCAGAGGACAAGATGTCGAATGCAAGGCTACTATCTGACGGTTGATTCAAGTCAGCGGGGGGCGCTTCACCTGCATGCCGATGGTTCTTCGTGCATGGACCATTGTTATTTTCATCTACTCCGTACTAAGATGACGATGTCGTACTAGCGGAGCTTCACAAGCGCGCTGGTAGCATTAGTTTGCAAATTTTGTGGATGTCCTCTGACTTGGGGGCAATCTTGGCCCATGCTGTCGGCCCCTCCTCCCGTCATCCCCAAAGGAAGGCGAGGCGGAAGAAGAAGAAAGAAAGAAAGACAACAACAATGCAAAACTACAGAGTACCTAATAGTAATCATGATTCTATGTGTTCTACATTGACCAATTCTGGTTCAGGTTGGCCTTCCAAGATCATAATCATATGGGCTTTGCTTGTTTACCCTAATATTTTCAAACTCTGGCAAGACAGACACAACCTACCAGGATGTTGATCAGAAGGTTCAAATTCATGGGTGGCTCATAGATGGCCTACTGGACGGACTGAGCCGTCCTTGCAGTTCTCGTTCCATTACCTTCTCGCCAAATGATGGAATTCGTTCATTGACCCAGCCTCCAGGATTATTGCAGTCTGCGCCTAATAGCGGAGCCTTTGACCCCACTCTGCGGTTATCAACTAATCTGTAGTATGTACTAGTAACCATCTCCGCTACTATCAACCGTCTGCCAGTCATCGGGAGGTGCATTCCCGCTATCTTCGATAGGGCCAATGCACGTCTTCCTCTTTCTTTTCCTTCTTTTTTGTTTTGGCCCTTCTGTACCTCTGTAGCCATACGGACCGCTGTACGAAGTACACCAGGATGACCTGCTGGCAGGATGGATCGACCGCATTATCTGCATCCTGGACCTATACCCGAACCTGCCTCTCTTTACAGCTTCAGCTTTGACTTCTAAGCAACCTGTCGGCTTTAGTCAGTTGACCCAACGTTCTGGGCGCCATTATCCACCTATCGTTAGCCGGTTAGCGCTCAAGACATACGCCTTGGTACTGTACTTCCCGCGCGGAAGGGTCCCTTTTTTTTTCTTTTTTTTTTTTTTTCCTTCTTCTGAGCTTTTCTTGTTGGACTCCAGAAGAACGCTCCCAGTGCAGGTGGCCGCCATCTATACTCATAGCATAGCTAAACCCACTGTCTTCGGGTATTGATTCATTTATTATTCTTTCCTTAATCTCCAACCCGTTTTTTAGACTTTTGTAGTTGAAGGAGGACAACCGTAGCTTCAAACTACTGTTGTTGCATTGATTTATTCCCTCTCCGTCTGAGTATCCATCGACTTGCAGCTTTGTGCATGCTTAGTCTCTCTCCATTTCAGTCATCATTGATCCTCGCTCGGATAATCCAGGACCTAAGGTGCCCCTCCTCTGAAGGTACCAGGTGGGTGTCTTCAACTTTTGGATCCTTCCTTCTCCCCTAGCGGAAGATACCAACGTTTGGAATTATCTGAAACCGTCATTTTTGAAACACACTCTCTGCTTGGTCCTTTTCAGCCTATCCCACCTCGAGTTTGGTTGGGCTTGCTGCCACTAGTTTACCTATCCCTTGTGGTTCCTGTCTCTCTCAGTTTCTAAAAAAGAAACCAAGAGGACACGAAGGAGGAGAGTCCCTGCAGTTCCCTTAGGCTGGGCGGACGCATACTTGCGGCATCGATACTGTTCTTGTACAATCCCGAACTAAAAGTCCGTTTGGCTCAGAAACGTTGTTGAGGGAAGATAGAGTGTCACTTGGTTACTGCATTGATTCCCTCTGGTATCTTTTTCTTCCCTCCTTTACCCTCAATCTTCCATATCATTTCACTGCGTGTTTGGTGGCAGTATGCATCGTTGAAACAGGCCCGTCTCTCTCTCTCCCTTTCTGCTCTTTTCGTTTTCTTTCTTTCCTTCTTCTTTATGTTTTATTTTATTTATTTATTGTATCCCCTTGATTTTATTTTTATTTTTATTTTTCCCTCCCCCTTTGGATTGGGGAGAAGCCCTCTCTACTAGTATCACCGGTCACCACTACTTCCGCGCATCTCAACCAGAGCCTTAACCACTTTTATTCCATGGTGGTTTTCTTCTTTTTTTGACTTTGTTGCCTTCTTTCACATTGACTTTCCTTGCCCTTTCCCGCAGAGAGGTGACTTAGAGCATAGAAGTTACATGTCGATAATCCTACTGCTTCTACAGTCTTAGTTCTGCTCTATAGCCTTTTTCCCTTCATTTACATGCAATACAAAACCCTGGGTCCAGATTTCTCATGAATCTCGTTCCTCCTGTGAATTTCAGACCCTTATTCAATGTCTACTGTCCAATTCATTTGCGCGAGCATCTACGTTTCTTCATCTCCCTCACTCACCATTATACGAACCTGTACTGACTTCCATTTCTGTCACTCGTTGCGTCGCCAACGTGGTTTTTGACTGCTTCCTGAGCAACCACGTGTTTATACATTTGATAGACGCATCATTCCGTTTGGGAGGCTCTTTGTTCATTTACTTATCATCCTACCTTAGTTTGGTGTTTGTTTTGCTTTCTATGTGCTGCAGCGTAGTCGCGTGACGCGTTTTACCCTGTCTATACATTCGCTATAGCTTGACTGCTCTGGGCTCCTTTGTCTTTCTTTCTTTTCTTTCCCCCCTCTGGATTGTTTGTCGGATTATCTGTTGGGGGAAGCCGGCCCTATTTGCTTCCATGGTCACCTGGATATGTCGAATCTATCAGAACAGCCATGGACTGAGGAGGAGAAGGTAAGAAAAGATATGTTATTCTTTATCCTCTACTGTTTCTTATTTGAATCTTAATGTCGACAGTTCACAAATTTCCCTTGACTTCACAGTTTTCCCTTGTCACACTGATGGACTCCGAAAGCCTCGTGCATTATTATCTATATGAACGGTTTGCTGATGGTAGATATTCTGAGATCTAGTATACTCTGCTTACCGAAATACTAAAGAAGGCCGGGGTCCCTTCTAGTCACCTAGTTAAGATGATCCGAGATTTTAATATCACCCCAAGCTGGGCGGACATACCCCTTCCTCCAGGTACAAACTGCTGGCATCTTGCTCTTCCTTTGATACTCTGAAGCTCGACTTTATGAGACTCACGCCCTACCTATGCCGTTTTCCGGGCCATTTGCACAGAAGGATACTACGAAGTTCGAACTCAGCTTTGCTGATCTTGTTCTTTTAGGCCGTTCTCTCAACTCCTGTCAGGTGACATTTTACAGTATGTGTCCACAACATGTTCGGTTACCTCTCAACCCAAGCTTTGCACCCTTCCCTCCTCCGCGCCATGAACCCTCGGCTCCTCCAGCTCCTGTGCTTGACAACAGCCAAACCCGAAAGCGCCTTCTTTTCCCCTCGGATAAACCAATTCTAGCTCCGCGTGCAATACAACCCCGGCCAACCACCAGTACAGCTTCGTTCAGCAGTGAGAGTGGCGCGTCAGCCCTATTATCACCAGGTTCGGAGAGCATGCCACCCCGAGGTGAACCACCACGCAAGCGCGGTCGACCCAGCAAAGCCGAATCAGAGAGACGAAAAGCAGCCGCTGAAGCTCGCGGAGAAACATATCCACCTCCGAGGCGAACTGGCTCCAACAAAATGAAAGCCCCTTCTACACCAACCAGTCCCTCGACCATCGAACCTCTGGCTGCCTCGTTTATTCCTCATGCCAGTGGTAGTCCGCACCCAAGTATACTACGATCTGATCTGCATTATATACCTCCTCCCGGAAGAACCCCGAGACTTTCAGGGCCAAATGAGAATGAGGGGATTAGGAATGCACCCCGTCGTGGCATAGGACCTCCGATGAGAGATTTGCCCCGACCAACAGAAATGAGCCAGGTACCACCTTCCTCACAAACACTAGAATCAGGGCAGAGGGAAACGATCCCACGCATGGATCCTGGTGAGCGATCCTTTGAAGCACCCCCACCAGATCGGATATCTTTCGGTGATAGCAGTCGGATATCTCTCCTTCATAGATGCCCAGATGAACCACCTATCTCAGTTCCGGAGGTGCCTCTGCACACTTCGGTCGAGAAACGAGCCGAATAACTTTCAATCGTTTTGTTACCCAATCATATAAGTTTGCTAGTCTGAAAAGCCATTGAGACACGATGAATGAATTACACAGTCGGTTAGGACATAGATAGCATTGATTTGAACGCAGATCTCATATTACGACCCGGGACGAATTAGGGAAAAATAAAGGCTACGAGCAGCATACACAACAGCACTTGGTTTCTTCTTTATTTCATTCCTTTTGCTTCTAATTCTGTGGGCGGGTTAATGAACTCAGCAATGCATCCCTTGGATATCTTCTCATTTTTATCATTATATCTAAGCTGGCAAGCCTGATATATCATCACAGATCTAGCCAGTGAACCAACTTTGTCCTGTATGCGTCTCTGGTTCATAGAACTAGCATAGGGCAAGTCAGCACCTGGTCAGTCACAAACGAAGTCTCAGAATATGTTAATATAATTTTATTCTGTTCAATTCAAGTACTGATGCTGATTCTGATGCTCCGCAACGGGCTGAGTTGACATAAATGTCATGCTCTTCTAGTGAATTTCGTCCTTTTACTTCATTCTTTAGCCTGTCTCTTCTCTTTCCAGAACAGTAACCTCTTTAGCTTTTCCCTCTCTATCTTTGTTTTACTTCTTAGCCTTTGCTCTGAGGGCACGAAAGGTTTTGATTCAATTGAATTCTGAATATCTTCAAGACGGCACTGTCAAATCTAGTCTTCATGTCCTCTTTCTTCCCTGTTCTTCGGCTCCCCAGTCCACTGGCGACTGATTTCAAATGCTAATACCATGTTGTATACATTTATAGTTCAAGATGGCATATGCTTAGTATGTACAGTCCACAAGGCAGGGCATCACCCTCCACATATACGAAAATACAGGTAATAAGCGTACGGATGGTATGTAAGTTGTGCAACATCATGATATGCACAAGCTCTGTTGCTCTTTCATAGTATATATATAAGCTATGTTATATAGCATAGCCATACATTCTTGGACAGCAGAAGATACTTGTCATTACATAGCTGCCAGTACGCACATAACAGAAGGGAGTAAACTTCACAAACGAAGTTCAGGTGGAGATTCTTCCTCCCAGTCCCTAATTACCCTCAAGGAAAAGCCTTGAGAACAGTTCAATTTCGGCGATACTTCCAAGGACTAGTGAAACATCTGTCCACGGCGGTAGCGTGCTCCAGAATTGAAGCCTCGAAGTCTGTTGGGAGTGTCGATACGCGAAAACGCTATGGATGCAGTTAGTGGGGCAGACAGTTGAATGAACAGAAGCTATTCTTGATATTGAGCTCTATCCGCCACGTCTTGGCTGTTCTGTTGCCTTTGCAGCTCTAGCTGAGCCCTTATTGCACCCACGGCGGAACTCAGACTTGGACCCGATGGTTTGGCGAGTCTTTTGCCAATGTCGGGGACTGTGCCAGGGATTTTTTCTTCTACTAATTTCATTACTTCATCTTTCCCTTCCACGCGTCGGGTGAGGTACACCTTCGGCGTAGTACCCTGACGAGGAAGATTGCGAATTCCGATACGCTCAATCTCCTGCCGATATGCGGTTTCATAGATATCAAACTCTGCTGCACCCGGTGACTCGCTCACAACAGGGCACGGGTCGATTTCAGAAGGTTCTGTAGATAGCATACTATCCGGTTCGTCAAAAATGTAGTCCATCTCGGAGTCGCCAGTATCCGTAGGCGGCGAGCCAGTATAAGTAGAAGGACCAATGAACAAGAACGGAAACTCTTCCTCCAAAGGATCTCGAGCATGTCCTCGTGTTCCCTCGATGCTGCGCTTGGTAAGGACCGAACTTGTCCGCGACAGTGGAACTTGAGGGGATGAAGATCCAGGTGTGGTTAGGGTCTGCGAGTCATCGAAAGATGCTCCTGGTATTGTGCTGCTAGGTATGTGGCCTGAGTCGTTTCCCTCGGGCCTGATGCTTGCAGACTGCTTACTGCTATCGTACAACACAGGATCTTGTTTTCCAGTAATACTGGTGTCTGTGCTGTCTAGGAGCTGTTGTAAGCGTGGCTCTTCACAATGCAGATGATACCCTTTGAGAACGTCATCACGTTGCCATGCATTTCTATTGTATGTGTTTAGGCTCTGGCTCTTGTTGGAATTTGAAACAGTCCCAGCTGCGAAGCTTTCTTCGGGTTCCATTTCAAGGGGTGGTTGGACAAAGTGCGTCTCATACTCTTGTCCAAGAATACTCTGCATAGGTGGGTCTGCCTTGGCAGGGTCAATTAGTCTCTTGAAATTCTTCACGGCTTTCATCTGTAACTCGTTAGCTTGCCTCGATACGTAATAAAGTCTGCACAGCGCTTACCACAGCTATGACATGGCCAATAGTCTTTGTGATAGCTGAATTCATTTCCTCTTCAGTAGGAAGGCCAATTATTTCAGCAGTATTTTCGCTCTCCGGCAATAGTGGGTCCGTTCCATTCCTTGTAACCCAGGGGTGTTCCTGAGTTTCTTTCTATGAGCAATGCTTTGTTGTGGGAGTAGAAAATGTCCGTCTCACTTACTCGCAATTCACTCATTTGGATCCTTTTGGTCGGATCTTTCTCTAAAACCCGTGACATCAGGTCCTTGAAGTTTTCATCGGTTTCTCCCTCACATGCCACTGGGTCAGTCTTAATGGCCTCGTACAACTCGAAGATGCTCTGCTTCTCGAAGGGCAATCTGCCGTACCGCAAACAGTACAACGTAACACCCATAGACCATATATCGGCCGCTTTCCCCGAGACATCCCCGTGTTTGACAACACATAGCTCTGGTGGGAGGAAAGCAGGTGAGCCAGCCGATTTGGCCGTGAACATATCGGAGTCTTTCTCGAACATCTCGGATACCCCGAAGTCCACTACCTTGAGAACGTCATCGCTCGTTATTAGGCAATTATCTGGTTTTATATCGCGATGTACAATGCCTTGAGCGTGCAGATATTCTATTCCCAGGACCAGGTCGCGGAACCAACAGCGACAGAGTTCGTCATCATAAGGGTCGGCTCTTTCCTCAAGTCCAACTTTCATAACCACCCCTTTCTTACACATCTCCATAACCATGTATAGAGAATCCTCCGTCGGGTCGTCTAAGACCTCAATCAAAGAAACCAAGTTGTGATGATGCAGTTTCTTCATGATTGCTATCTCTTCTTTAATAAGGTAAAGAGCATTTCTCTTTTGATCTGGATCTTCCAGTGAACGACGGTGAAGTGGGGAATTGAAGCCATCTGACGGGCGCTTGGGACCTCGAGGTCTCCGTAACAGGTGGGATTGGGCACGTTTTCTTAGCCGTGCCTTGGAGAATTCCTTGACAGCCTGACTCAGTGCACAGGTTGTTAGCTGAGAATTTATTTTCCCTTCGTGCTTCGTGCCACGGTATGAGTCCATAACCGGGCTACCAAGACAGAAAGAAGACCTTACGTATTCATTGCCAAACTGATCCGTAGCAAGATGCACGGCTCCGAAAGAGCCCCTGCCAATCTCTTGTTTGATTACATATTGGTTGATTCTGTGTTCAGCGGTACCATCATCCTGGCTGGTGGTATATTCAGATCGAGCATTCAGAGTTTCCTACCGCCAGTTCAGTTAGCTTCCTGCAGAGAGAGGAAACATATTCTCTGAAGAACCACCTTGACTGGGCGCCTAGCTATTGGGTTTCGGCGATAATGCCTTCGCGGACTCTCATATGAAGGTGTCGAACTGAAACCGTGGTTTTTAGCAGGCCACTCGAATACTAGAATGGCTGGGAATCCCAAGGAGACGAAATATGAAAAAGAAAAGGGGAGAAGAAGATCAAGGTGTTGTAGAGCTTACGCATAACGAACTGGTCGCGGATGACGAAGACCCGGGCGACGACCGGAGAATTGATTAGCATCCTGCAAGGAGGGGTAGGCATTTTCGTTGGCCATTGAATACGATGAGCAACGAAATGACAACAGGGAGATCCCCGAAATACCAGAGGGAGAACGTCTAAGCTGGGGATGTCTAATTCTCCGTTGAGATAGCAGAGACGCGAAACCCGGGTGCCTAGGCAGATGTGGGGAAGAATGTGGGCTGCACAAGAACAAGAGGCGGCAACGTTGGGACGTTCTAATGGACCTATGGGAGGTGGTAGAACATGCAAGTTGAGGAACATACGCAGATTGAAAAAATTAAAAAAAAATTTAAAAAAAAAAGTGTCCAGAGAAGAAGGTGATGAAGAAGAAGGATGCTTTTACAGTATAATCTTAATACCTATAAATAAAATAAGGGAAACAAGAAAGGAATCTTGACAATTTCCACTCTCTAATTGGGATCCTCAGGCGCAAGTCAATCTTTATCGATAAACATTTGATCTTATTTTGGATCGCTCACCGCCCACGAGCATACCGATCTGTCCACCTAAACGAGCCTAATTCAACGGTCTCTGGAGATACTTCTTTGATTAGCAAACTTTCATCTTTAGACCTCCGCACTCTAATGCGCCCTTCAACAAGTCAGATCCCGGATACCCTTCTGTGGTGAACTGTCTGCTATCTCTTGACCGTAATGGTTGTTTATTCCTTCTACATATTTGACCGCCATGGTACTTGTCTCTACCTCTTACCCAACCCTCAACAAAGGTATACTAACCGGCTGCTCTCATTTTTTTTAGCGGAATGCATATACAAACGACGTTGGGTGCCCCGTCCACCTTCAATTATTGGAAAGTCCTCGCGTCCGACTTCGGAAACTTCTGCCACTCCCAATGCATTGCCTCCTGTGCTGGGTCAATCTGCGCGGACCACCGACGATGATGCTAAGCTGATCTTCGGCACCGTCTTCTCCCTCCGGAATATGGTGCGCAAATTGGGGGGTGAAGATGATAAGTGAGAGCAAACCCCCCATACAACTGCCAAATCAGTAGAAGAGACTGATACTGACGGTTGAAACCTCGCCTTCAGCTTTGTTACCTATTGTACCAGTCAATACAAGCTCCATTATTACGAGACGCCTACAAATATCAAATTTGTGATGCTTACCGATGTTAAGAGCCCAAGCATGCGGATTGCATTGCAGCAAATCTATATCAATCTTTACGTTGAATATGGTATGCAAGCCCACTCATTGAAATTGACTTCACCGGACGCTAAAGTGAGGAAATTATCTCAGTGGTCAAAAATCCGTTGTCCCCGGTTGAACATCCAGGCGGTGTGGGTGTAAATAATGAGCTTTTCGAGGAGTCTTTGGAACAATTTGTGGTATATCTACCATCCCTGCTTACCTCAACTCAAGGGCTGACACAGTAACAGACGCGCGTCCTCTCTTGAGAACTCGTAGACTCTAGGATCTCCATTCATTTAGCCTCTGTCTGACTTCGCTGCGGATGGAGAAGCCAATCGTGCAGTAGACATGAGATCAACTTGTCGGGTATCTACAGAAAGAGAATGCGATAGATTCCAGGATTAACCAACTAGCCTCGCTTCTCCCAAGGCAGTGCCATGGAAGACGCATCAAAAATATGCGTATCCTAACCCGGGAATTACTGTCGACCCGGAAGAGTCGCCCTGCGGCTAGAATTCCCCAGGAACCTCAAGGCGCGGCGGTGGGGAGGGGGGAACCTGTTTTACGAACTTATATGGCCATGTTGCCGATACACATTTGTATATGCACCGACTTGCGAGATGCAGGATATGGGTTAAGAGGATTCTAGTCACTTCTCAGGCTCCATGGCGGCTGATTTCAAACTATACGATTAACAACTCCAAAAATCAATAACCACGGAATAAGAACATTTATTTGTCAACTATATTATGGCATAGTACCTTGCCTACAATCTCACTCAAGGTGAATATATAATTAATGGTTTCTCTGGAGGATGAAAATTTTAGATAATTTCACCCGTGGCGGACCTTCCAGACTGTCCGTAACGAACATCTGCGGGTAGATCATCCTCATCACGTCCTTCACTATATCCATCCTGAGTACGGGGCTTTGCGTGACGGAGGCGGCCGCCACGTAAGATATTACTTGTATCGATAGCCTCTTTTTCATCTTGCGCTGCAAGCTTATTAGCGAGCCTAGCGAGACGCCGGACAAGCCTAAAGCCTTACCTAGTTGCTGATCACTGTTGGAGAATGGAGGCTGGATAGGATCTTCAACTTCATCCTCGTCCCTTTGAACAGGGATCTGATTCCTTAGGTCGGACCGATTTTCATGGGCGTAGGAATTATCTGAGACCGTTCCAGAAACGGGAGCGGGATCGTTCTGAGCCTCGTAGAGGTCTTCGGCTCTTCTTTCGTAAGGGTTCGACATGGTTAATCAAAATAATAGCGATTTTGTAGAAGATATAGAGCACATATAAAAAATGCTATGATTTGTGAAATCGCTTGGTTGAGGATGGTAGCGACTATTTAAGCGCTACAGTTCCTCCATCCCAACGCACTTTTGACATCAGACGGTCGTCATCCTTATGTATGGGGCGAATTGGATTTTCGATAAGGTTCTAGGTTAGGTTGGTAATGATGGTGCAATTCGAAGTGTTCCGTCTCTACGCATTGCTTGGTTCATGAACGAAAAAAATCCACTAAACTTGATACAACCTATCAGGTCGCTTAAATCTGGATTGATACTTATTGTAGTATGCCAAGGCTGTCTGGCCTGAGTTACTGATACCTTTGACCTGAGGTTATCATTAGGTAGCTGATGAGCAGGCAATTTAGCGGGAAACGTTTGTTTTGAGGTAAGGGGACGTTCTGCTCGTTGCAATGATATCTATGGCCATATAGACATGCTTTCAGGAGGCTAATCTTATCCAAAAGACACGGAAGGCAAAATTTTGATCAAGGTCAATCGTAGCTCTAACCATGAATATGACACGGGAATGATTCAGACAGAGGTCATCCGTCCCAAGATGTTTAGCAGGTTGCTCATTCAAGCAAACCGATATTTGAGCAGGAACGTCAGGGCGTTACTCAGTAGACGATGATGCCCGCCAGTCAAATCATCGCCTTCAGTCCAGAACAAGTTAAAAAGGAGGTCTAGTATTCTGATGGTAGTTAACGTAACTGGTAAACGAGCGGGCCATGTGAGTCGAGTGGGCCATGTTGTATTCCATATAAAATGGCACTTTTATAATTTAGTTATCTCAATAGCTAAAGATAGTAATAATATAATATTCAATACTGATATAAATATAGGGTATTTAAATGGAATCTATATTTTAATATATTTTTAGTGTATGTTTCCCACGCTTTAAATACAATTATAGTGTAAGAGATATTGCCAGGGCCCAATATTCCACAAGACTAAAAGGTCATATAATTCGGGATCAACGATCCCGAATGCCCTGGGGTCACCTATATAGTATACCGCCGTTACATATAGATAAATCACCAAAAATACATTGTAATACATATTACCTGATATGCTATTAGACATAGAGCTTTCTCTTTTTAACATGTATATCTACAGTATTAAACTAGTATATATACTAGAATTCAGAGCCCTACTAGCTTTGGTTGTTGAGATACTTGGTTTCTAAAAGTACTCTTTTGTAGGGGATAATAGTGGCCCGCTCGAGTTGCATGGCCCGCTCGCTTGCCGGTTACGTTATTCATCAGCGGTATTATGTAATATTGACAAATTCTCCCATGATTTGGGCAGGTGCAGGACACTCACTCTTCGCAACACTACTAGACAACAAATTAGCATCCAGCTACTTGTAGGTATTTGGATTTGATTTTGCTATAGTTAGGGGTAGTGGCTATAGCCTTGAAGTGACAAAAGGAACAATTTAATCACATACAAGCTTATTATAGGCTGGAAAGGCACTATTCGGGTAGCATGGGGGAGACCGGCCCACTGTGCTGTACACTACTTAAAAAGGAACTATTGTGCTAATCCAAGTACTGAACACAACTGTTCTGCTCTAAATGTGTCTATAAAATGTGAAAAGTCACAGTCACAGTCACAGTCATGGAAGGTACAGTATGTCTACAACTTATTTCATATGACCATGCCGAATATCACCTGACAAATCCTACGGACTGTACCGCTACTCCGTAATGCAGTGTACAACATAAACTGGCAAAATAAGTGGCTCGTGCAGTCCCACAGATGAAGGGTTAGGTTTCAGAAACAGCTTAATCTTGTTCGGGAAGGCCAAAGGGATGCACGAAGCTTGAACTTTGACTCGCGGCAATTCATTCGCTTAAGGGAGGGGGAAGCCCCATAAACTACAGTACCAGCACTTGGGCTCCGCTTTGTTCACCGTCGAGTTGTTGTACTAAACGAACAATACGATTAGAGGTTTTTGAGAGATACAAGAAGAAAATAATCAAAATCAGATAATAATAATTTTATTCCGTACAGACACAGTGAGGATTTTCCCGACCACGGAAAGTCTCCTAGTTTTAACCCTCCACCTGAACCAATCGCCTAATTGATAGTAGATTACTATCACCCTGGATGGACCGGGAATTGTTGCTTTCATATGGGAAGACTTGTGGAGTGGGTTAATATGGCAAATTAAGACTTTCGAACGTCCATCCACAATCATGGTACTGTACTCCATATGTACATACCTACAGGGTGGTATTCCCCGCTTTTGACCCCCACCCCTGAGGAATCAAGTACACCACCCAATGTGTCCAGGGAAGCATATTTTGTGTGCGGTCATGGAAGAGAGGATTATAAAGGCCTGTCGGTTAAGTTGAACCGGTGTCTTTCTGACTTCCACCTCGATCCCATTCCCATTCGTTTATTTGTTTGACCTGGCGGTGAGGAACCGGACCCCGTCGCATACAACTTGAACGAACACTACATCTATACTTTAGTCCCTACTCCAAGAATCAAGGCAACAGCTGGGGTTTGACCGACTGGTCAAACTCAAACTATCGGGTGACGAGGTAGTGCGCTGTGGATCATGGATTATATCAAGTAATATCAGATGATGTTAAAGACAACAGTAACGGGTACTCGCACCCATCGGAAACGGGTGGTTTTGATTTCCGAGATTTAACACATCTTTTCCGATCGCCCCTAAACAATTCGAGCCATCCAGTCAGTCCCGATCTAATACGATATCTACATGCAGTAAGATGGTTGCGGTATCGGAGATCAGTTCAGCTCATTGGTAACCTGGCATATAGAGAAGGAAAGAAAATATCCTCCTGTAGGCATAATAACGATTAACTCTGGATATGAGAGAGGTACAGTACTTCGTATCAGTTGCAGTACTACTAAAGCAACTAGCGTGGTACAGTACATATTCCATCGGGAATGACCCACTCACCATGATGCAGCGTGGTAAGTAATTTTAGACGGGACTGTTTTCTTTACTCCCGCTTTTTCTTCTGGCCAGCGATTGGCCCCAAAAATCCCTCGTGCAATTCTTGATAATGTTGGTCGATTTACGTCAGTTGTATAGGTTAGGGCTACTAGGTACCATCTACTACCGCCGTTGAAGGGGTTAGAGGTAAAAATAAAAGGAACACTATCTCGCTCCAGATTCAATTAGCCAACCCTAGGTAGGTATTAGCAACCAAAAGTACAACTGCCTAGGTACGTATTGATTTTCTCTGGAGATCTGTGAATCTGTTAGGTTTGGATCATGCTCCAAGACACTCCGGGGACGGCAGCCACAGCCGAGGTCCGGAGTACTAGCTTTAATAAGCCCACGCCGTCCGCTCCGGAATATTGGGACGAATATACGAGGCCTGGTGGATGTCGCATTGTAAACAGTTACGCATACCTTCCCACGTCAAAATTAACAGAAGTAGTATTGATCATCACGTGGCTCGAGGTGTTTTGGCAGGTACGTTAGGTGGTGGATAACTCTTCGGCAGGTCAAAATAATTGGAGGATAAAAGGAAATGATAACAATAGCAGTAGTCGTAGATAAATCAATAACAGGTGATGACAGCGTTAGCACTCAGCCGTCAATTCAGCTTGATATCTGCTGACCCCACGCGGATCCCTCAAGCGATCCCTCAAGCAGGAAGCCAAAAAGGGACATGTGCGTAATAATAGTCATCTCCAGTTTATAATTCGGTAGAGAAACTCATGATCTGATCACAGACCAAAGTTCGAAGTTAAGACATAGCCATCAACAGCTCCAAATATACCCATTTAGCCTCCGAAAGTGAGGTAATCACCACGAGGAAATCTGGCCATTTCCCCACCATTGACTAGTAAAACCCATCAAAGGATGTTGCCATAGCATGTCCAATCCATCAGTGTCTTAGCCACTAGAAGTCTGATATGCAAGCTTCAGCCCAGTCATTGTCGGAAAAGCTGCAAAAGTGAGGGAGTCGTCAATCTATACGTTAATTGATCCCATAAGATGTACTTGACTGAGGGGATAAGTATTCCAATCCAAAGAAAAAGGCACTCAAGGAAGAGAGAACAGAGAATCAAACCGTGCATTGGCATTGGCCGTAGTAATGTAACTGGTGGGTGAAACTCCAAAAAAAAAAGGTCGATCCCTAACAACTCATACTATTAGGTATTCTGTGTCCTCTAGTGACGTTGGCTGCCAACTGCCTTCTTAGTAGCCCACCTTCAGGTCCTCCCTTTAATCACCCCTCATTGTATGGATGAAGAGGGGCTTTTTTTTATCAAGTCATTCAGGCAACCCGCCACACAAAAGTAACAAAGTAAGGCCAGAGTAATAATGTGACGCTTTCCCGTAGTTCTACCTAAACTTGTCCAGCCACCCAAGCCATCTGCTCCCGTTGTAAATAATGCGGGGACAGCATATCCATATGATCCATAGGACTGCAGATTGCACAGCCTCAGTCTGACTTAAACTCTCGAGATTGACTAATATGCTATGCGAGTCGTGTTTGTTTGGTAATTGCCAGTGTCACCCTGTCCAGATGAGCCAAAGCTATCAGTTGATAGACGTCATCCAACTCCTTCATTGAAGAGGCAAGATCGTAAAGAAATAAAGAATCGAAACATAAAACAACGATCGGATTTTCTTGTAATTAACGATGGCTCAGGGGCAGCTCCGGCATCTTTCCAACGGTCTTTCGCCAGGAAAATAAAACATAAAATATAAATAGTTAAAGAATGAATAAACACATAACTACTCCGTAAATAGTGAAAGAAAAATGTATGAGGCTTCCCACCTAGTGCAATAACTAATCTGCGGAGCCGTTTTCTACTACACAAAGGATGAGGAAGCCGCCACTTTGGTTTTCTTACATCTTGCCCAACGCACTACTTCTACTACCTACGGAGCACATACATGGCTAGTAAGTAGCACTGAGTGATTTGTCTTATCCACTCTTCATCTCCATTGTCCCGTTGTCCGATTGTCGGCCAAAGGCTTTCATAAATACGTTATTACTTGAGAGGAATACCCAGTAATTTTGGAAAATAAAATAAAAAATCCTGAGTAAGGTAACGACAATTCTGTAAAGCCCAACGT